AGAGAGGCAGCATAATTATGTTAACCACCAGTTTGTGTAATATTGCAGGAAAAGAGCAATACAAATTAAATAAGTTGAAATATAATATATACAAAATTTCCCAAAAACTGTGACTTGGTCACAATCTTACTTGTGTGAAATGTGGATGCCACGTGCTAAATAATTCTAATATTGCGTATATTTTTTTTGGCAGTGATGAGAGATAAGATTCAGGTTCCTGACAGCCTCTAGTTTTTTGTTATGTGTATATTTTCAGTGGTAAGAACTAAACGATTGTCTAAAGGTATGGAAATAATATAATGTGTAGATGACAGGACCAACGTTTTGTCGGATATTGTGATTGGATATATTAATAACATTGTCCAACTTTGATGATTTGGTTTAAGCTGAACTTCCAGTGTTAAACATTTGATGTCTGTGATTTATAAGTTCGGTTAATATGAAAAAAAATATTGTATACTATATTTGCCAGTGCAGGTTTTAGATGGGGCTAGGACCGACTGCTCTGCAGTAGTAACGTGTAGAAAAGATTAAGTCAGGTATTAGACCTGTAGGTCATGTCTTGTACTTTTTTTCTTATTACACTTTCTCTCTATCTTTTATAGCCTTTAAGAAAACTGCAAAAACAATAAAAACAAAAATAGGCTCCTAGAACCTGAATCGCTCACCTGGAATTTTTTGTATAGATCTTGCATCAATGATTATTTTGCTGTATAATGTATATTAATGCATGTTCAAACATGCGTTTGAAAGATTCTCTCTATCTGTTAAAGTTTTTGCAAAAAACTAAATATAAAAGGTAAAAATCATATTTCAAGGATAATAACTCCTATAATGAATCATTGAAATTTTCAGTCAAGTTAATTTATTTGTAGGTCTTACTTTGCTGAACATTTTGGCTGTTTGAAGTTTCTCTCTATCTTTCATAGTTTCTGCGAAAAACTAAAGAAATTGGTAAAAATTATCTTTCAAGGGCAATAACTACTACAAGGGATCAATTGACAATACTCCTGGATTTTAAGCAACCAACAATCAATCAAACAATTGACAATGTTGTTCATGCTTATTCTTAGCTCTTACTTAGCTGTTTGAAGTTTCTCTATTTCTATCATTGTTTCTGCGAAAATTAAAAAAAAATTGGTGAAATTATCTTTCAAGGGCAATAACTCCTATAAGGGATGAATATACAATTTCAGTTATGTTGACTTATTTGTAGGTCTGAATATGTGTGCTGTTTGAAGTTTCTCTTTCTATCATAGTTTCTGCGAAAAACTAAAAAAAAAATGGTTAAAATTATCTTTCAAGGGCAATTACTCCTATTTGGGATCAATTGACAATTTCGGTCATGTTGACTTATTTGTAGGTCTTATTTTGCTGAACATTTTTTCTGTTCAAAAATTTAGTCTATCTATCAAAGTTTCTGAAAAAAAACTGAAAATTTAAAATAAAAATTGTATTTCAAAGGCAACAACTCATATAAAGGATCAATTGACGCATTCTGTTCTTAGCCTTTTTGGTAGATCTTACTTTGCTGAACATTTTTGCTTCACAAAATTTCTCTTTATCGTTAATAGTTTTCAAGATAACAACCAAAAACAGAGAAAATTTATAAAAATCATTATTTCAGGGGCAATAACTCCAAGTTGTCCGATTCATTTTAAAATTTCCTCACTTATAGATCTTGACCTGCTTGTCATTTTAATGCTGAGATATAAGCCAAAAACTGCATTTACCCCATGTTCTATTTTTAGACATGGTGGCCATGTTTGTTGACTGACTGGAATAAAAACACAAACTTTATACTAGATGCCTTAAGAATCATACACCCTAAGTTTGGTTGTGAAATAGCTCAGCAGTTTCAGAGGAGAAGGTCTTTGAAAAATTTATCAAAGACGGATGCCAAGTGATGGCAATAGCTCACATGACCCTTTGGAACAGGTGAACCGAAAAGAAAGCATACATATAACCATGTTAGATTTGAATTCCAATAAATTCTCATTATAAATGAACAGCAGATATTTTTACAAATCAATTATTTGGTCAATTGAAACGTAAGGTAGAATTTGCTTGTATTACTATGAAGCGAAACTTTCATATTATCCCTTTGAACATGATATATTTGCTCACAAGTTATGGAGTTTTCTGTTATATCAACATAAAATACTACAGAAATATATTTTAAGCATAAATGTGTTTTCTTAAAGTTTCCAAAAGAGAGGCAGAAGATACCATAGAGATATTCAAATTCATTAGTAGAAAACAAACTGACAAAGCCATTACAAAAAAGAAAAAACAAGTGAAACTGCGAGCTACTGCTCACTGATGATACCCCCAGCCCAAATATGCATTTGTTGTTGAGTGATGAATCTGAAAACGCATCACACGGTATATCTGACTTATATAAACCCTGAAACCAAATTTCAGAAATCCTTGTATTGTAGTTCCTGAGAAAAGTGTGACGAAAATTTTCAACTTGGCTATCATGTGTAAAATGATGTAAGTGTTCAGTAAACAGGAAGTTGTTGAGTGATGAATATGAAAACGCATCACACGGTAAAGCTGACTCATATAAACCCTGAAACCAAATTTCAGAAATCCTTGTAAAGTAGTTCCTGAGAAAAATGCGACGAAAAAATATTCATGGGATGGACGGACGGATGGACTGACGGATGGATGGATGGACGGACTGACGGATGGACAGACAGGTAAAACAGTATACCCCCACCTTTTAAAGCGGGGTATAAAAAACACAACATAAAAAACAAGTGAGATGACACAATAACATGTTCTCCTTGTCAAACTTTTGAAATACATATTCTTCTATGTTTCTTCAAACATTATATTAGAATTACTATTAAACAGCTTTTTATACATCAATACATATTTATTTTGTTTTGAGCACCAAAATAAATAATTTTAAATGGGCATTTAGTGTTTAAATTTATTTCACTATTTTACATAGTGTATATGGTAATTGTAAGTTAACAATCTTGTACAGCTTAAGGACTGAAAGTTAACTAGGATGTCATTAGTCAGAAAGTATTGAAAAGACATAATATTAATAATTGACAAAATTTCAGATGATAAAACAAAATTGTTAAATTCCAAAGTTTATCCTCAAACTGGACATGTGTTATTCAGCTGGACCCTGGTAATGACACCTTACTTATTTTTTTTCTTTCTGGGTCTATTGCATTTTAATATATTAGAATAATACTTTCAGAGTTCCATTTTTTAGTGTTGAACCCCACTCAACAGACTAGAAGTCAAATTTTGAAAATGTCCATCCATAGGGTGCATCAAATTAATTAAAGTTGTGTAATATGTGCTAATTTTTACACCAGCAAAAAATTACCCTGTTCAATGTTAAATCATTAGTATTTTTAACAACATACTATAAGCTAAAATAAATCAGGATCCAGTCTATTTCATATGAACAGGGGAATGGATGATATAGGATTATCTCCCATGGAAACTTATTGAAAACACATTGATTGATTGATGCTGCTTTATGTCCAGTGGCAAATGAAGTCACATTGAAACTAAATGTATATTTTCCTAAATATTTTGGGGTTTTAGATAAAAATGAGGCATATTACTATTAAAGATAGAAGAAAATTTCAATGGGGTAATTAGAAAGCTTAAAATTCAGTTGCATATCAAAAATGACTACTTTACTTTTCATATGATATTAAAATTGATAATTTATGATATTAATTAGCTGTACTGTAACAGTTTCCATCTGACTTGAGGGATCAGGTGTAGGACTCTAAACACTGCCATCCATCCATCAGGTCATAGTAAAGATAAAGTGGAAATCAAAACTTATAGGATGGTAAGTATGCTTTCTTTTTGTAGGTGCACTAGCTATCGCTGATGAGTTGACTGTGACTTCTTTAGATCATTGTGGTAAAATTCCTGACCAGTTGTACAATTTTAATTGATGAAACAAATTGTAATTTGGGCAGAATTTTGATACACTGCTATAGGTGAAGTGCAACCAGGGGCGTAGCTAGACATTAAATGAACTGTAGGCATAAACTGAGCCCTGGTAAGAGGTTCAGGGGGTCTGAGCCCTCAGACGGAAAACAGTTTTAAGCATTTCTATATGAAAATTTTTTGATTTTGGTGAACACAAATTAAATTACTTACTGGACCAGGTCATATTATCAGGAAAACATACAGGCCAAAAATTCTAAGAAAAATAAATAATTCCACAACAACATCTGACTAATGAATGACTGTCAAAAAATTATTTTCAGCTTTTACCTTTTATGCAAATTAGGACAATGTAAAACTTGATGGTAAAACAGAAATTAACCATTAAAATGTAAAACTAATAAAATACTGAATTTTCAGAGTAAAGCATGACAATGACCTTAAGTTTCAAAGCATTTAAACAAAATCAAGGCGTCTGTTTTTTTCTCGCAGAAAATTTGTCAAAAATGTCTGGGATGCTTCAGCTTTTTGTTCTATGAGTGTGCAATATTGATAAGTAAGGTAGCCTTTAAGCTCCAATAGTAACTCTTAAATAGCTTTTGATACAACACATTGCACTTATTAGATGCCTAAACAATGTTAGAATGGAATAAATGTTTGGATTTAACCCATTTTTAACAACTTCAGGAGCATCTAATTTCTACTAGGGAAAAAATCTAAAAGTTAGATGATTAAGGCATTGATGATCTAGTTCTTGAAAAGTAAAAAAAAAATTCTGTGGTGACACAGATAGAATTGTCATTATCAATTTCTTTTTACATAGATAATGTTCAAGTTAAGTACTGGTGCAGTCCAACAAGAAACATTACTTAATGTGTTTATTATTTCAACTTTTCTGTATTTTCAAAGCATTCATGGATCAAGCAAGATCTTTAAAGTTTTCAAGAAATAATGACTCTATTTCAACAGACAATAAAAGATCCCTTGATTATTGCTTCAACAAGTTATAAATGCAATAACTGCAACAAGGGCAAAGATCAAAACAAAAACAAACAAACAAACACAGTTCTGTCATTTTATTTCCCAATCTGTCACAGAACTAGCATGCAGATTTCATAATAAAAATGAACAATAAATAGAGACAATCATATTAACACGATGAAGTCCTGAGTGAGAATGTTTATGGTATGGAACAACTAGATTTGTAGTCACACACTTTAAGATCACTGTTCCATTTAAGTCCTGATGGACATTTACGTTTGTATGTAATTCCCCAGTTACATGTTATATATCCATAGCAGTCATCACAGGAACCGTAATATCCACTGCTTTTACCTTTACAACTTGTAATACAATCTGAAATTATAAATATGAAAAAATTAAAAAAAGATTTTGCATGAGGTGGTAGGCCAAGCATACATGTACTCAGACTTAAAATTCAAAGTATCAGGAAGTCAGTGTCTTACAGATATGAAAAGTATTCCTGCATTAAAAATAAATACTGCTAACCTGATCACCAAATATTCTGTTCGGTGTACTGTAGAAATATGATGCAATTAGAAAGTTAGTCAACATACTAAAAAATTCAAAGTATAGACAAACAGAAGGTTTATGTCTGACCTAAAAGTACTCACACATTAAACATATTACTGTCAAGCTGCACATTTTTAACAGGGCATACAAATTGTGTACAACATTAAGACATAATGCTTATGTAAACTGGTCCCTCCTAAAATGCTTATTTTTATTTAATCAGAAATATTCTGCACAATGAGTATTCTAACTACAGCAGAAACAATGCTTCTATTAACCTGTTTCCTCGTAATTGGTCTCTTCAATTCAAATTCTTTAAAAAGACCTATTTAAACTTGTTAAATGCTGAAATATACGTTGCTCAAATAAAACAGCTTGCTTCTGGCACTTCAAGTTAGATTTAACAGAGCAATGTTTTGTTTTTACACTTAGAATTTTTTGAATTAATAGTTTTGATAAAATAATAAAAAAAAAAAATGGTTAATACTATCATTGATTTTTTGACGACACATTTCTGAATCTATCCATCATATACCTAAACTTTGACAGAAAACATAGATTTAATATATACCAAGTAAATATACTGAAGAAAATTCAATCCAGAAAGTCATATCCTAATTTTAAACTATTGTATGCAGCTTTTGTCAGTAGTTTTTTTGTTGGTTTATAAACTATATGATAATTAATATTTTGTTGCTTTTCTCTCAGTTTGGAATAAGAACAACATTGACAATCATACTATTTATTTATAACCATTCGATCAATACATAATATTTTATACAGTTTTATAACTGCATATAAAATTGACATTTCATCCAAAATCAATGGGATTTAATAGTGTTCATAAATATTTTATTAATTTCTAATGGCAAAAGAATCTAAACTGTTACAATTTTACTGATGGCGTAAGTTGCTTTTCTATCTAGGAATTGTAAGGTGTAAAAAAGTATATTTAAATAAAGAGAATTGAAATTTAAGGTTTTTTCCCAGTAATTTGTATAGACAGCTGCATAAAGATATACACTTCAGATACTTACCGAATTTTCCTTTACCACTGAGAGAATTCTGTCCTGATGTTACCACTGTAAAATAAAATAAATTTAAACTATCATCAATAAGTATATCCAATCTACTATACCTGAGCATTATGTAACATACATTATACAAATAGTCAATAATACATGTCTATGTAACCTATTTGACTCATTGACAAGTTTTAACCAATTTAATAATGAAGTACAGAAAATATCACTTTTAGATGAAAAACTTAAGGAGTAGTGTCATATCTGTTACAGAACACATCACTTACACCATTCCTCAGCAATGAATGACAGGAATACACTTAAAAATAAATCTTAACTTTTGTCTGTCAAAAGCATTTATAGAGCAAGGATACTCTTCACTGTCATAAATCACATTAGTTATACTAACACTGGAAGTATGTGTAACAATATCCACTTTCTCTTTATTTCATTTTAAAAAATAGTCCTATTTACATAGAGTCAGAGACATGGCTTGCCTGCCTATCTTAAACCAGTTACATAAGATAAGTAACACATTACATTTGGATGAATACAACACTATTATTTTTTTCTCCTCCCCTATACTTCCTGATGTTCATTTACCTGCAATAGGAGCCTTTGTAGTTACAGCAGCTGTGACTCTCTGAGTTGGTGATGTAGTTGTCATGAGAACTGCTGTAGTAGGTGATGATGTTGTCATGGGAACAGCTGTAGTAGGCGATGATGTTGTCATGGGAACAGCTGTAGTTGGTGCTGATGTACTTAAAGCATTGTTATTTTTGGATCCTGTGTTATTACCTATTTATACAAAAAAATAAGTTTTTTATCATTTGTAAATTCATCATTTTTTGTATATTCATTTCTTAAAATTTTTTAATTGGATAATCAAATTTTTGTCATTAATTCAAATTTAATCATATCAAATTTGGTGAGTTTAAAATGTATTTTCTGGATATTAACCTTCATCTTTCAAACACATAAGGAACAGTTTGAAAGCCACATATTAATAAATTCAATTAAAATTGTTCCAAGGTATGTTCACATACAGTTCTTTTAATATTTTCTATTAGATAATTAAATTTTATATTAATGATGGGTAAATGATCTATATTATAGAAGTTGTCACATTTTTTATTATTGGTTTTGTAAAGACTTTTGATACTGCACACTAAAACATTTACATTATCAATCTCTTGATTAATTTACAGCAGAGGATCACATTAATATTGAGAAAATGTTTTAAGTTATTTTCAATCTATAGACGGTATAGTCCTGAATTTACTTTTTCTTTAAAATTAACTATAGAGACAAGTATTTGTAAAACCAACGACTGCCAGATCAGGGTGTGATCAATATCCTTTTCTGTGGTTATTTTCAAATTGACGGACATACTTATAGATTGATCAATAGAAAAAGAGGCTTATTGTCAATATATCATATCTCACATGCTCTAGTTCTATATAATTAGTTGCAAAGTAGAGAAACTGACAGTTGATATATACAGGGATAATGTTGAATTCACACCACAAAAAGCCATTGCAAAACTTACAGACAGCATGGGTAATCATAAGAAAATAAAGAATTCATGAAAAGAATTGTTTAAGAAGTTCAGAAAATATGGAGTATTTGAGTATTTTTGAAAGTTCTAAAGAAGAATCAACAAGGTTTTCGAGTGACACAAATGATCAATCAAGAATGATGATGAATAAAATCAAATTTCTGTACATAGAAGATAAAAAGGAAACCAAATCTATAGAACAAGAACCTGATTATCAAATCCAAAAATATCAGAAGTGAATAGAGTTTTATATTGTAGAGATAAATTACACATTATTGCAATAAATATTGGATGTATTTCCTATGAACTGTAAGTCAATATTTGGAGATAAGTCTGTGATGAATTACCAATAGTTGATTGATGTCCTTCATCTAAACATAGAAGCTTAAAGTTAGAGCTTATACATCTTACAAATAAAACTCTTAAGATTTTTCCCAACATTGAACAGAGATGTAATCAATAACCCAAAAGAGACTCCAAATGGTTAAAATAAACTTCAAGGTCTATACTGTTATCCTGGAAACATTTATTTTAAGACTTATCTTTTACATCACAATAAATACATTTTTTGTTTTCAGATTGGCAAGGCATTGTCCTAAGTGTAGGATTTAATACAAATCAACCTTATTTAAAATTCCTGAAATGACCTACATAGAGACATGGCCATAAATCCTAAATTTTGCTAGAAATGATGACCAGCTTGCAACCATGTCAAAATCCCATAAAATGAGAAGAGTGAGAAATGTAATCTATTTTGAGTCTATTAAAGTAGTCTACAGACGAGATACTTCAAGTGTTAAACTGCCTGTTAGATTCCTCTATTCATTATTGAGTATGCCCAAAATTTGTTAGGTGTATTTAGAGCAGGGTTCATTACTGTATACTAAAGAACAAATTCAACAACAAATTCAACAGAAAGTCAATTTATTGTTCTTTTCAATGGAGTCTTTCATACTATATTTGTCCCCATTCATGGCAGCCATATTGTTTTTACAAATACTTATGGCAGCTGACTGTAATTACCAGAATCAAGAGAACATCCAGTCAGATCAAATCTCAATGCAATACGATTGCTCCATTCCAGCGGATTAACACGGATACACTTAGCAATCACCGGACAGTTAAACATGTTACTCTGTGGGGTGTTCTCATCATCATTGCCTTTGAAGAACTGTTGAAAGTAAAATATATCATTTACTATTATTACCCATATTCTTACAGTTTAGTAACAAAGGTAGATGAAAAAGACAGGCAGGCAACTACAGTAACAAATTGTCTACCACAAATTTCTACCAGATTTTAAATTGTTTACACATTTAATAAGAATTTGCAGTAGACAGGTTGAGTTAATTACAAATGTGAGCTTTCTTGTAATACTATAGTGTCTTTTTAGTCTGTGTTTCCAAGTTGTAAGGATTCTGTTAACCACTTATTGCTGTAAGAATATAGTATACATAGTGTTTTTTTCCATACTAAAAAGAATTGACATCTTATCTTCCAACAGCTGAGTATTACTGTAAACATGGATACTTTTGCAGGTTGTTATTTTCCCAATATCAATGCATAAACTGTTCGTGCAGGAGCTAAATTCACCCATCCAATGATAAGTGCATCCTACAAATCAATAATGTTGATTTGTACAAACTTTTCCCTTTGGAGATTAAAATTTATGCTTTTTTTGTGGTCAATATATAAGCAAAAATAAATACCATGTGCAAATTTCGTCATTTAAAAAAATAGGAAGAACAAAATGAATTTGAACTTACAGTATCAGAGGAACCAAGTTGTTGGACTGGTTTCCAGTCTGTTTTACAATCCAGACTATACAGGACCCTGTATTTGGTGGTCCATTGTTTACAACATCCATCGCGGCCCTGTGTTGTGATTCCTCTTACCAAACTAGGACTTGTCAACTCAACCTTAACAAATAAACTCATGTTTTAAGCATTACATTGAAGTCTCATGCTTTTGTTTATCACTTAGGACTAAAGTATATTTCTGGCAATTATTTAAATAATGATTAATTCTGATTTTATTTGTATGAGACATATTGTTCATAAAAGCTCATGTAAAATTGTGAAAAAAGCACTTAAAAAGAGGTAATTTAGAATACTGACAAATATAGAAATATAAAAAAAGACAAATTAAAATGAAGAATGTCTTTGAAGTTACTGTTAAGATGAAGAACAGCCATTAAAGTGTTGTTCATTTGATTTATAGTTAATTTTATCTTCCGAATGTTTACTTATTCATATCCAACTCATACCTCTTTCCCCACTGTATGTAGTTTCTCAAGTGATGACAAAAAGTTTTCTATTCACAAGAAAAGAAAGATTTTTCACAGCTTTTAATTATAACTCTTGATAGAATTGTGATAATATTTGTACCTTTAAATAATCCACAGTGTGAAATATGACATACATTATGACCTAAAAATAAGGAATACGCTTACCTGGATATATTGGTCCACATCATTCTTACCGGAGACCCATGCTCCTATTAATGTCTTGCCTGTATTGTCCATGACTTCTTTGTTATTAAGCTTGCCTCTGGTAGCTCCATAGTCACTAAATGGATCACCACTACCAAACTGTGAAGAAGATGTCAGTTTGTCTTCTGCTACACCAGAAACCAGGGAGTTCTTACATACATCTGGTGAAAGGGATTAAAAATACATGTAAATGAAAAAATATATTGTCAGATTTAGAATTATCTGATTATATGTTCAAATAAATAGAACATAACATAACTATAAGTATTTTAGAATTCATGAAAACCCATTCTTACACACAACAGGAAATTTTATGTTTAGAAATTCCAAAACTAAACAAACTTTACATTATGGTAGAATCTAACCCATTTATAAGACATTTCTCCCAGACCTTTTTCAGTTTCTCTGTTTTCTTTCTAAACTATGTGGTAGTTTATAAGTCAATTTTCACAATGCATTTCAATATTTCAAGATGGCAGAGGACCCTTCCCTTTTTCACAAATTAACGAAGGGTCTCGTTATCATATTAGAAAAGCACTATTTCATATTGTAGTTATGGCCACTTAATAAATTCTGCAATCGATTAGTTTTCAACTTAAAACTCTAATGTCTATATCAGTATCCATCAAAACGGATTAACAATTAATTATATTATAGCAATATGAAGACAACTGTCCATGTAAAGCTATTACCATTAAATGCTATCCTCAGACATAACAAACATATTTGTTACAGTTTAGATAGTACATTGTTACTAAGAATAATAGTCTCTTACTTCACTTCTTCTTACTTGTCAAACCAATTTAAAAATAAATCCTCAGAGAAAGTCTTATCTGATTAAAAGAACTACATACATTTGTACATGTTGTAGTAAAACAACTGCATTAAATTATTTTAATGCTAAAAGGCAAATGAAAAGCATTGAATGTTCAACTTCATATAAAAAGAAGGCATTTGATTAATTTTGAATATTTGGCATTAGACCTGGATTTTGTTTTGTATTAAGAGTGTAAGAGACAACCCTTACATGCCTTCTTTTGCTACAATATATGTTTCAGAGAATACTAACTATATAAAGTACAATATTTACCTTGTCCTTTGTTGAAAACCAATAACAAACCTGCAAAATATAACATTAACATTTACATACTTCTATATTTACAAAAAAGGCAAAGTCATATGGTTTTCAAAATCTGTTTTATTTGAAAAAACACCAAAATAAAGCTTTTTAACTCAGTTGTTTTGTCAGTACAATTTTTGTTTAATTCTTTTGTTTCTTTTTAACAAGTTCAACGTAAATTTGTAATCAAGTATGATTTTTTTTTTGATAAAGTAAATCATAAACTTCATAAAATAATTTTGAATATCAAATTATAGTAAAATCTTTATAAAATAAAAGGTAAATGAAATAAGTAAAAGTTTCCTCATGATTTAAAATACATAACAAACATACCCAATAAGAACAAAATCCTCAGCATTTTTTAACTTTGAAAGGCAGAACTGCTTTACTACTTATCTAACTTAAAACACTGACACAAACCTGAACTTCAGTCAAAAATTTCTAGTCTTATAGTCTTGTGGTGATATTTACAAAGATGAAAGCTTCCTCCCTTAATTATTAATAACTCATTTATTAAATTATGATGATATTCAAATAGATAAATTTAGAATGAGAGGAAGTGTTAAATGGTCATTTGATAAAATCTATCTTCTTATCAATGGATATAAGTTTGTTTACTTTGTTTACACAAACAATTAAATACTAATGAAACTATTTATCCTAAAATAAGGAGTAACTCAACACCCAAATGAAAACCAGAAAATGTAAAAATGACGTAAAATTGTATAGAAATTCATTTCTTCGTGAATAGAGAAAGTGACAATGCGTCAAGATTGCTACACCCGTCTTAAAAGCTCGAGGATGATTAAATGAGACTGCGTTCATTAATATAACATATCTTACTTGACAAATATTTTCTAAATTCCCACTTAATAAGAAACTTGTCAGAATTTTAGATCTTTTATACACCCCATAGTAATAGTCATCATGTTTATCAATCAATTTTGTGCCAAAATTTATCAAAACTTGTGATAATGATTCTTTTGTTATAATTAATATTTCTAAAATGAATCATATTAGCATATACATGCATCAGGTGAGGGTTTTTTAATTTGTTGATTAATGGATCTACCAAACCTAGCTATTTCCCATTTTTTAGAAAAAAATAAAAGTATAAGTTTCAATCTTCATTTATTTTATATTATTATCCCTGAAGAAGCAATTATCTTCAAATTATGTGTTATTTTATACAGAAATGATTTTTTTTTTAGTATTCTTGTACTTTTAAGAATTTGTTCTTGAAAGCATGTCATTGGTAGTTTCTATAAAATCTGGATCTTGTTTATTTTGGTGTATTATTCTAGACTTTTGTAAATTCTAAGCAAATCTTATTTTTTGTTGGTTTTATTTAAGCTTTTCAGGAAATATTAATGAGTTATTAAAAATGAATAAAAGGTCCAAACAACAAAGCTGTTGAATGTAATAAATAAATGAAAAAAAAATTACATTATAAACAACAAAAAAGTTAAACTGTACATGATACATAGAGGACAAACAGTCATATAATGCAATGGAATTAATAAATAAGTTAGAGAAGTGAGAAAAATCTTATTTGTGAGCATTATAGACATCTGATTATAGATCAAGTAAATCCTTAACACTTCAAATCTGTGTATTCTAAATACACAGGAAAAAAGATTTGCAGGAGAGAAATCACTTAAAAAAATACTTGTACATTATCAACAATGAGACTTTCATTATCAAGTTATATTTGTGGATAAATTAAGAATTATTCCACCTCTTCCAATAAAAATGGGCTTTCAAATTTTTATATTACCATGTATTTATTACAGTTGCTAAATTTTTTCTTTTTATTGTAAAATTTAAAACACGTTCATATTTTGAGAATGTTATTCAACTTAATATCATAGTTGCCAACTCACATGATATTTGCGTGTAATACACGCTTTTTCTATGGTTTACAGGTGAAGATTTTGTCACATGGCGTGTACACCCTTCTCATAACTTTACATGCTTTTTTGTTGTTTTAATTTTTTGGTCATTAGTGATATCGCGATTCTCTGTTTTTTTTCATAATTAGAAGATAAATATCAAAATTTTTAAGTATTCGTTGGGTCGCCATTGTTTATTTTTCCGGCCATTGTTTATTTTTCCATATGGACAAACAAAAAAAGCCCTTCAGGTAAGTTTGTGAGTAGTTTTTAAGATTTTGTGACTTTCTTTCTTTCAAATTCAATTTGGGGAAATGTCCAACTGAAAGAGGTTGCTTTCTGGACCTGTATCGTCTTCTAAAGAGCTGAGTGCTAAGCGAAAACGATATGTGTGTACGTACCAAAAAAAGCAACATTCTAGGGAGCAATGGCACACATAGATGACATTTTTAAAGACCCAAAACGTTATGACATTCTTACAAAGCTTGCTAAAGCTATTTCAGTTCTGCCAAATAGCAATTCTGACTATGAGAGAGCATTTTCAATTATAAAGAAGATTTACACTGAATTCAGATCAGAACTCAACAATGATACATTGTGTGCATTGGTATCATGTAAATTTAACCAAACTGGCAGTAGTTGTTTTGAATATGTTCCAAGTTGTGTTGTTTTGAAAGCAGCAAAACAGGCCACTGTTCAATACAATAAAAGTTTACAGTAGAATATTGTTTTTTATATAAAAAATTTGTATAATGCTCATATTAAAAAGTCCGCATCTACGTCACACGTTTTCACACGCTTTTTGAAATGTCATGTCATCATGTCATGACATGATTTGTCATTGTCAGAGGTTGGCAACTATGCTTAATATTTCTGATATCTTACTGTAGTACTTTAAGGGGAGACAATCCTTTACAATCTGTTCAAAATACATTCCCTCTGGGCAGTCATCCATAGCTACAGTTCTCTCCCCTTCACATGTGATGTACTGTGTTATCCTTCCTGGATCTGGATGCCAATGACGTCCATCTGACATACCAATACAGGAAGGCAGTCGCAATGGACAAGGGAGACAATTCTCACCATCGTTTTGATGACACTGATTCTGCAGATATTCACCTACGCAAAAATGTGACAATATTGAAGTTATGAATTCTATTTCATAGTTTTCTACTACCGATAGCAGCAAAACTACCCATCATTTTTTTCTCCTTTGAGTAATATTCAAAAACTTCTAACTTATTAAGCTGTTCTCATCTATAATTTAATAGTTTTTGTTCTAGCCATAAAATTAAATGCTGAAAATTAAAGAACTATGAAAAAAACTTATTTTGTTTCATCTTTTTGTCTTTAAACAGTTTTTTTTATGTGTATTTATAATTTCATTGTCCACTTGAATAAGTTGTCATCCTGGTGGTTTACTCCTGGTTTGCCCACTTTTAATTACAGCAATTATCATGTAATTACAATACAGAAACCAACAACAATGTTGGCAAACTTCAGAAGCTTGAATTGAATTACTGAAGCACCATGTATTTCTTAAAATATATCAGAAGTTCTATCCATTAATTCCATATCTTTTCACAATTTTTACAACCTTACTCTGCATAGGTAATATTTTCATAAAAAATTAAAATTTTCAGATAGACATATCTGGAATGAATTACTGGCATCTACAGATTGTTACTAGATTTTAAATACAGTGAAACCCTCCTATACCTAAACCACAGTAAACCTGAAACCTGTCTACACCAAATCCAAATCAAACCAGAAACCTAAAATTAAACCTGTATATACCGAACACCTGTGTAATTCAAACAAAATATTAAGTCCCAAATGGGTATCACTGACACAGGCAAATTCTATTTTCTGATTAAAAGTTGTCTACTCAGTGCATATTACTTACAAGGAGCCTTTGGTTCATGTCTTGGTCCACATCTGACCTGCGTAAAGTGTTTACAAGTTTGTGTAGAGGCATCATATAGTTTAGGGTAGGCACATTCTCGCAGATAGCTTCCTGTCAAGTGGTTTATTACTCCACATTGGTAGAATTGAGCACAGTTATCTGGGCTTGGTAACACTAAGTTAGCATTACTACTACAATAACTGTTTATCATGTCAGCTAAAAAATAAAAGTGACATTACGCTAACAGAAAACTCTACCCACTAAAACGATCAAAAGAAAGCATCTTTCAAAAGCTATATATGGATTGTTTTGTAGATTTTATTTGCCATAAATTGTTAAATATGAATTACCTCCCTTTACTTACCTTACTTTTCAGTTAAAATACTTATTACAACATTAAGAAATAAATGGAGAATGTGATGCCCCTGCTTGCATATAACGTTATAAAGGGGCATAACTCCAGAACGGTAAGAGTGACGCCACCCAAATTTGATCTTGATCTGAGTTTTGTGGTAATAATCATTGTGTATAAGTTTCATAACATTTGTTTGAGGCAAACTAAAGCTAGAGAAAGGAAACCAATTTTGGGACATACTTATGTACATACGGGCAAGGGTAAACCTTAATGACCCCTCGGCTATGGCAGGGCCATAAAAAACATTGAATATCTGAAAATAGTGTTTAGTGACAAAAAATTACATTTACTGGTATATAACGTTTTTGCCTTTTTTTACAGGAAAAAATTGAAATCATTGAAAAACTAAGTTTAATCATTTTCCCAAATTTAAATGCTCAAAACAGTCTCTTCTCATTTGTGAACCATAACAATGTCTACAACAGTAATTGCAGAATTCTAAAATTCCTATCTCCTCTCCATCTACCAATTTTAAACAGAGATCGTCATTTTCATATTCCATACCTTAAGGGCAGATGTAGGTTTGTTAGATAGAGGCTGCGGGATTTAATTAAAGTAACTTACGTGAATAAGCCCTGCATGTCTTTGTACTAGAATCAAACAGTCCTGTGTTACAGTGTTCAGTAGATATAGTCCTGCCATGATCACAGATGATATAGTCTGGTGTCATTGGTCTGTCAGGGTAGGAGTTAGCACCATCAGGTAGACCTACACAGCTAGGATGAGACTTCTCACAGCTACCACAGCCCACTCCAATACACTGTGTCTGTAGGTATTCACCTGAAAAAATATATAAAATATCAAACAAAAGTAATTTTCACAATAATGGCATTACTATATATCTAAGAATATTGTCACAGAAAATTTTCTGTAGCTTTATCTACTATCATTCCATTTTGAAATGCACAGATACTAGTATATGATACTTTTAGCCTGTGTTTACACAATATCTTTTTCAAATGATAAAATCCTTTTAATTTTCAAACTGGATACTGAAACTCTAATAAAAGTTTTTTGTTTGATAATATTTATATTTTATGAGGCCTTTGTTAGTCTTGTATGTTTTTTCAATTTTAGTTCCTTTATATGTTTTGGAGTTTAGTGTGACGTCCATTTTCACCGAACCAGTACACAATTTTATTTCGGGGCCAGCTGAGGACTACCTCCAGGTGCGGGATTTTCTCACTGTGTTGAAGACCCATTGGTGGCCTTCGGCTGTTATCTGCTCTTTGGTCGGGTTGTTGACATATTCCACATTTCCATTCTCAATTTTATTAGTTTGAATTTCTAAACATTCGAGGCCAGATTTACAGGTGGGAGAACTTAATGGTCTAGTGTAAACCATCATCTAAGAAACTCTGTCACATATATAAAATAACAAATAAAGAACAACTTGCTTAAAGAAATAGGAACTACTAATGTACTAAACTTTAAGGTTTATCTTAAAAAATCAATGTCCATATTCTGTGGATTCATTATTATTCAAAATTTCTATGTTGAATTTTTCAAACCCACGAAATTAAGTATCCATGGTAGTACAATTTTTCCTCAGTCCATGAAAATTGGTATCCATGATTATAATGAATAGACAATACAATAAGTAGTTTTAAAAATTTTCACATCAAATAGAAAGAACTTTCTCATCGGTACAAATTTAAGTATAAAAACTCAAAGAACTTACAAGGTGCTTTTGGTTGATATCTAGATTTACATTCCACCTGAGTGAAATGTTCACATTGCTGTATATCATCGTTAAACAATTGTGGGTATGGGCATTCCTGTAGGTACTGTCCAAACTCTGTTACTGGCTTACTACAGTCATAGTACTGGGCACAATTATCTGGCTTGGCTATCAATCCTGTAGACATACTACATGCTGATGGTTTCTTGTCTGAAATATAAAAGACATTGGCCAGTTTCCTTATTACAGTGCAAAATAAACTGATGCATGCTATGTAAGTGTTCAAACTCAAATTTGAGTGTTGTATCAATATCCTAAGTTGTGGTCTATTCTATCGTGATATAATAATATAACAGCATTTGCTTCTTGATTAGAATTTGTTTTTTGATAAAAAATCTCATGTCTCCCTTGTTACCACTTGTCTAATTTACAATAGACAGCAACTATGTAATTCTGTCATTTTTCTTTCCATTCTGATGAATGATATAGGAGACTTTGTACTAGAAAACATACATATATGTAATAATAGAAAAATTCAAAGTTTTATCTGAACTTCCAAAAATAAAAAAGAGTATAAAGTAATTCTGTAGAACTTTGTAAGTTCCAATGTAACTGCAGGAAATGCAAAAAAAAACCCATTAAAATGAAAGCTTCAAGTGAATATTAGAACTATGAAATTAATCATACCATCAACACACTGTTTCTTATAAGGATCAAACACTCCTGTTGTACACTTGTCTACAGACATAGTCCTGTTTTTATGACACACCAGATACGACTGTGTCCACAGTTTGGTAGCTATAGGATTGTTGCCATCAGGTAACTCTCTACAGCTCGGCAGTCTCTCTACACATTCTATACAACTAGGATCAGTACCACTACATAAATTCTGCAGATATTCACCTGAAAATATGGTTTTATATTAAAACTGAAAATTTATGAATTTTGTTTGAAATTTTTGTAAAACAGTGTGAAATTATGCTTGCTTATGAGATACAATCCATCTATACATGTACTACTAAATAACGAGGTTCAATTTGTTAGCCAGCATGACGTAAAAATGATGAATCAAAGAATTCAACTTTATATATAACTAATATAGGACAATGGCGTTGATTAAAAATTACACCATTCCAGGCCCTTTTGTTTTCCACATGATTAATATTACAAATAATTAACAAATTCCGGGTTGACAGGTACAAACAGAAAGATTTTGAAAGCAGAGGGAAACTGTGCAGCTTATAATCAGCATGACTTTATCAGATGACAACATGAATACTAAAAATCCAGGCTAAAATAAGGCGTAGGTACTTTAATTTAGTAACGGACACGCAATGTCGCGTTACTCAACATGTAAACTATGTAAAACATTCAAAGTCAATAGACCATGACTGAGGGGCGGAGCCAAATAATCTCCCTGGAAATGGATTGCCAATGCTAATGCTTCTACATACCAAATATCATTGAACTACCACTAGTGGTTCCCCTTAAACTGACCTAATCACAAACTAATACACGTAAAAGAAGCAAAAGTTTCAGAGTCAATAGACCATGACTGAGAGGGCAGGGTCAAATAATTTATATGGAAATGAGATGTGCAAATGCTAATACAACTGCATACCAAATCTCATTGACCTACCACTAGTGATTCCCCATAAACTGACCTAATCAGAAACTAATAAGTTGTTGACGTCACCGCTGCTGTCAGAAACAGCATACCTAAGTCTCGTTTTTTGACTCCTTCAAGGCGGGACAAAAATTAGTTAACATATAGTTTCTCATGGTAAATCTCCAGAAATTAAAATTATAACAGTACATTTACAGGTAATATATTCAAGGGTACATACAAGGTGCATATGGTTGGTGTCTTTTGTCACATGTCACATCTTTAAAGTCGTGACACTCCAGAGTATCGGTAGAAAACATCTGTGGATACGGACATTCTTTGATGTATTTAGTGACAGCAAATCCTGGACGTTTTGTTGTACAATCTATAAACTGGGCACAGTTGTATGGGTGAGGTCTGGCTATACCTGGATACTTGTCACATACATCATCTAAAGATTCTACAAAATAGATAGACAGTAGTTTTTAATCAAACTTTTTTCTCCATATATATAAAAGCCTCATGTGATGCACACTGTTTTTATTATTTCTAATATCATAATGACTTACCACGAAGAAATCTTAGTTTTGGCTTCAAATCATGAATATTGTGAAAAGCAACATATTTGGAAAAGAGGGAGGCAGGCAACAATACATTATGGTATTTAGGCAGTTATGTTCTAAGAGATTACAATAACACATTTGTTTCATTATTATTTAGCTTAAGTTTTTGCCAAACATTGCAATCAAAGGGCAAAAAAGGTTGTTTTCAATTAAGGAATATCAAAATCAGAATTGTGATCATATAGTTTTCAGTTAAAAATAGTTTATAATTTGCAACTCCATAAACTATCTACTTTGTGAAGCACTTTAAAGCCAAGTATAGGAATGACTGAAAAATAATACCTTTCTCTAACCCCAACTTCTGCACAATAAGAAAGCTCAATTCTAAATTGCTTTTATTCTGAAAGGTTTGTTGATCCAAATGAATGTCCTGTTTAAGAAATGAAGCAGTAGACTGTAAGTAGACTCCTGCTTAGTATTTTCCTTTATCAAAAAAGATTAGATAACCCATAGAAATGGCAAATCTTCTTATAATGAAAATAAAAAAATATTTGGAAGCCAAAAGGATTTGTTTTCCTTATCTGTATTGCAAAATATACATGCAAAAGGATAGCCTTTTTCTGAATTTTCAGAGAAACATGACTCTTATTGCATATTACTTGAAGAAGTAATTAGATACATTTTTGTGCTTATCAAATATGAATTGTTAACATCAGCACTACATGAAAATAACTCTTTTCTTACCTTTATCTACCTGGATGCAGGATCTAGATTCAGGACTAAATATATAATTGGTTTGACAGACTTCCTGTGTGATTGTTCTTCCATCTTTACACATGACATAATGGGCAGATAACTCTACATCTGGTTTAGAATTTGCTCCATCGGGTTTACCCACACAGCTGACAAATCTCTCATCACATGGAGTACAGTCTGATGTATGACACTTATTCAGTTCATATTCACCTGTTAAAAAGTATTTGAGATTTATTATTCTAAAAAGTAAATTTGATCAATTTTAGATTTGCCCTGATTGCAACTGTATTAATATTTCAATCAGTTAATTTTAACTGATTACTGTTAAGTTGAAGAATGTTTGTTTTGAAAATATAAAGCAGTAGTTTCAGTCAAAAATATAAATTAAATTTTGTATATTTTCACACATGTCCAGATTAAACCAATAATTTACCCACATACTGTGACATAGCAGAGTGAATAATGTGCTGTATGGTGGCCATTAATTGCTTACATCCACTTCATTTAAACTTTCGTGGATAGTCGTCTCATTGGCAATCATACCACATCTTCTTATTTTATAATGTGATAATGCACTTAATGTGTATAAGCTTTATTCATTCAGTATATCACTACAGTTAATTCAGAAATTCATGGATGCATTTATTTTTTGTGATTGTTGACAAAAGGACAACATTGTGAATTCAGAAAATGCTGAATACAATATGCAATCAAAATTTAAAATGAAAATTTTCATTGGTGTGAAAAATCATTACGTCACAATTTTTAAATTAATAAAAACATTGCAATAATTGCTAATTTACAGTAAATGGAAACCTTTGCAAACTTTCAAACTTGACCTTATTCCAACAATTCCTTTTTTCCCTTTGTTTGTGCATCTTTTTATATTCTAAATGTATATAAAATGAATCAGATTCTATGCCTACTCACATGGTCCCTTAGGTTCATTCTTTTGTCCACAGTTGACATCTGTATAGTATTTACATTGCCTGGTGTTGAGATCAAATAATTTTGGATAAGGACATTCCTCAATATAACTTCCCAGTAAAGTGTAAATATTACTACAGTTATAGTACTGTCCACAATTATCTGGATGAGGGAGAACTGCCGTGGGGTTGTGTTTACAGTAGTCAAAAACATTACCTAAAATTGATAGTTTAAAAGTTCAAATATACTTATCAAACAAATTTATACAACCTTTAGTTACCAATTTAATAAAACAAATTGAGTTAGTAAAATAAATTATTTCAGCATTAATTGAATACATTTTTACCACTACACTCACAAATAAATGCCATATTTTATATAGATTCACCAATGATATTTCTTTCAAATAGATTTATCTAATGCCAATCAGGAGTTTTCTTCTTCAAACTAAATCTTGTCTTTATGGTACAGTATCTAATTGAACACTCCAAATTAAATCTTTCCAAGCACTCAGTGTATGTGCAAAGCCAATTTTCATCCTGTGATATTGTTTGAAATCCACATGGAACAACCATTACTTGAAGGTACTGTCAAAATCTACTTGAAAGAACCATGACTTAATAAAGATAGTCAATATCCAAATGTAACAACCATGACTTCAAGAAAATGTTGTAATCAACTTGGAACAACCATGACTTAAAAGATGAAAAAATTCCCTTATGTCTGACGATTGTCTTACCAACAACTGTAGGATTAACACAGAACCTCCTATCAGGATCAAATTTCTGGTTATTTGGACAATCTGCTACTTCTATGGTTCTGTTACGATGGCACATGATAAACTTTGGTGTCCATAGTTGTCCAGCGAATGGATGACGTCCATCAGATAGACCCACACAGCTTGGAAGTCTTTCTATACATGGTTCACATTTATTATCTAGAGCCTTGCATTTGTTTTGATCAAATTCACCTGAAAAAGTACAGCTGATGTAGGTCAAGCAGAAACATTTGTTTTGTATGATTTAGTATTCTCAATACCCTGGTATACTTAATCAAACCAGTTTTATGTCACTGGGGATGAAAATAAAAACATAAATCTCTAAAATGAAAACATACTTGATAAATGACATCTTTTTTAAATGACATCTTTTTCAGAGACATCTATTTTACTAGTAAATACTAGTAACTCAAATTTTCAAATATCCATATTTTACTCAATCAAAAGTCCTTGTTTTACTCAATCATATATCCTTGTTTTACTCAATGGAATATCCTTGTTTTTCTCAATCAAATAACCTTGTTTTACTCGATCAAATATCCTTATCTTACTCATTTAAGATAGTACAAATTTTAAAGGGACATAACTATCAATATTGAGTGAAATAACAGCATTGAAAGCAGAGAGTCATTCAATTTCTGACTAGTTCTTGATCAATATTACTCCAGAATCATGTGTGTGCATGGAAATTATATCATATGTTTATTTAGTAATATCTTAAAAACTTACAAGGTGCTTGTGGTTCATATCTCTGGCCACACTGTACATATTCAAAGTTTTTACATGACCTATGTAGTGAGGAGTACAGGAATGGGTAGGGACACTCGTGTAGAACTGGATGGTATTTGTCAGAACAATCGTAATACTTAGCACAGTTAGTGGGATGTGGTGCTCTTCCATTCTGTTGGTTATGACATATGTTCATATATGTACCTGGACCTGAAATTTGTAAAAGGCTGTTTTGAAAATGCAAAAATATCAAATGTTAAAGCACACATGTAAGATAAATAGAACTGACTATAGTCTTTGTATAACTTTTATCAGTTTCTCAATGGTGGATTCATTGTTGCTAGTGGGGTGCCAATTTCTGTTGATTTTGAGGGTACAGGGAAACCATGACTTTAAATGTTAAATGAAGTTTAAATTGACTATAGGCTTTTATACAAACGTCTGAAAAACCAAAAAAATAAATGAATCCATAGTAATTAAATATTCTATACAACTAAACTGCATAAGGACATGTATATAGTCAAGAGTTGGTCAGTAAAAATTGTGGAAAACATACAGTGGTACGTAGTTACATTAAATAAGACTTACGTGGTGTGGTTTTATAATGACATCCTGCCTCGTCAGATTTATCACGGCACTGAATACGACCATCACATCGTGACAAAGGACTTACACATTGTCCATTATTACATCTCCACTCTCCTTCAGGACAAACTGTCTTAACTACACCTGAAACAGTTATGTATAATATTCAATAAAACATTGTTACTATGCTATTGTGCAAGATTCATTCTAATATGATGTTCTTCAATCGCATTGAGTATACACCTGTGGTAAAATATGAATATATTGTATGTCAGCTGATAGGCAATGTCATGATTTGTTTGGGTTGTACCAATCACACTCCCATATCATATGCTTTTATGAATAAGTTACCCAAGGTAAATCGTTGTAAATGATCAATGAACAATCGACTCAAACTGTGACATCAAAATATAAGCATTCTATGGGAAAATGCACAAATGCAAAAGTTTCCAAAACATGAATGCATTAACAAACAATAATACAAATTTGTTGAAAGTAAATTTTCTTGAATAAAAGTAAGATTATTAAATTTGTTCAGTAATCAAGTAATTATACAAAAATAAATTGATAAAAGGTCTGAAATATTTATTTGTGGTTGGCATACACAAATACTTATTGCACGATACACACCCAACCTCTGTTCAATTACAGGAACAGCAAATATTTGCTTCAACCTAGAGAACTTCGATCCAAAAGAATTGCTGTCTTTGTCCCATTAGAATAGAAATAAGTCATGGGGGCTTGAATTTATATTGATTTTACCACTGGTCCTTTATGCTAAATATTTTACCACGAGCAATAGCCACCATGAATTATTTCTTACATATTGAAGATAATGAAAGTTGAAGTCTGGTAAAGATCTCTGCTGGATGGGAGTAGTTAGGGCATCAAAATTGTCATACCTAAATATGTTTTTCATTTGTAATATTTAGTTACTTGAAACATACAATTCTTTAGGGAAATTTGATCAAATAGGAAATTCATTCTTAACAGGTTGAACAGGCATGATGGTGAGAAGAGCTGACACAAGACTTCTACACTATATATTTACAAGCTATCAAAACATTCAAATACTAGTTAATTAAGACTTTTCCTGAAATGTCAACTTACAATTCATTTCGTCTGATCGATCAGAACATTCAAACTGGTTATTACATCTGTCAGTAGCCTGTATACATTGTCCATTGTCACATTCAAATTGATCTACACCACAAGTTGGCACTAAAAAATATCATTATATAATCAAAATTTTATTCAATTCTACTAATAGATTTTAAAAACAGTTCATAAAAATTTCAGGACTCAAATATCATCAAATTGTAAATGTCTAAATGCAAAATGAATAATACTTCTTTGAACAGGAACTTTCATTTCTTAATATAGCAAATAAGATTTATTCTACAACAAGCATTCTGAGAGTATTACATGGCAATACATAGTCCCCTACAGTTTAAAAAATTAATTGTACTGGATCACTGGAACAAAACGCTAACTTGATCTATAACTTGTCATGGTGTATAGATATAAGAAGATGTGGTATGAGTGCCAATGAGACAACTCTCCATCCAAGTCAAAATTTATAAAAGTAAACCATTATAGGTCACAGTACGGTCTTCAACACAGAGCCTTGGCTCACACCTAACAGTAAGCTATAAATGGCCCCAAAAAAAACTGTAAACTATATAACAAATATCAAGACAATATCTTCTAGCATGAAGAAAAAAAATGTGGAAAACTGATTATCTAAGTGAAGTCCAAGGACCATAACTCTGCACAAAATCATCAGCACCGGAACAAAATTCAAACTTGGTCTGTAACTTGTCATGATGAAACTATATACCAATTATCAAATCAATATCTTTAAGCATGACGAAAAAGTGTGGAAAACTTATTATTTGAGTGAATTTTCTAAATCCAAGGACCATAACTCTTCACAAAATTATCAGACTGGAACAAAATTCTAACTTGATCTGTAACTTGTCATGATAAAACAATGTACCAATTATTAAATCAATATCGTCAAGCATGACGAATGGTCTGTAACTTGTCATGATAAAACTATATACCAATTATCAAATCAATATCTTTAAGCATGACGAAAAAAGTGTGGAAAACTTATTATTTGAGTGAATTTTCTAAGTCCAAGGACCATAACTCTTCACAAAATTATCAGACTGCAACAAAATTCTAACTTGATCTGTAACTTGTCATGATAAAACAATGTACCAATTATTAAATCAATATCTTTACGCATGACGAAAAAAAGTGCGGAAAACTAAATATTTGAGTGACTTTTCTAAGTCCATGGACCATAACTCTGCACAAAATTCTCAGACCAGAACAAAATTCGAACTTGATCTGTAACTTGTCATGATAAAACAATACACCAAATATCAAATCAATATCTTCAAGCATGAAGAAAAAAAGTGTGGAAAACTGATTTGCCTGACTGACGGATGGACAGATGGACGGAGTGCAAACCTAAAGTCCCCTCGACTTCGTCTGTAGGGGACTAAATAAATGGTTGTATACCTGGAGTGGTGTGCTGTTCTACCAGACATCTCCTTGTCTGTTCATCAAAATATCCCATGGAGCATTCTTTAATTTCCTGAGTCCTTTCTTTATAACAGTTGATATATTTTGTCCAATGTCTGTGTCCAGGATAGGCATTGTCACCATCAGGAAGTCCCAAACAACTGGGTAGTCTCATAGGACATGGCAGACATGACTGGTCAGAAGATGGACACTGGTTCTGTAGATACTGACCTGTAAACACAGAGTAAAAGCTATGTACAGTTTTTTATCAAAAATTGACCAAAGATTTTTTTGTATAGTGAGCTGTTAACTAGAATGTTGCCATTTTGATCAAAAGTATTTAACACAAATCAGGTGGTTTTTTCTCACATTTTTTTTTTAATGTTTATATTCCCACAAGTCCTTTGGTTTAAATTATGTTAACAAAATAACATACTTACAAGACAAAGGAAATTATTGGACGACTGTATTTAAACCTTTTATAAAAAATACTTTTTTACAAGTTTTATAAAGCATTCAAAGTTTACTGAAGTCATGTTGTAAATTTTGTACCTACATCCTGGTCCTTTCGTGATCACATAATGACACATGACCAATTATTTTACAGAAACATTAAAACATTAGTTATCTAACCTTTACTTGCATTGCTTTTTACAACTGTTCAAACATATTATTATCTTAAACATATATTTTCTCTAATCCTATTTTTTTTTTAAATTTAGAACTCATTTCACTAATATACCTCTTGTTAAATAAATTGTACTTTATTTAACTTAACAAAAATTTTATAAAAACTCACAAGGTGCTTTAGGCTCTGTCCTGGCTCCACAAGTCACCTGCTCAAAGTCTTCACATCTGAGAGTAGCCACAGAGAACAGCTTTGGATAGGTACATTCATGTAAATAGGGTTGGTAAATAGAATTACGATTAGAACAATCATAATACTGGGCACAATTCACCTTATTTGGTATTCTGGCATCTGGATGATGTGAACAGAATGTGGCAATGTTGTCTAAAAATAAATAAAAGTCAGATAAGTATGCATTCTAATGATTAACGCTGAAAAATATTTGCTGAAAGCTTATTTTATATTATTACCACCATAATTAAACATGAAAATAAATAAACAGTATGACTTTCTTATAAATATTAGAATGAATATTTTTTTAAATAGAAATATTCAAACTATTTAACTATCAATTTTTAAAAATTCCAGAGAGGATTTATAAAGATCTTATCAGAAATTCAGAATTAAGAATTTCAGTTTTTTAAATGGATAATTTAGTTGAGCATCTCCCATTAAAGTGTCATTTTAAAATATTTTTGCATCTAAAACTTAGATGTGGTATGATTGCAAATGAGAAAACTTTCCACCAGAGACAAAATGACATAAAAGTTAGCACATATAGGTCACTGTACACCCTTCAACAATAAGCAAAACCCATACTATATAGCAAGCTATAAAAGGCACAGCCTAACAAATGTGAAACAAAGTCCTTTACAGAGTGCAAAACTTTGATATATGTTTTTAGTCACATCTTTAATTAAAAAAATAAAGAAAAAATGTAATCAGAGCTAAAAAATTTGTACTGTCTTCACCAATTCCCCAGTTGTGCATAGATATGGCAAAATCACTGAAAAAATCATTTGATGTGAATGATACTGCAGAATTTCAGAAAGATAAATTGAAAACCAGTAATTAGAAAGGGTGGAGTTATAAATAAAAAGTTAGGATAGTTATATAGGTATAAAAAAGCTGACCTGTTCCCACTTGTGAACTGCATTTCCTGTTTTGAGGATCAAAGAAGCCATGACTACACTGTTTAATGGTCTTAGTTCTGTTTTTGTAGCAGACGACATAATGTTGTGACCAAATTTTTCCTGCAAATACATTGTCCCCATCTGGTAAACCAACACAGCTGGGTAAACGTTCTGGACATGGTATACATTTCTCATAAGGATCCAGACATAAGTTCTTTTCATAAGAACCTGGAGAAGAAAATAAAGAGAGAACATTTGTGGTTTTTTAAAATCTTGAAATATCATCAAAAATATATATATGCATTTGCCTGTTTAAGTCTATAAAACAATATATTCAAACCAATTTGAATAAATCCTAGCTTTATTCACCTTATATATGATCTTTGACATCAATATATGTCTAGTTTTAGATTACTCATTCTCACAACATTTATCCTGATAACTCAGTGCTATGGATGAGTCATTGCTCCCAAAATTTCTTTCTTTCAACTCAACTGATAAAAGTATTGGAGAAACAATACTGTAAAATTTTTGTGTGCATTTATTCTATTGATTGTTGGACAATCGACACAAATGTGAGTTTTATTATGGCTATTTCAGGAAAAGCTGCATAAAAATAATGCTATAAATGTATCAAAATTTAAAGGGGCATTAGCTGTCAAATTCATGTTCACCGATTCGACTAAAATTCTCATATTTGAATAATAACATACTAAAACGATATACAAATTATAAGAAGTCTAAAATAAACAAGTACGGTGACCTATAGCTGTTAATGTCTGTGTCATTTAGTCTCTTGTGGAGAGTTGTCTCATTGGCAATCATACCACATCTTTTTATTTTAAAATTTACAATGCTCGATAAAATGTATTTGCAATTAGTGTGTATTTTAGTCTAGACGCCATCTAATTAACCATTGAAGTGACCTCTCAAGACTGACGATGGTCATATAACCTGATGTAAACATCAATATAGATACAAATAGATAGCGAACACATGCAATTGGATTTTTCTAGGTCTGTTTGATTTCATAGCATAGGTTAAACAAATATTTTAATCATCATTTTTACCTGTATAAGAATGAGTTTTTGTTGATCGCATCAGTCTACGAAATTGTTAAACCTAGTTTCACTTTCAATGTTAACATTCTCTTCCTTTTAATAGCTAAACAGTAAAACATGCCTAGTGCATGCATAACCCATCTCCAGCTAAGGGGTTAAATTGGAGGTCACATGAATACGAATTCAATGAGGTAGAATTATTCACTTGCAAGTGAATAATTCATCAGCGATGTTTCTTAGCTTATTTTGACAAAATTGAACCAAACTGGCTGCTAATAGCAAATTATTATTTCACTATTTCACTTTCATTAAATGAAAAAAATTCTATTCTAATTTTTTGTATATCTTGTAGCTAATGCACCTTTAAATGTGAGTTTCATTTTTGCTACACCTATCTCTTAGCAATTTTCATACTTACAAAAACTTCGGAAAAATTTCTTAATTTACAGTACTCAAAACATCCCACACAAATCCAATGTTAATGCAGAGACAAAACTCAAGGTTTATTGTTGTGATAAAATATAACTTTCAAATGCGCCTACTATACATGAAGTAAAACATCTTTCAACTAAAACATATAAAATTTAAATTGACTTACATGGTGCCTGGGGTTCTGGAACCTTTCCACATGTGACTCTTGTAAATTCTCCACATTCCAATGTGTCTGGGTTAAAGAGGTCAGGATAAGGGCATTCTTTAACATATCCACCAATACGTCTGGTATATCTACAGTCAATATACTGACCACAGTTCTCAGAACTTCTTATGAGTATTCTAGGATTGGTATTACAGAATTGGTTACCATCTCCTAGTAAATTATAAGGAAATTTCGATGAATACTTTGTTGTTGATAAGATTTTTGTATGTGTTTATGTTTTAGGAGTTGGTAGTTGGTGTTATCTGTTTGACTGTCATATATTTTTGGTAGTTTCTATTATCCTTTTTATGTATTATTTTAACATAATAATCATATAAAAACTCAAAAAAAATTTAAAAAATGGATGAAATAATAATCATTTTCTAAGTAGATAAGTACTGTAAATTCAGAAATTATTGCGTGCATTTATTATTGCGATTTTGTCATTTTAGACTAAAATGCGGTTTTAATTTTTGCGATATTCAGAAAAATCCTGTTTGATTCATATAAAAAATTTCAAACTGCGAGTTTTAATTATTGCGATGATAACCCTGTCGCATTTTTCGCAATAATAAAAACATCGCAATAATTTCTAAATTTACAGTATATATTTTAACAACAAAAGCAAATATCACCATTTTTTACTGCTTTCGGTCGTTAACATGTTTTTATCCACCTTAAGTTTTTTCTGGCAAAATAATTTTTTCTCACATTAAATTTTTCTAGTAATATACTTTTTTAAAATTTAGACTCCTATCTAGTAAAAAAATTCAGTCATTTTAAAATATACTATGCAACATACAATTTTTGACTTGACTGATAAAATCATCAAATATATGTGTATGACATTTTACATTTGATTATTGACTTTACAGATATTAGATGTTTCAGCATTGCATTCCTTTTTGGTATTGAACCTTGTGGTACAATTTCATAGAGATCCATAGACTTATACTCAAGTTATTGTCTGGAAACCAAATGTCTTCAGACGAAGATGATGACGAAATACCATTATACGAACGCACAAATTTTGCGGATGTATAAAAATGGGACAAATAGTTTTTTCATTCTAAAAAGTAAAATTTCAATGGTCACTTGTCCCAAGGGGCAAGTTGATATTAAGAAAGTTAATGTCAAACCCTAAAAATACATTCTAGTTTTCTTGATCCTCAAACAAGCATTGATATTTCAATGGTATTTTAAAATGTATTGTATCTGAATTCTTTACCTGACTTGATAGCTGTTACACAAGCTTTTTCCTGAGGACTAAAATATCCTTGTTTACAGTGTAGAACATGTAATGTCCTGTTACGGTCACACTGGACATAGTCTTTAGACCAGAGTCTGCCTGGAATAGGGTTGAGTCCATCAGGTAGTCCTATACAGCTAGGAAGTCTCTGTGGACATGGTGTACAGCTAGTGTCTGTAGCTTTACATAGATTCTGTTGATATTCGCCTGTAGAGAATATAAAATAGTTTTAAAGAATAAAGGATGTGTTGGTTATACCGTTACATAAATGAGACTCAACCCAATGACAAAAATACCCAAAAAAGGCAACTTCAGGTTAACATAAGCAAATTTTTCTCAAATTATATCTGATTCAAATTATATATAAATAAGAAGATGTGGTATGAGTGCCAATGAGACTTCTCTCCATCCAAGTCACAATGTATAAAAAGTTAACAATTATAGGTCGAAGTACGGCCTTCAACACGAATCCTTGGCTCACACCGAACAGCAAGCTATAAAGGGCCCCAAAATTACTAGTGTAAAACAATTCAAACAGGAAAACCAACGGTCTGATCTATATAAAAAACGAGAAACAAGAAACACTTATGAACCACATCAACAAACGACAACCACTGAACAACAGGCTCCCGACTTAGGACAGGTGCATAAAAATTCAGCGGGTTTAAACGTTTTAACAGGCGCAAACCTTCACCCTAACCTGAGACAGTAGTGTAACATTACAACATAAAAAGACACACTATATATATCAATTGAAATGGCTTAACTCGATCAAAAAGACATTTAAACAAAAACAAGTAAACATAGGCTGAAGGAATTATATATAAGTTTGATCTATGACACAATATAAATACAATATTAATAAAAAAAAGATGTAGGAACATTTTTATAAAATTGATAAATTTGTATGCCTTTTTTACCCTTCAGAGACGCTTGATCATTTGTGCATTTTATCAAATGGGACTGATTTTGCTCAAGTCTAGATAGCCAAAGAAAACAGAATTAAATTTTGAATATTTAACTTAACCATGATGATATCTCTATTGATATTCAGTGTAATTTAACTTATATATCATATGTTCAGGAGGGGTATATGTGAAAAACTCCAAGTTTGAGATGAAATTTCCTTTGCTGGTAATGTTCCATCCCAACTAGTACTATTGACAAATACCCCTTCTGAACATGATACATCTGTTCAAAACACTTATATTTTTGGTAGTTTCTATTATCCTTTTTATGTATTATTTTAACATAATAATCATATAAAAACTAAAAAAAAATTTAAAAAATGGATGAAATAATAATCATTTTCTAAGTAGATAAGTATATATTTTAACAACAAAAGCAAATATCACCATTTTTTACTGCTTTCGGTCGTTAACATGTTTTTATCCACCTTAAGTTTTTTCTGGCAAAATAATTTGTAATGCAAGATATCTATTTCAAATTCTTATTCATTTTAATGGCAAGTATTGCCAACAAAGTTTAAAGAAATTTATTGCAACAACTATCATCAGGTAGACTTAACTGAGGTTAAACTAAATATGTTACACATCTTTTTTCTATCAAAATGATTCATGCTTTGGGCTACTTTAAATCAAGTTCAGAACATGCTTCCTGATGGTATATATATAGTCATATCTAATATTTTCTGAGCATTAGAGAACAGGTTGTCATGGAGAGCATATTGTCAATTATATCTTCTGTAACACTTTTCCTAACAAACAATGCATCATTAGAGAATATTGTTTATACGAGTATCCTAATTCTTTTAACATTCTGCTGTGGTATTATTACATACATCACTGTAAGAACATTGACAATTGGATTTAAATCTACTAAACCATGTCAAAATATGGAATCGGGTGAAAAGGATTTTGAAATAAGTGACACAGTCATCGGTAGATTTCAACAAGCTTTGCATTTTAAAACAACATTAGGTGAATCGAAAGAGTTTTCAAATATGATAAAATTCTTACAAGACAGTTTCAAAACAATTCATAAGTCAAAATATGTTACCATTGAGATAGTAGAAGACTACAGTCTGTTGTATACAGTGTCTGGGTCAAACAAAAGCTTGACACCTTATATGGTATTAGGACATCTAGATGTTGCCACAGCAGAACCTAAGCTTTGGATTTTGCCTCCATTTTCAGGGAAGATTAAAGATGGCTACATTTATAGCAGAGGAACAATGGATTTCAAGAATGGGGTAATGGGAATACTTGAAGCTTTGGAAGACTTACTAGAACATGGTTTTGAGCCATCAAGGACAATCTATATTTCTTTTGGTCATGATAAAGGAAATGACAGCCAAAATGGAGCCACAGGAGCTAGCCAATTGTTACAACACCGTGGACTGAAAAAACTTGAGTTTATTCTTGATCAGGGCTGTACCGTAGCAGGTGAAGTTAGTGGCATAGCATTAATTGGAGTTACAGAAAAGTCTATACTAGATCTAACTCTGACAGTCAGGGGTTTAGGTGGTCACTCTGCCTTACGTCTTGGACCTACTCCGTTTGGTGTTTTAGCCAAAGCAATCACCAAGATTGAAAATCACAAACATCCCAGCCTGTTAGGACAAGGCCCAGAGAAAGAAATGTTGGAAAAGATGGCCCCAGTCATGAATATATGGCTTAAAATATTGTGGAGCAATATATGGCTGTTTAAACCAATTATAACTACTATGATGTCTTATAATCCAACCTTGAATGCCATGATAAGATCTGTACATAATGTTACCAACATTAATACAGAGCAAATAAAAATAAGGAAATACCAAATAGCCGAGAATGTCACTGCTCATGTGACCATACATTTCCATCCATCACAGACAGTTGGCAACGTGATAAATCACTTCCATAGAGTCATTAATGACAAAAGAGTAGAGATTTCAACCATGTATAGAAGTAGGACTGCATCCATGTCACCTTATGGTGACAGCCATTTTGGATATCAGACCATTTATAGGAGTATCCAGCAAGTTTTTCAGCCATATTTGATTTCCCCCGCTATATTCCCAATAGAAAGTAGTTCTTCTAGATACCATATGTTCACAAATAATATCTACAGATTTAGTCCACTTGTTAATAATCTGGGGGATGATCAACGAATTCATGGTAAGAATGAGAGGATTTCAGTGAAAGACTACGGCAAAACTATCAACTTTTATAAATATCTCATGATAAACGCTGATAAAACCTCAATCTGAATCATTGTAACATTTAATACTGATAGACTTTAATATTGCAAAACTAAATTTCAGTAAAATAGTAAGGCCAAATTAAATTAAATTTTCTGTTCTCAGGTTAGCCTTCATCCTTTTTCATGTGTCCGTGTTACCGATCAATTTTACTTTTCATTAACAAACAATAAATTGCTTCGCTGCGAATTGACCCCCTCCACCCCCCCACCTAAATAAAACTGACCCCATTTTTTGCTTTTGTGCAATACACTATCCTGTAGAATATTAACCCCCAGAAAAAAATATTTGAAGAAATTTTCTTTTTAATTTCTGAAATCTGAAATGAGAAAAAATAGTCCCCCCCCCCCCCCCCCCCCAATTGTTTTTTCACCTCCCCCTTTCCCTTATTCCAAAAAAAAAATCATTCCCTCAAGATATAGTCATAATATTAATTCAAATTTTAATAAAATTTACAACCATAATTACCCTTTTAAATACATCATACAAGTCTTAAAATATAAAATGACATACATAGTCATGGCTAAAACTAATATTAATTAATAATAACTTTTATAAATAAATTGACAGCTAATCACCTCAAGACAATCATCATTTCTTAATACATTATTTGCAAGCAGTGTAAGGGAGGTAATAAAACATTGTTGTTTTGTATTGGGATTAGATTACCTCCCTTAGACTGCTTTAAATTGTCTTAATTGTCCTTTAACCAGAAAAAAACTTGTTTTTCCCTCTTTTTTGCCTCTAATTCCTAAATGGTTTGAGCCATAGCTCCCCATAGTCAATCCTAACCATCCCTTTGTTGTATGGAAACTTGTGGTATAATTTCAGTGAGATTCATACACTTTAACACAAGTTATTGTCCGGAAACTACAAAAATGCTTATTTGGGCCCCTTTTTTGGCCCCTAATTCCAAAACAATTGGGACCATAACCCCCAAAATCAATCCCAACCTTCCTTTAGTGGTTATAAACCTTGTGTTAAAATTTTATTGATTTCTATTTACTTATACTAAAGTTATTATCCGGAAACCATCTGTCTTCAGACGACGCTGACGATGACAATGTGATACCAATATACGACCAAAAAATTAAATGCGGTCGTATAAAAATCAACAGAAATGCTGTTCAATATAAAATCAACAGAAATGTTGTCCCAATACAAGATAAACAAAAAAACTCTAAGAATTCTTTTGCATCTTCAACAATGTGTGTCAAACATCAGAGAGGTTCCAAATAATTCAATATCAAACAATTACATGTTTGAATTTATCTATCTGACAAAGGTTCCATGAGCATTTGATTGAAAAACCAGGCCAAATATGAAGAATGCCAGTGGTGTTAATAAGTCTTTGACTGAGAGTAATAACAGCGAAAAGTATCTATATATTTTGTTCTATTAATTCATTATCAAGTTTATATATTGCTTTAAATATTATATGTTATTTATTTAGTATGATGGTTTTGGCAAAGTTCTAACCTTTTTTGGAATAAAATGGGCTGAGAACAGTCTGTTTTGTGTGAACAATTTTATTTGTATAAAAATTAAGAAATATTCCGTGAAGGACAAAATTCACAAGCAATTACAAGAAATTGATGCCTTTATTCTTATTTCTTTGCAAACTAATGGTAGAATAGAATTTAGAAATTCGGCAATTTTTTAAAAACTTTCTGGATTAAATTCATTTTTTTTAGAACTCTGGTTCTGAAAAAGTGAATTTTGAATTTTTAACTATGTTCTCCCAAATATAATTGCTTACTGCACTTCTATTGTCTTTCTACAAAAATTATTAATAAACTTTGTGATATATGTTGTCAATTTAGGGGAGATCTTTTAAATGTATATCACTGCAAATAAACCATTACTTGCAATCTTTTTAGGACATAACGACCACAATAACAGGTACCCTCATTTTCTATTTTACTTTATGAATATGAATATTTTTTTTATCATTATTAACTGTTTTGTTTCTATTGATAATTTTTGTTTCATTTACAAAATAATTGTTTTTGAAATTAGAAAGATAATTATCATATACCGTATATAATTTTTACTGTCTATCTACCTTAAAGTGGGACACCAGTACTTTATAAAATAAACCTATGAATAAATAAGAGTGGTACTAGATTTGTCACCTTGTTACCTCCAAGCAGATTATCTACTTACATGGTGCCTGGGGTACATGTCGTGGTTTACAAACAACATTTCCAAAGTGTTCACATCTTAATGTTAAGATAGAAAATAATTCTGGATAATGACATTCTTCAATATATCTGCCATACTGTGATGTAGGATTAGAACAATTATAATATAAAGCACAGTCTCCTGGATGCTTTACTATTGCATGTGGGTGCTGCTGGCAGTAAACATCTATCTGATCTAAAAAAATAAAAAAGAAAGAAAAAGTTTTAAATATGTATTTACCTTAGGAAGTCCTACTGCTGTAAATTGGTCGTACTCTTGTTTGCTGTATGAGACCTTACAATTTTATCCAGATGCCACAATAGTTGGGAGTATTTCAGATGTGTATAAATGAGGCTTATTTCAAGAGGTTTGTCAGTTGTGATTCAGTCAAACATTTAAATTAGTTTCATGTAGTTATTGACTCTAAAGCTTATAGCTGTATCCTTTTCTTTATAAATTCTGTTTAATTGTAACAAAGATAGTTCCAAATTGTTATTCAATCAAAAATCTAAAAGAAAAAGAAGTTATTCAGTCTTGTAATGACTTCAAAGGACAGTTAAAGTACACTTCAAAGGAAAACCTGTTGATGACCAATTAAAAAACACTGACTTTAATTTTACTTAAAAATACAATGTATCAATCATTTTTAAAACATACAGCATCATTAATACATAACAACTTGAACAGAGCTTAACCCCTACATAGCTTCTTGGTATATTTTTTTAGTCTACTGCTATAATGGTGGCACTACAAATTATTTGATTACTAACAGATGTTTGGAGCTATTGACTTCAAAATAACTATTTGATTGTTTCATGTTTTAATCACTGTGGTGACAAAGGGAGAACATTATGCATTACTCCAATCTGTTTTTGTCAATAAAGTTTGGTAAACACTATACAGGCTTCCTGCTGGTTACCTATTTATTTAATTGTGACAAATTCTTTTGCTCATTTCAGTCATAACATGAGGAATGTTGAAGTGTTAATGTTAACACACACACACACACAAATACAAATAAGGGTTTAACATCATTCTATACAAAACAAACAATATACCTGTGTTAACAGTATCAGAGCATGTCTTCTTCACAGGATCAAATAAACCCTGTTGGCAGACCTTCTCCTCTAATGTTCTGTTCTGAAAACATCTAACATATTGTGCCTGCCATTTCCTATATGTTATAGCCTGGTCCCCATTAGGTACACCAATACATGAATGGTGGACTTTCTCACATGTAGTACATGTCAGGTCCTTTGATTTACACTGATATTGGAGATATTCACCTTTAAATGAAATAATAATATAGATATAACACTAAAAAAAGCAAAGAAACAGTACTGTTTTATTTTATTGTAAAAGTGTTTACCTTCATCTACAAAATATTTATCTTCAACAGCAAAAATCAACCTCGGTATCCAAATCACATAATGTTGTAATATGGTACTATCCTGTAAACTGGACATTTAATCCTGTTTTTTAAAGTTTAAGACCATGAGAAATTATTCAAAAATATTACATATTGCTCAAGTCTCTTGATTTTATTGGATTTCTTTTCTTTGCTAAAGGTGATCAGAGTACTACACACACATAAACACATATTATAACTTTCTCATTAGTTCATTATGTCACCATTAGCATTTGATTCAGAGTTCAGAATACTAGTAAATGGTAATGACCAATCAGCAGGTTTTGAATTTCGTTACATTTATTGAATCACATTCTAAAAAAAAAAGACTATGGTGTACTTTTTCTTTCTGGGTAGTTATAAAATTTTAATATGGTACAAGGAAACCTTTGTTAAAGTTAACATTATAAAATAGACAGGTTATATCTAATAACTTAACATTTCACTAACAATAAATATATTTGGATCCTATAACTAAACAGTTTATTCTTCGGCATTCATACCACATTTCCTCTTTATAAATAGTAAAAGAGAATCTTACATGGAGCTTGTGGTATAGGTCTTTTGTCTGGTGTGACTGTGACAAAGTCTTCACATCTATGGCTGATTGTGGAGAATAACTGTGGGTAAGGACATTCCATCAGATAATGGCCATTTGGTGAGCTGTATTTTGAACAATCAAAGTACTGGGCAGCATTCAAGGAACTGGCTATTATACCATTAGGATTGTATTGACAGTACTTCAGTAGGTCTCCTGCAAATATATGTTATAACACATTTTACATTATAAATACTAAGTATAAAGATTTACTGTGAATTCATTATTAATAGTGGGATACCAATTTTTTTTTTATTTTGTGTGTACAGATGAACCACAAACTCAAATGTTCAACGAAGAACAAAATTTCTATAGACTTGTAGGCACATTTTTGTAAAACCACAATATCAAATATCAAATGATAATACAATTTTTCCTTAATCCACAAAAATAAACGAATTCTCAGTATCTTTTAACATACAAAATCTTCATTTCTAGTCCATATTTATTTAATTTCACATCAAAAAAAATTACTACTTTATAACAATTTTGCAAAGAAACAAACCAAATTTCAGTTATAATAATATTTCTGTTATAATTTCTCCAACTGTTGACAGAGCATTCAACATACCTGGATGCAGATAGACTACACAAAGTCTTTCCACTGGATTAAATACTCCAGAAGTACAAATCCCTGTGGACACGGTACGGTTCTTCAGACATACTACATAATGATCAGTCCATGGTAAGATGGCATTACGTCCATCAGGTAGTCCTACACAGCTGGGATGTCTCTCAGGACATGGCTTACATGTTGTGTCTCCTTGTCTACACAGGTTCTGGCTATATTCACCTATAAAGCATTCAAATGTATTACTAGCTTATAAAAAGATCTGTGTTAAATACAAAGAAATTTATTTATCTGATGTTTTATATGAACATTTGTATGTATTACTCTGTATCAAAAGACCTCTGAAATGTTGGTTTTTCCATAAAGATATCTGACCTGAGTGAGTTTAGAAACCTACCTGTAGCAGTGATCGGATGAAGAGATCTAAATGGTATGTGTTGATCAATGTAGGGCAAACAGGTTTGAACTAACTTTTGCAGACAACCAAATGCTAATCAACCATTTAGGGTTTTTTTCTCAACAAAAATTGTGTAAAACAAAATGATTGGTTGATTGATTGGTGATTGCTTTCCACTGCATCAGCACAAAAAGGCTATTTTATGGCTACAACAAAATGCCTCTAATCTTTTATTTCCACTTACAAGGTGCTTGTGGTTCTGGTCTCTTTTCACAGGTAACATCTCTATAACTTCTACACCCTTGATATACAGTGGAGTAGAGTTCTGGGTATTTACATTCCACCAGATATCCTGTGCTGGGTTTTGAACAATCATAGTACTGAGCACAGTTCTGCTGATTCTCAAACTTCAGAGTTGGGTTGGCCTTACAAATACTTACAATATTACCTATATAATACACACAAATTATGAAAATTAGAAGAGAATTAAAGCAAATACACCAATAATTATTATCATTGCATATAATATGTTTCTGGTACTAATGATGATGATGGATGGCTGCTTAACTTCCCACCAAATTAAATGCATATCCAGGATGGGCTTCTGGTACCATTAAGGCCATATGAATGTTAAAGAATTAGCTATATTTTGAAATAAAAACCTTTTTTTTCAATGTCTACATTTGTACCTTCTGAAGGAAGTATTCTTCAAAGACATTTTACTTAAGAGTGTTGTCGACAGTTCTACAAATATGTATTTTAAAGGTATATTTTTTCATTTTTTATTCTATTGAGAAACTTACTGAAATCAATGAGCAGAGTACACCTTTTATTAACAGGATCAAATAATCCTGTCTGACATTTAGTCACTGATATTGTCCTGTTTCTGAGGCATATCAAATAGTCAGGTGACCAATATTGACCAATCACAGGTACATTTCCATCAGGTCGACCAACACAACTTGGCAGTCTCTGAGAACATGGTTTACAATTGGTGTCTCCTGATCTACACTGGTTCTCCATGTATTCACCTGTAAAGTATCAAGAAAATTTGTGGTTGGTTATCAATGTATACCTAAAAGTACTGGCTAAGGTTGATACCCAGTGTTTAACTCAGCATAAAGTTACCCATATAAGGGAGTTGACATCTTGTATTTCTTGTATTCCTTGCTTGAATTATAAGTTGGTATCGTATATTTTAAAATTGATAAACATTAAAAGATAATATCATGAATTTATTATAATTTTTTATACATTTTAGTTTGTTTTTAAATATACTGCAATTGCTGAAGTATTCATGGTTCATGTATACATAATACGATTGTATCTCAGATTTTATGAAATTGTGTACTGGCAGGAACAACAAGTAAAACTGTGAGCTACTGCTCACTGATGATACCCCTGCCGAAATATTTCGGTAAACAGGAAGTTGTTGAGTGATGAATCTGAAAACGCATCACACAGTATAGCTGACTTATATAAACCCTGATACCAAATTTCAGAAATCCTTGTCAAGTAGTTGCTGAGAAAAATGCAACGAAAATATTCATGGGATGGTCGGACTGACGGATGGACTGACGGATGGATGGACTGAGGGAAGGACAGACAGAGGTAAAACAGTATACCCCCACTTTTTTAAAGCAGGGGTATAAAAAAACATAAACTTTTTGCTAGATACACTATGAATCAATCAGGCCAAGTATGGTTGAAATTGGTCAAATGGTTTCAGAGAAGACCATTTTTTAAATCTTAACAATGATGGAAAAAAGACGCCAAGTGATGGCAATAGCTAAGCTAAAGATTTGTGAAATTTATAGAATGCACGTAAAAAGTGACATACAAGGGCAATTTCTCTAAAAAAAGTAGGTGTCTGACAGATTGAAAGTGCTCATCATCACTGCACTTACTGTAAGATGGTACATCTACTATAAATTAAATGGCTGTTGACCAGTGAGAATCTCTGACAAGACATGGTATCTGTACTATTACTTACATGGTGCTTGTGGTTGTGGTCTCTGTTGACAAATGACCAGTGAGAATCTCTGACAAGACATGGTACTGAGTGAGAAGAGATCAGGATAACTACATTCTCTCAACATGGAACCTTTCATGTAATCTTGACATGTGTAGTACTGGGCACAGTTAGTCATGGATGGCATCACACTATTTGGATTGGCTTGACAGAACTCCTTGATGTGCACTGAAATGTAATAGACGGATTTTGAATTTGTGCATTTTTCTATACTTTTTCAATGGCACAATGCGTCTAGTATTCCATTACAGTAAAAGTTGATTGTTCAATAACATCACTTAAGTCAATTGACCTTGGGTCAACTGGCGTAAGTCATTCATAAAAATGAACTGAAAATTGGTCTATATAGTAACAATTTGTGGTATCAAGAGTTATTTTAACAGCTTTTTGAAACTGACAACTGAGTTTAGTTTATAAACACAGATACATGAATCTGTAATCACTTAAAATGCAGCATTCAAATTCATTTGTGTTGGTTCATGCATCTGCAGTAAACACAATATTAACAGAATTTTCATTTCCCATTTTTTTTATGTATTTATGTGTCTATTGCCTTATAACTGTTGAAAGTAAATATAATCCAAAGGGTTAAGTATACATACCATTATCAATATACTTGACACAGATTCTTGTGTAAGGATCAAAGAAGTAACCAGTATCACAATGGTATACAGTCAGTGTCCTGTTTCTGTAACACATGATGTAGTCAGACTTCCATTTCCTGGCAGGGAACATGTTCCTTCCATCTGGTAACCCAATGCAGGAAGGTAATCTCTCAGGACAGGAAACTGTCTGCTTTATTGATCCAATATTCTGGTTTTGCATGTACTCACCTACAAAAAAGATACATCAGTAATAATGATCAAGAAGAAGGTAAATTTTTGGTCTATTTGGCCCTGTTAATTCCCCAAAAATTAAAAATTGTATGACTGTCAATATATATCAAATTCTTTAAGCTTTAAGAGAAAGCTTTCAGAAAATTAAAATATATGCCATGCCTTGAAGACTCAATTTGTATTTGACGTCATACATAAGTGTAATTTTTCATATTCTTAGCAAGAAAAAGCTTATTTTAGAAATAATTTGGCTAATTTAGTAAAGAGCACAATTATTGCCCAAAACAATTTTGTGCAAGTAAATAGGTAAACACAAAATACATTTCCTACATAAATTTATTTTTGGACAACAGTTGTGCTCTCTTGTACTTTTAAGCATGTGAAAGGCATATAGTCAGTATTTTGCTTCATCTATGGCTCTATAACCCATGAAAAAGGTATATTTAAAACAAAATCTTCTATCTTTTTTAAGGTTTATAGAATCAACATTTGATTCTGCAAATAAGAGACAGTTTGAAACACATTTGATTTTAGGGGCCAAAATGTTGTAATACTTAATATAAAGATCTAACACTGACTAAACTAACATATCAAAACTTACAAGGAGCTTGAGGTACAAATCTCTTTTCACATCGAGCTGTGGTAAAGTTAGAACATGTCTTTGTAAGAGATGAGAACAGTTGGGGATATGTACATTCCTCAAGGTAATGACCAAACTTGCTGTTTCTGTCTCTACAGTTAAAATACTGAGCACAATTGTTTGGATGGGGTAACACAGAAGTCGGGTGTGTCCTGCAGTATTCATCTATATTGTCTGAAATAGATTATATATCTAAAATTCATGAAAATCATATCATAAGTTTAAACTATTTAAAACATGCAAAAATCCCTAAAAGATCTATTAATGTTTTCTGTGTATTCTTTGTTTTCTTGTTATGTTCCATTTATTGTTGCCACAATCCCATCTTCCTCTTGTTCATGACTAACAACAAAATTCAAACAACAATCAGACTTTTACAAGTCATGAGCCACATGACAGAGGTCATTACTGGAGCAGGAACTGCTGACACTTCTTGATCACCCCAGTTTATCCATATATTTAAGTGGTGTTTGTATCTCTCAATCTTTAGTTGTTCTCTCTTTTTTTCTTTTTTGGCAGTCACATCATCAGTCCTTCCTCAACATATAATTCTTAAATGTGCCAATGCTTTTTGTCTTTTTTGGGGGAACTAGAACGTTTGGTACCTTGAATTAAGATCAAAGAAGGTATTTTCATCATTAACTGAATGTGAGTCATAAAATATTCACTTTTCACAATGGGAATCTAATTATTTAAGGTGCAAATTTAATTCACCCCCCCCCCCCCCCCCCCCCCCCCCCCCCCCTCCCCCCCCCCCCCCACCCCCGAATAATTTGCTCTGTTCCTTTTTTAATATACCTTTATCAATCTGGTTGTCACATGCTCTCTTGAGAGGATCAAACATCCCTGAGGCACACTTATTGAGCTTGACAGTCCTGTTTCTGTAACATGTGATATACTGATCTGACCAGCGATGACCAGGAACAGCATTGTTACCGTCAGGTAGACCTCTGCAGCTGAACAATCTCTGTGAACATGGCAGACAATTCATATCACCTGGCTGACACTGATTCTGACTGTATTCACCTAAAATCAGAAAAAAAATATCTTTAGAATGTATCTTAAATGTTAGATTTTTGTATGAATGAAATGGGGTAATATCAATGCAACAACAGAAAAAATGCTAAACAAATTTATAGATTAACAGAGCGGGTCTCTCAAATATCAATTTTTCTGAAGGTACATGATTTCCAGACATTGTTCTGAAAAATAATAGGTCTGTTGCCCTTATTGTAATCTTTGAAACTTGGCCCTATGAAATATTTTCAATATTTTTTATATCTTACATGGAGCTTGAGGTTCCTGTCTGCTACCACAAGATACAGATGTGAAGTTCTGACAAGAATGTGACACTGTGGAATACAAGTCTGGATAGGTACACTCCTCTTGGTAAGTAATAGTATCATATTTATTGGTTGGACATCTGAAGTACTTGGCACAGTTAGTAGGATGGGGAAGGATAGTACCTGGGTAAGCTCTACAGTAGGATGGGATGTCAGCTGAAATAAATAAATTCATATTAAAATACAACTTAACATACATCACATACCACTGTAGTTTACAAGATTTGCACACAGAAAAAACTAGCCAACAAAACAAACAATGCTTATTATGGCATTCTACAATTTCAAGTATCTACAAAGATTTTTAAACCTTATCAATCATTCTAGCCTGGTATTTAGATAACATCGCTTTTTTATGAAAAACTTTCATCAGATGCAACAATTTAGAAAACTAAGATTTTCAATTCTGAGCTTTATGAAAACTCACTTTTTCTACAAAATTTAAAATTTGTTTTCCTTATATCATTTTTTTTTTTAATCCTTATAAACTCAATAAATCTTAGTCTTCAACTGTTTTTACACAAATGTACCATCTGATTTTTCAGTTTACTGTGACTTGTATTTATGAAATAAAGTAAATTATCAGTCCCCTAGATTTTATATCTACTCCTGAAAATGTAGGACTCCAATTTGACTGATTTCACAGTATATTATCAACTTTTTTGTGAAGTAAGAATGAAATGTTTCAATTGCTATGAAACTGCCAAATTATCAGTTAAGTAAATTTGTATCAACAAAGGATTTTTATTTTGCATTTGTTAATCTACTTACTGACACCAACATTAGGAGTACACTGATGAAGACGTGGATTGAAGTAGCCAGAGTCACACTTCTGTACTACTGTCCTCTCCTTGATACAAACTATATAGTCCTTCAACCATGAACGGCCAGGGAACATGTGATGTCCATCTGTCTGACCAATACAGCTAGGGAGACGTTCAGGACATGGTGTACACACAGCTGAAGTACCATCACAAACATTGGCTCTATATTCACCTATTAACGAAGAATCACATCAAGTAATGAAGTTTGAAAGGAAACATCAATATCAGCTGTCTCCTTATATTTCACTGAACTTTAGCAATCAATCTTAACACTTGTAAACTTGGGAATAAAGGTAATTTATTGCTTGCCTAAAGAGAAACTTTCAACAGATTATTTATTACATATATTTACTAGCAAACAAGATAAACAAACATGATAAGGTCACATGATTTCACAGGTATACACAGACTAGAAAACATGTTTAGTAAAGAAGCTTGGAACACCATTTTCCAGGCAGGCAAACAAGGTTGACTGAGGATGCTTTATTCAGTAGACTGATCTAATCAGTTTGACTTTACAAAAACAAAATTGAAAAAAATCGTACATGGAGATTTAGGTTCATGCTTGGCATCACAAGACACTGTCTGGAAGTTCTGACATCTCATAGTTATTGGAGAGAACAGATCTGGATAGGTACATTCCTCAAGGTAACGTCCATATCTAGAGTTGATATCAGAACAGTTGTAATACTGTGCACAGTTAGATGGGTGTGGCTTCAGTGATGTGGGATTTGCTGTACAGAAACTATCTATGTCAGCTGAAATGTAAACATTCATAAACTGTTTATACATTTTTCCAGTTAAAATCATTTATGGAAGGAATTCAAATACACATGCATTTTTAAAATACTATTATGGACTGACTTCTACTAAATATCAAAATTCACCTTGCAAAAATAAAATCATGTATTAGAATCATTCATTTTAGAAACTTTAATGATCTATTGGAATGTCTTTTTATTTTTGTGTCATTGGGTTGCTGTCTCATTGATGTAAACCCCACATCTTCTTTTATTCATATTAAACCTTCAAATAATATAAGAGAAAAACTGCAAAATGTGTTCACTGAAAGTAAAACAAGTTCAATTTTAGTGTAGAATACAGAATACAAGAAAATATTTCAAAATTACAAAATAAACTTACTGGTAGAGATCTGATTGGTACATTGTCTACTATCTGGGTTAAAGAATTGACCCTGTGGACATTGAGTGACAGTAACTGTCCTGTTTCTAAGACAGGTGATATAGTCATGTGACCATAGTTTTCCTGGGAAAGAATTGGCACCATCTGGTTTACCAACACAACTGGGCAGACGGTCAGGGCATGGCACACATGTAAGATCGGTACGGCTGCAAATATTCTTCTGGTATTCACCTATAAATTACAAATATTACAATTAATCAACGTTAGTAAAAAAAAAAAAAATCCAGTAGAAAATCTAAATGGGTTCTGAACTGATAAATAATAGCAACTTCAAAATTCAATTGGAAACAATGTTTTCTTTTGACTTTAATGACTTTTTGAGGATAAAGTAATCACTTTGGGAATCAACAAGATACAATGGAAAACACAACCAATAAACAAAAATATCTACATGATTACTAAGACTTAAACCCAAGTACACTCAACATTATCTATTTTTAAATTTAAATTATTAGTTTCAACATATTTTATTTGTTAAATCTAAGCAAAATGGATGAGACACAAGTAATTCATACTAATTCTGACATTTTTTATATAGATTAGACCGTTGGTTTTCCTGTTTGAATGGTTTTACACTAGTCATTTATGGGGCCCTTTATAGCTTGCTGTTCGATGTGAGCCAAGGCTCCGTGTTGAAGGCCGTACTTTGACCTATAATGGTTTACTTTTACAAATTGTGACTTGGATGGAGAGTTGTCTCATGGCACTCATACCACATCTTCTTATGAAGTCTTCTCATAATACAATATGACTATATGTATAATAATAATTTTATGAGCATGCATGTTAAACAAACACATATATTGGATATTATGCAAACTATAAATAAAAGAAGAAAAGAAAAGAAGAAGCAAGGATTGATGATGATGATGATGTCAATGATGATTATGGTCCATACCAGTATTAATGACAAATATTTCAATTATTCCCTGTTTTATTAAGAAGATGGTGTGTTAATATTAAACATATGTAAAGAAACCATAACATACAAGGAGCCTGAAGTTCTTCTCTGGTTCCACAGTTGACTGTAGTAAACGATTCACAGGCTTTGGTAGATGTAGAGAAAAGGTCAGGGTATGAACATTCTCCTGGCTGACCTACAACCTTTGACATTTGGTCTCTACATCTATAATAACTGGCACAGTTGTCAGGGTCTGGTAACACATCATTAGAATGGACTTTACAATAATCAATTATATCAACTGAAAAAAAATAGAAACTATTCAATTTTACTAACTGACAAAAGAAAACAAATTTTAAATCATGTAAATTTACAACAGGAGTTGAGTAATTGCACGACTGAACCCTTTTTTCAGTAAACAATATATTGATGGCATGAAGACACTGTCAATCAAGCTTGGTTTGTAGAGAGTCATATGAATTTTCACAGTCAATATGCTCTCATTCTAATCAACTCTCATTGAACTTGGTTAATTTAAAAATAAATGGGTAATGTGTCCATGGGACACAGATGATGCCCCCGCTTGCATATCATATAAAGTTATAAAGGGACATACCTGAAGAACGCTAAAAGTGACACTACCCAAATTTGTACTTAATCTGAGTTTTGTGGTAATAAGTATTGTGTATAAGTTTCATAACATTTGGTTGAGGCAAACTTAAGTTAGAGAACGGAAACGAAAAATTCAGCAATTTTTCCATTTGTAAATGGGCATAACTCTAGAACAGTTAAAGTGACACCACCAAAATTCAAATTTGATCTGTATTTTGTGGTGATAAGCATTGTGTATAAGTTTCATAAAATTTGTTTGAGGCTAACTTAAGTTAGAGAACGGAAACGAAAAATTCAGCAATTTTTCCATTTGTAAAGGGACATAACTCTAGAACGGTTAAAGTGATGCCACCAAAATTCAAAAATGATCTGTGTTTTGTGGTATTAAGCACTGTGTATAAGTTTCATAACATTTGGTTGAGGCAAACTAAAGTTAGAGAACGGAAACGAAAAATTCAGCAATTTTTCCATTTGTAAAGGGGCATAACTCTAGAACGGTTAAAGTGATGCCACCAAAATTCAAAATTGATCTGTTTTTTTGTGGTAATTAGCATTTTGTATAAGTTTCATAACATTTGGTTGAGGCAAACTTAAGTTAGAGAATGGAAACCAACTTACGTACGTACGGACAAGGGTAAAACTCAATACCCCCTCCGCTGCGGCAGGGGCAAAAAATCTGTCTTGTAGTTTAAACCTCATATTATTTCTATAGGTCTTATTATAAACCCCTTTAAAATTAGAATGCATTAGGTAGTTAAAATTCAACAAAAGAAGAATGTGTCCATGGGACACAAGACACCCCCGTTGGTAAATATACAGTAAATTCAGCAATTTATCCATCTATAAAGGGACATAACTCTCGAGAACAGTGAAAGTGACCCCACCAAAATTATAACTTGATCTGTGTTTGGTGGAAATTATCATTGTGTACAAATTCCATAACATTTTGTTGAGGCTATCTAATGTAAGAGAATGGAAACCAATTTCGGGACGGACAGACGTATGTACAGATGGACATTAATGCCCCATTCATCACGAAGGGGGCTTAAAAAATGAGTTTGAGGATTTAACTTTTGGAACTGCATTTAAAAAAATCTTAACAATAGTTTATTGAAATAAAGCAGTTGGACTCAAAAAGAAAAGCAATTATCTTTATTTTGAAAAAAACAAAAAAATATAAGTACCTTTAGATACTGTGACGGTACATGCTAAAGTCCTAGGATTGAAATATCCTTGACTACATTTGTCCACAAGAATTGTTCTATTCTTATCACAAACAATGTATTCTATTCCCCACATGTTATATGGATGAGGATTGGACCCATCTCTTAGTCCTGCACAGCTAGGCAATCGTTCTGTACAGGGCTGGCAGTTTATATCTCCTGGAGTGCACAGGTTCTGTTTGTAGTCACCTGAAAATAAACACCTGTTTTAACTTTGTTTTACATATAGTGGTTCTATACTTCTTATCTTAAGTGTTACATTTTTTTTTATTGGAATATATTTTTATTGGAATAAAATAAAGATTTTCCACATGAAAATTTAAGGAACAAAAGGTAATTAAAATGGCCATGTTTCCTCATTGCTCTTATTGTTCAAATGAAAATATACAGAACAGATATTCTCAAGACAAAATCATACAAAATATGCAGATATTAACCTTATATCAAAAGCGTTCCAGGACATGATATTTGAAAGTCTTCAATAATGAGTAAAACTCCATAATCAAAATTACAACTAATAAACATGGGAGGGATAATAAAATGTAGTAATTTGTACAAATTCCAATTATTGTGGTGTAATAAATTGAAGATTTCTATCTCTTTGGAAGACAGGTGTCAAGAGTACATTTCAGAATTGTATTCGCCTTGCAATTTTTTTTATATACTTTAATATGTGAACAGTATATGTGCTTTTTAAGATACTTACATGGCTTTTGTGGCTCTGGTCTTTTTCCACAGGTAACTGATTTAAACGACTCACATGTTTTAGTGACAGGGGAATATAGATTTGGGTATTTACATTCAACAAGATAATGTCCAGTTCTAGAACAGTTGATGTACATGGCACAGCTATCTGTGTATTCCTGTATCACTGTTGGATTAGCTCTACAAAACTCATCTATGTTCTCTGGAAAGTATACAATTAAACAGCTATCACATCCTATCAATAAGTAATTGTAAATCCAAAAGCCTATGCTTGGAGAGTGTTTTGCTCTCAGCACCTAAGGGCACCATTGAAACAATGTTTTGAAAGGTAATTTTCCATCCTACATTTTCAATCTTACTTTAAACATACATGAAATATTTGCAACTGGACACTCAGCAAACAACACTCAATGCATAAATAACTAAATTTCCCCTAATCTATATTCAAAATCATAAGAAATAAACACTCCCAGTAACAAAACTCATCTATGTTCTCTGGAAAATATACAATTAAACAGCTATCACATCCTATCAATTAGGAATGGTAAATCCAAAAGCCTATGCATGGAGAGTGTTTTGCTCTCAGCACCTAAGGGCACACTTGAAACAATGTTTTGAAAGGAAAAGTTTGGACACTCAGCAAACAACACTCAATGCATAAATAACTAAATAAACACTCCCAGTAGCTCCTGGAATTAGAATATCATGAACAGTAAGCCAAACCCAAAAGTAACTCCCAATCTGGTATACTTTATTGAAGGATTCAACTTCGGATTTCTCAAATGGTTCTTTTTAGCAAATTTGGATAGCTTTTACACATTGTCTGGTCATTCATGAATCATAATTAGCAGGGGAAAGTTGATGATAATTGGAATTCAACAGAATTTCACAGTAGTATTTCTCATTGAGAATAGAACATTAAATCCACACTCTAAGGTATGCTACATAGCTGTAATAATTTAAAAATAAATTTGATCTAAAGCAACTCAATGCAAGATGTAAGTTTGTCTGAAGGTCCTATTATTGACTTGTGAATAAGATTGTAACATTTGGCCTACAAAAAACTTACTGATATTTCTAGTGCTGATACACTGCCTGTTATGAGGATCGAAAACCTGGTATTTTGGACAGTGTATTACTGCAACTGTCCTATTCTGTTGACAATGGATGTAAAGATCTGTCCATAACTTTCCAGTAAATGCTTGCTGTCCATCCTGTTTACCGATACAACTAGGGAGGCGAGATGAGCAAGGTTGACAAGTGGGATCATTATCACACAGGTTTTGTGTGTACTCACCTAAAATCAAACATTTGGTTTTAGGAACTTATCTGACAATCTTATTCAATGTTTTCAATAAATGATTTCTTCAAGTTTCATGATAGAAAATATCAAAATTGAAATAAATCATTTTTGTCTATTAAACAACAATTAAATCAAGATAGAAACTACTATAATTTATGTTTAAAGTTCATGATTTAACCTTCAGCTTAAAAAAACATAGGTCAAAAAGAAGCAAAACATTTAAAAATATTTAACTCTTATAATTTCTTATTATTACTAAGGTTCATTAAGAATCTAAAAATCCTCTAAGGACACCTTCTTTTACAATTTGACATTTTCATATGTTTTTTCATATGCTACAGTACAGTACAATTTTTTTGGCTTAATTTTTTTTATTGGGCCTAAACCAACATAAATTCTCACACAGTAAATAACTCTTGCAAATTCTGACATGACGCCTTTCATAGGTGATGGTGCGGTATGGGCTTTGCTCATTGTTGAAGGAAGTACGGTGACCTATAGTTGTTAATTTCTGTGTCATTTGGTCTCTTGTGGAGAGTTGTCCTATTGGCAATCATACCACATCTTTTTTTTATATATATGAGAGACAACTTTGAAATACTGTAATAAGGGAAAAGAGTAGTTTATTTTAGCATCAACTTATTTTCAATGAGATTTCATTCTGAAACAAACAACATATACAAGCAGAGTATATAACTTACAAGGTGCTTGATGTTCTGGTCTATCTTTACATGATACAGATGTAAACCTCTCACACTGATTAGTAACTGCAGAGAACATATCTGGATAGGGACATTCCATTACATTTCTACCATATCTTGTCAATCCTACAGAACAGTTGTAATACTGGTTACAGTTATCTCCCTTTGGTAAAACGGCAGTAGGGTGAGCTTTGCAATATTCTGGTACTGTGTCTGAAAATAGATATAATAGAAGAATGACTTTATGATCAAAGCAAATGGTTTACAATAAATTTGTGGCTTTTAATTGAAAATATATTGTGGAAAGAGTTTTTTTTTTATTTTGGCTCTAAAGAAAAGTACTAAACAAAAACAATAAAATCAAGTAGAAGAAAAGTTATAAGTGTTGCCCAGTAAATAAAAAGAGGTAAATGCAAGGACAATTTAACTCAATTTAAACATGTTAGAGTTAGACCAAATTATCTCCCTTCATTCACATCTTCTTATTTCTCGAACAAATGGAAATATCTTTCAGCGCTTGAGCTAATATGGCAAAATTACAGAAATACAGATGTGTCGTCGAAATATACTCAAAACATATATTTCTTAGTTGATTTACTTTTGCACTCATCTTCAACAAATGCACTTTTTACATACATCAACTAAAAACAAAAGAAAAAAAAACTTTATTTATATTTTTTCAAGTACAAAATATAACCAAGTTTCTTTTTTTAACCACCATTATCATTACTTACTAGGTCCATGCTGAATTGTACATTTCCTGCTGGTTGGATTGAAGTATCCAGTCTGACATTTACTGACTTCTACTGTCCTGTTTCTGTCACACCTTATATAATCCTCCATCCACTGTCGACCAGGGAAGCTGTGTAAACCATCAGATAAACCTCTACAACTTGGTAACCTACCAGGACATGGTATACAATTCACGTTAGAGGTCAAACACAAGTTCTTTACATATTCACCTGAAATGGAGTAAATAGTTTCATTGAAACAAGTGTATAATAAAAAAATTCCTCTCCAAAAAGTAAAAGTATATAATTTTTTCCAACTATTTCATGTTTCATTGCAGCCTGTTGCTTATAAAGCCTTTCATACTCATTATCAAGTGCATAGTTTTGAACAATAACAATTGAATTTAATCAAGATAACAACAATCAATCAACACATATGAGGTTTTCAATGAAAGATAATGTAACTAACTCATTTTCTCAAGCAATTCATCTACATAATTTTTGCAAATAAAAAAATAATATAAATCATCATAGAAATTTCAAATTTGGGTCTTCTCTGATATGAATACATAAACATATAGAAAATAGTGAAAACATATTGCTGCAATGTAAACTAAAAAGTGCTTAAACATAGAAAAAATATCTATGAAAAAAAAAATTGTTTACAGTATTATCAGAACCAAAATTTCTAAACTAAAGATTTCTTTCTTAATTTCAAACAAAAATATTTTACCACATGAACAATATAACATTTGTTTTACAAAAGTCTGAAGGATACTCACAAGGTGCTTGTGGCTGATATCTGTTTTGACACTGGACATTGTAGAAAGGTTCACACTGTCTATCCGTGATGGAAAATAGATCTGGGTATTTACATTCTGATATTTCCATGGATCTGTGTGTGGCTAAGAAGCTACAGTTGAAATAATGTCCACAATTGGCAGGGTCAGGTAACACAGCATCCAGGTGAGATTGACAGTAGTCAGGGATGTCCACTACAAAAAAAATCATTAGGTGTGCCTTTTTTTGCTTAAACAACTGATTTCAGTTTGTTTTTTTTTAAATCTAATAGTGATAACTATAGAACATTGAAAAACAAATTTAAAAAAAAGTAATTAATTCATGATAGCATATATAGTATTTTTTTCAAAAAGAAGAAATCTGTGAGCAGAGCTCAAAGTCATACCCCTGGACTTTTCCATACCAACAAAAAAGGATACTTTTAAATAAAAAATTGAATAGTAGGTGGACAAATTCATAATATTATGAAGATTTTCATTGAAATCTAATCACTGGTTTCTGGAAGAGATGCAGATACATTTTTTACAACAAGCTGAAGAACTAATGAACAAACAGACATCGCACTGTTTTTAAAAATTATAAAGAAAGTACCTCTGTCTACTGTTTTCATACAGAGGTGTTGTCTTGGATGGAAATATCCATCTGGACATTTTTCCACAGAAATGGTTCTATTCCTGAAACATCTGATATAGGAGTCAGTCCATAGCTTTCCAGGGAAATAGTTCACTCCATCAGGTAGTCCTACACAGCTGGGTAGTCGTGAGGAACATGGCTTACAGTTGGCATCATTAGGTTTACAAAGATTCTGCTCATATTCACCTGAAGGAAGAAATTGTTCTTTCAATCCATACTTGCTGAAAATGAATATTCACTGCCTAACAATTCAAGATTCCAAGTATGAGTCAGGTAAGCAGTGACATATTTGGAAAAATATTTGTAAAAAAGAGTAGTGTTTTGAAAATGTATATTTCAAAGAATATATTGGAAATCTACCATTAATCTAAAAGTGAGAAAATACAGAGGTTACTCACAAGGTGCTAATGGTTCCTGTAGAGGTATACAGTTGACTGTAGAAAAATTTTCACATTTGAATGTGACTCTGGAGAAGAGATCAGGATAGGTACACTCCTTTATATAGTCCCCATACGGTGAAGATTTGGTAGAACAGTCTATATATTTGGCACAATTTGTAGGATGTCGTTTCTTAGTTGTTGGGTTGGCTGCACAATAACTCTGCAGGTTTCCTGCAAATAAATATACGATACAATTGATTAACATCAAAACTGAAATAAAATGACCCCCAAAAAATTTCTGTCTTTACTTATAAGGTTAATACCAGAGAATTGCAATCAATGTTCTTAATTGCATTTAATTGAATATATTACATTAGCAGTTGAACCAATCTGTTCTTTTATAAAGATCAAATAGTTTGTATTTCTAAACTTCTGCTCAAATTGAGGATCTGAAGAACCATTTTTCAGCTAATGTCATCACTGTTTGCAAATAAGCACAACTCAAATTGATGTGAATCAAACACACATTAATGCATCAATATTGTGAACCATTTAAAAAATGAAACAAAACACCCTGTCTTCATGTCAGAAGGACTTTATATCAAAGTTATTAAAGCATAAAAGTCAAACTGAACTTTCATTGTCATATAGCTGTCAAAATGCAATTTACAGGAAGGAAATTCAAAAGTTCCAATTAATGGACTCTAGTTAATTGACTTGTACCTTGTTCAATCCTGTTAACACACTGGAGTCTACTGGGGTCAAACACTGACCCTGATGGACAATGTCTAATGGCTATAGTTCTATTGGTCAGACAAGTAATGTACAGGTCAGTCCACTGATGTGCTGGGAATGGACGATCACCGTCAGGTATACCCACACAGCTAGGTAGTCTTGAGGGACAGGGCTGACAATTAGGGTCATTAGCAGAACACAGATTCTGGTTGTATTCACCTAAATAAATCAAATCAGATGATTATAACAAATACTCTCGATACCTCGAAACTGTCTGGACAGTGATCAAATTAAGATTATATATCATAACCCGGGCTTGACTCGGGTTAATAGTGAACCTTTTATTATGTGCCAGCCACACGCCTATTTTACAGTTGAGTGATTTTTTGTATGTCCAGGTAGTATATAAGGCCAGGTGACCTGAGTAGTATCCTCTTTTATTTCAAGGCCGCACGCATTTAAGTACGTATCAAGCAGACCCTGTTTGATCGATACACGTGTCTATACTATAGATTTTCAAATGGCAAGGTCTCGTAGACCATCTTCTTCAGAATCTGAAGATGAAAGAAACTATGAGGTGATTATGAAGCTTTTTGCTTCCGAGGATGAGTTTGACGCAAGTTTCTCCGGGTTTTCTGAAAATATAAGTGTGAATCACGCTTCAAATACACCGGAGTGCATTCAGGTTTTAGATAAACCGGATATAGATTCTATTTCACAAACTGTGAGTACAAACGTAAAAACTAATAAGAAAACAGTGGTTGTGCCTACAGAAAAAGGACCGGGAAAAGGTCCAGGCAAAAATAAGAAAGGCAAAGCACCTTTGAAAAGAAGTATTCAAATTACGCAGGACGAACCGTCCGCTAGCTGTAGTAAGCCAAAGGCTCCCAGAAAAACTTCTAAAAGTAAACAAGCTCAAGCCGAGCAAAATAAGTCACTGAAACAATTATTTGCTGACTTATCTAGTAATATTGTGTCTGCAATAAATGTCAATAGTAGTGGTACTGCAGGTCCAAGTAGTGACTCCCATAGTTTTATACAGGAACTTGAAGATAATGACATTAATGAGGTCGAAAATGACCAAAATGTTTTCAATTTGTTTGAAACTGATGATTTGTCTGAACATGAGAGTAATGTTGATCCCACACAACTTGTCGTTGAAAGTGAAGACGAGGAGTTTGATTATGAAATGCCAAAAATTTTTGAGGACCATGAACGGTTTGATTCTGAGGTCAGCCCTTCGATAGCATCAGTCATAGAAAAAATTTGTAAGAAAAAGTCGGATGTTACATCTTTGACTAAGGATAGCAAGATACCTAGCAATTGTAAAGCTTTAGTACCACCACCTGTCAACCCAGAAATTTGGCAATTTTTAGCCCGTAGAGCTAAGACTGAGGATTTGATTTCTCAGAATATTCAAAAGCTAACAGGGGCAGGCATGGTCCCTTTGATTAAGGTGGCGGAATTATTACGAGGGAAAAATCCTTGTATTAAGACAATGAGAGAGTTAATTTCAAGAGCTATTTCTATACAGTGTAATTTGCATTTTGAGCTATCTATTAAAAGGAGAATGAATTTGAAGCCTCATATTGAACGTAAATTCCATCAACTGTGTAACAGAAATGAGGTCGTGGGTGAAAAACTCTTTGGAGATGATATTAGTAAAAGACTTCGGGAGATTAATGATGCACAAAAGATAAACAAAACTTTCAGTTCAAAAAACTACAGAGGCCGATCCTATCGGCGAGGGTACCGGTTTGGTATGTCAAACCCAAGAGGCATTTTCAGAGGGCAGAGCCGCTACCCAAGAGGGTCATACAGGCAACCCATGATGAATTCTCAATACAGAAGAAAAAATTGAAGGTTGGTATTACATGTAAACATGTTGAAAAAGTTGGCTTAAACATTGGTAAATTAAAATATCATATTAGAAATTGGAAAAAATTAACATCAGATAGTTGGGTATTAGAAACAATTACTGGTTACAAAATAGAATTTGATGAGATACCAGTTCAGAAAATAATTCCAAGACCTATAAAATTTAATAAAAATGAGGAAAGATTAGTTGATACTGAGGTATCTGATATGTTAAAAAAGGGAGCAATTAAAATTTCACACCATGAGAAAGGTGAATTTATTTCAAATCTCTTTCTTGTAAAAAAGAAAAATGGAACATTTAGACCAGTTATTAACCTGAAAAAATTAAACAGTTATATTCAGTATTATCATTTTAAACAAGAAACTCTTGAAGTTATTTTGAAAAGCATCTCTAGAAATGCATTTTTTACAAGCCTGGATTTGTCCGAGGCATATTGGTCTGTAGCGATACACGAAGACAGTAAAAAGTATTTGAAATTTATGTGGAACAACAAATTATATAATTTTGAATGTCTCCCATTCGGAATAGCTTCGGCTCCAAGAATATTTACAAAAATCATGAAAGTGGTATTTTCACATGTGAGACAGTTAGGCATTAGTTCTTTCTTTTATATTGATGATTCCCTATTACAAGCACTTTGTTTCGAACAAGCAAAAAGAAACACACATTTTGTAAATGATTTAATAGAATCACTAGGTTTTTCAATAAATATAGAGAAATCAAATTTTATACCTTCACAAAGAACAATGTTTCTGGGATTCATTATTGATTCAGTTTTGTTCAAGGTATTTTTACCAGAAGATAAAATACAAAAAATTATAGAAATTTCATACAAAGTGTTTGAAAGGAAGATTACACAAATTCGTACGGTTGCCCAATTAATTGGGTTATATTCTTCATCTTATCATGCAATTACACTTGCACATTTACAGCATAGATATTTGGACATTGACAAAACAAAAGCTTTACAAAAATCTTTTAAAAATTTTAATGCTCATATGTCTTTGTCGGTGGAGAGTAAAAATGAGATTTTATGGTGGATTCAAAATATTAAAAAAGAAAATGGTTGTCCAATTCGACAAGAGCCTCCAAAAGTTTATTTACAAACTGATGCGTCGTTGATAGGTTGGGGTGCAGTATTTGAGAAAGATTGTACCCAAGGTAGATGGAATATAGATGAATGTCAGAATCATATTAATGTGTTAGAATTAAAAGCAATAATTTTGGCATTGCAGGCTCTTTGTAGATCTGTTAAAGATTGTCATATTTGTGTTAGAACAGACAGCGCAGTAGCGGTTGCATACATCAATAATCAAGGGGGATCAATATTATCGCTTTTAAAACTTGCAAAAGAAATTTGGTTTTGGAGTACTGAAAGAAAAGTATTTATATCTGCGGTACATATCCCAGGAAAACAAAATATACAACCAGATAATTTATCTAGACAATTTAATGATTCTTCAGAGTGGAAACTAAATAGTTCAGTTTTTGAAAAAGTGACTTTAAGTTTATTTAACCCAGAGATTGATTTGTTTGCGTCTCGTTTAAACAAACAACTGCCAAAGTATGTTAGTTGGTTTCCTGATCCAGAAGCTTATGCTTCAGATGCATTTTCTCTCTCTTGGAGTAATTTATTACCATATATTTTTGCTCCTTTCAGTCAGTTGCCAAGAGTCCTACAGAAAATAGAAGAGGACAAGGTAAGGAAGGCATTAATTATAGCTCCTGTTTGGACCACACAAACATGGTTTCCAAAATTATTAGAATTATTAATTTCTACTCCACTAAAATTACCAAATTGGTCAGATCTATTAACTTTGGCTCACAATGGTCAAAGACATTCAATGAACAAACGAAGATTATTCCTTATCGCTTGTATTGTATCCGGCGATATCTCATTGATAAAGGCTTTTCAAAAAGAGCTGTTAGAATTCTCTCCGAATCATGGAGAGATTCAACCAATAAACAGTATGAATATGCTTGGAGGAAGTGGATTTTGTGGTGTAGTAAAGAACAAATTAATTCCACTTCTCCATCTGTGATACAAATTTTGAATTATCTATCTTTTTTGTATGAAAACAAAAAATCTTACAGCTGTATTAATTCTCATAAATCAGCTATTTGTCAGACTCTGACATTAATGGGTATGGCTGAATTAGCAAAAGATAAACACATAACTAGATTTATGAAAGGCATTTTTAATTTAAGGCCGTCTTTACCTAGATATACATTTACATGGAATGTTGGTACAGTTTTGAAGTACTTATCACAATTATATCCAAATGAGAATTTATCTCTAAAAATGTTAACTCTGAAATGCATTGCTTTATTTGCATTGTCATCAGCTCAAAGATCACAAACACTTGTTAATTTAGATCTGAGATTTGTATCTGTAACAGACAATTCTTTGATTTTTAAGATACCAGTTTTACTAAAAACAACTAAACCAAACAAATCTAATTTGGATGTTATCATACATAAATATCAAAAACAGGATATTTGTCCTGTTAGATGTATTAAACATTATATTTTACGGACAAAGGATGTTCGAAAAAGTAAAAATTTATTCATTTCTTTTAGAACATTCAAACGTGTTACAACTTCAACTATTGCTCGTTGGTTGAAAATAGTGTTAGGTAATGCAGGAATTGATATAAACAAATTTAAGGCACACTCATATCGTAGTGCTTCAACTTCAGCTGCTAAACAAGCTGGAATTTCACTGAATGATATATTAAAAACTGCTAACTGGAGGTCAGCTTACACTTTTCAAAAGTTTTATTTTAAAGATATTGAAACTCCATTGCCATCATATACTGAAACAGTATTTAATTCTTATTTATAGCTAGTGGTTTACAGGAACTGTATGGTGGACCAGGAGGATCAGCTATGGTTTTTCTACGTACATGTTATGATGTATCTAGCATTTCTGCGAGATGAATGGTTTTTGGACATTCCATTTGGTTTTTTGCAACAGGAGTTTGCTGACATTTGGAGTTGAATCGAACAGTTTTAGTCAATAGCATTAAATTTCGAGAACGTTTGAGAAGAAGCATAGAGAAAATGTGATAATTTAAGAATAATGAGAAAACAACAGTGTTATTTTGTTATATTTGTTACATGTGAGAGGCATTTTAAAGTGAACTTTATAGAGTATTAATTGTTTTCTGAAGATTGTAACAGATTTTTGTTTTTGAACATAATAAAAGTTATTATGAAGCTTATGTCTTTATTCCACAAAACAAAGAAATATTCTATTATTTCATGATAGTCATTGCAATTCTGGGTAGTTTTGGAGTAATGTTATGGAGACAAAATGTGATAATTTATGATCTACTACATGTACATATTATGTAGAGTGGTAGTTAGGTTTTCTACTAGAGGATGTTTTATATTTGGTATTAATAGAGACTGTTTATGATTTTGGTATGAAAACAGAAACATCTAACACATGGAATAAAAAGATAGTAGATAGACATATTGGTGATTGTGTATTCTCTTTCGTACAAGTGATATACATGAATGGAGACAGATGAATTTTCTTTTTATCTGCAGTTAAATATTTTGATATGATTTAGGCTCATACATATATACTTGTTAAAGTATGAGAGACCAATTGTTTGGTTATGGTGATTGATGTTCTTGTTGTTCTTGTTGGTATTTGCATTTTTGGCTGTAAAGAGTTCACTATTAACCCGAGTCAAGCCCGGGTTATGATATATAATGGACCATCATCCAAACATCTGTGATGTGATGGATGAAGGTCATTATATGAGGAAGCCAAGGGCTTCCGAGGGTTAATAGTACCCTCCCTAGTGAAAACCCATTCCCGATGAGGTTTGATATAAATGCAAATACTGGTCGTGTTACTACCCATTTACACTGGAGATTTTACTGTTTGCCTCAAAATAAAAGAGGATACTACTCAGGTCACCTGGCCTTATATACTACCTGGACATACAAAAAATCACTCAACTGTAAAATAGGCGTGTGGCTGGCACATAATAAAAGGTTCACTATTAACCCTCGGAAGCCCTTGGCTTCCTCATATAATGACCTTCATCCATCACATCACAGATGTTTGGATGATGGTCCATTTTGACACATGTTAGAAGTCTCCAAAAAAGGAAAAATTTTAAATTATTTATTATACTTTCTGACTGATTAAATTCAGGTCAACCTAAATTTGACTAATAAAAATCTTACTAAAAAGAGTAAATTAATATAAATTGCAGAATTTTGAGTCAACCAAGTGATCTGACTGTATTGCCATAAAACCAAACTTAATAAACCAATAAGTTGGCATGGCTGACATGAAAATAATGTATTTTTACAATATTATCAATATCCCTATATATATATGTAATGATTAAATGAGATGAATATCAATTAACTGTCATATGATAAAAGGAGAAAAATTGAAATGTTTCTCGGTTTTTATTTTCAGAAAACAAAATGTTAGATGCAATAAAGATAATGGATCAGTTATACTTTAACTTTCATGACCGAGTTCACAAACAATATGTATCTTAAACAAGAAAAATTACTTTACAATAGAAAAGGAAAATAAATTGAATAGCAAGATATTCAGTAAAATAGGACATGAATGTTATTAAGAAAGTATATCTCACATGGAGCCTGAGGTTCTGGTCTCTTTCTACAGCCAACCATCTGGAACCTCTCACATCTCTGTGTTATTGTGGAGAACAAGTTAGGATAAGTACATTCCTTCATATACTGTCTGGTAGGGTCAGTACAATTATAGTACTTGGCACAGTTTGTAGGGTCTGGTATAACAGCATCTGTGTTGGCCTTACAGTATTCAGGGACGTCAACTGAAATATTAATAAGTTACGAAAGTCAAACTGCTGAACACAGTCTGTTAAGTCTGGTAAATGTATATCACAATGGTTGGCCTTACGGAAGCATTAATTGATTATGGAAACGCATGTAAAGTATGCAGTGTTTTAAAAGGTAGATAACAGGAAAAACAAGTATTTTTTTTTCTATAAATTTGAAAATAGCATTTTCTGCATTGTATTCTAACAGATTTAAAATAAATTTGAGATAACAAGGTCAAAATTCATACTTTACTAGGGATGTGTTGAACACTCATAGAGATGTTTTTGTGACATCAAATCTTGAAATTGAAACTGGAAACTTTTCAAATACAAATCTGTATTATCATCATGATCATAAGTACCCATTGACTACTTAAAAGAACAAAACTTTATAAGATGATTACAACCTGTTGATATTCAGCAATGTAGTATCGACCAATGTATGAATTAATTAAGTTCTGTATCACTAAATATGATATAAAACTCATTCAGTTCAGGTCACATTAATAAACAAGAAAGACTACATGCATGTTGTCTTAGGTGTCAGAAGTCATGGCATTCTTTCCACTTTGTACAATGGTTATGAATTATATTTTGTAAGTCTGAAATTAAGAAACAACTTTGTTGCATCAATTTTATTCAAACTGCCAAGTAACATTATACAATCAGATGTGGAATACCTCAAAACAGAATGCTTACCAGAGACAACATCAACCATACACACTTGTCTCCTTGGATGGAAGTATCCAGTTGTACATTTCCTGATGTTGGTGGTTCTATTTTTATAACAAGTGACGTATCCTGACTTCCACATCTGAGCAGGGAAGGCATGGTTACCATCAGATAGTCCTACACAGCTCGGTAGTCGGTCAGGACAAGGTTGGCATGATGTTCCAGTACAAAGGTTCTTCTCATATTCACCTTCAAAAATATCAAACAAGTTAACAGTTTTAAGAGCGATGTATTATACCTTCTAGATTAATTGACTTTGGTGAATAGATGTTTTTATGTAATTGCTATTGTAAATTATTTTGAAAACTTAAGTCATATCTTATTCAAATGACATATGAGATTCGATGATAATGCAAAATTCCAGTACCAGAGAATCAAGATTCTCATACCATCTTGGACGCAAAATAATTAGTAAAGATTTTATTGAAATTAGGGGTATGTATAAGTTATTAATATTTATTTATTGAATGCAAATTATATGATTTTTTGTTCCATTTAAATAGAAATAGTTGTATATATTAATTAATTTTATGGTGGTAGCCTTTTCAGACATACAGATCTAGAGAAACCTTTGATTTATTCAAAAACTTATATATATTACTTATTGTTAAGGGATCTTTATGTGATACATGTAATAGATTATTCTGATTTTTACTTTTTCCCATCTAGGTTTCATTTCACACAATAACTGCTTTTCTCCAAAATAACTGACAAAATGAGAGAATTTGTATTGAAACAACAATCCCAGTCTGGCGTTATTTTTACACAATTTTGTAGACAGCATGATGGTTAAAGTACATAATATCAAAATTGAAAAAAAATCCATCATTTTTACAGTCCACTTTTACCATTAGATTTTGAATGAATACACTACACTGTCCTATTCTGTTCAATATACATGTGAAATTAATTACAAACTTTTGCACACATGAGTTCATCACCTATACTTCTATTTTCTTCTGTAACTTAAGCAAGATAAATTTACTTACATGGAGCCTGAGGCTCTGGACGTTTCATACATTTCACTGAGGTAAACATATCACATCTTTGTGTTACAGGCGAGAACAGGTCAGGATAGGTACATTCTGTACTGGTGGTCATAGTAGACAGGTTAACCTTGGTACAGTTGTAATAATGACTACAGTTATCTGGGTCAGGTAAAATGTCTCTTGGGTTGGCTTTACAGTATTCCTTTACATCAACTGAAAATTTTAGAAAACATATAAGCTGAAATTGCAGATTGATTCAAAAAACAAATAGATTCAAGCTTAAATCAGTTATCAGAATATATTGTAAATCATGAATTTTTCACGAGTGTGTAATTTTCTCTATTTTTACTGTAAGCTTATTTCTGCAAACTTAACTCTACACAAATATTCCACTGTCCATCTAAATGCCTTGTACAAAGCAATACAACAGGAACAATGTACATGGTGAAGGTTTAACTGCCCTTCTTAGACTCAAATCATGAACAAAACACAAAGCAAAAAATTACCCAATATACAGGAAATGGACTGAGAAAAGTATATAAATTGACATAAAACTATGAAAAGTTGAACAGTAGAAACCATAAAAGAATAACTATATTACCAGGTTTAACTTCTGTCAGACAAATCTTCTGTACTGGATGGAAGTATCCAGTAGTACAGACTTTAACATCAATGGTTCTATTCTTATAACACTGTATATAATCAGCCTTCCATAACTTTCCAGGGAATATGTTTAGTCCATCAGGTAATCCAATACAACTAGGTTGTCTCTCTAGACATGGTTTACAGTTGGGATCTGATGCTGGGCATTTGTTCTGGTCATATTGACCTATTGATTAACAAGAATAACAATATGAGATGAGCACACAAAAAAATATAATTGTATCAAGGATAAGGCTGGTCATAAATAAAGTCTAAAAGCAAATTCTAAAACAAACATTACTCAAGAATATTGGTGTTTTAACTATATGTTCAATTTTGTTTGCTTTTATGGCAATGCTAGTAATAACTTCAAATCTAACAATCTTACCAGGTTTGTGGTAGGATGCTTTCCCTTGATACAAGAGATCATGGTTTTAATCCCCTCCAAGGGAAACTAATGACTTTAAACTGGTATTTGCTACTGCTTCAGAAAGCATAAAATTTTAGGAGTAAGAGCAAACCGGTTGATTTAGTACAAAGTAATGCATCTTCATATGATATTGGTAGGTAATCATCCTGAATATACATATTTACTTTCTTTTGGATGCTAAGTGCATTTCCCCCCCCCCCCCCCAACAATTTCGACAACATTTCAAGAAATTGAATGTGACATAGATACTACTACAAAAAATATGGCATTTACTTCCTAATATAAATACTTACATGGAGCTTGTGGTTCTGGTCTTTTGTCACATGATACAGATGTGAATTTGTCACATGACAATGATGAGGGGTTATACAGGTCAGGATATTTACATTCCTGATGTTGTGTAGAGGTGCAATTATAATATTTAGCACAGTCATCAGGATCTGGTATCACTGCTGTCCTGTGGGCCTTGCAGTACTCAGGAACATCAACTGTAACATAACAATCAATTACAATAATGTAAAGTCATTTTTTGTGACTTGTCTGTTTTCAGCTGGTAAAAGTTCTTTTACATGTTTTAGCACTGATAAATTTAAACCTAAGCAGAGAATACATGTATATTGTTTTTTGGATTTAATCGCATAAATTTTAGTGACTTTTCTTTAATAGCTTGTAAAAGTTCTTTGATCACTGACAAACTTGCACTTAAAAAGAGAATGCAGGTATATTTTTTGCCAATTTAATCACGTAAATTCTATAATTGAGCAAACCAGTCGTATGTCAGGAGCCTGTTGTTCAGTGGTTGTCGTTTGTTGATGTGGTTCATAGGTGTTTCTCGTTTTTTATATAGATTAGACTATTGGTTTTCCTGTTTGAATTGTTTTACACTAGTCATTTTGGGGCCCTTTATAGCTTGCTGTTCGGTGTGAGCCAACGCTCCGTCTTGAAGGCTGTACTTTGACCAATAATTGTTAACTTTTTATACATTGTGACTTGGATGGAGAGTTGTCTCATTGGCACTCATACCACATCTTCTTATTTATATTATATAAGATTCTAGTTCTAATTAGTTACCTGGAATAACTTTCTTCATACAGCTATTGAGTCTGGGATTGAAATACTCATTATTAGCACAGTTTGTTACATTGACTGTTCTGTTCTTATAACAAACAATAAAACCTGTCATCCAGAGCTGGGAAGGTACTGGATTAGGTCCATCTGATAACCCCACACAACTTGGTAGTCTATCTGGACATCTAGTACAGGACAGATCACCAGGTGAACATAAATGCTGCTGGTATTCACCTAGACACAAAGAAGTAATATACAAATAAGTTTGTTTAGTTTGTGTTTTGACATGTCTTTCAGTCTCAACATAATGACCAATTGTTTTCCATAATAACTATAACAATCATTTGAATCAACTGATATGAAATATTGTGATTGTTATATGCCACTCAAAAAAATTTCTCTTACTTGCTAAATATAATCAAGATCTTAAATATGAACTCATTAAAGACCCTATCAATCTTAAAATTACTAATTAAAACATGATAAAACACACACACACACACACACACACACTTATTATGAATATAAGGAACCTTTTCCCCCTCCAAACTGAGACAAATGTTTTTCAACTTAAGTATGACTTAACCTGAACCATAATCATAGCATCCTTACAATCTAGCAATCATGTGCTTAGAAGGCAATAAAAAAACAGTAAGCTATAAATAATATATCAATAGGAAAGAATAATTAGATTATCTAATCTATACATTCTTACAATACTTACATGGAGCCTGTGGTTCCTTCCTATTTGGACAATTAACAGTTTCAAATCCAGCACACTGCATGGTTGCTAGATCAAACAAATCAGGATATTTACATTCCATGTGATACGTTGATATCTTCAGTGGTGACATTGATCTTTTGGTGCCGTGACCAGGAGACATGGAGCAGTTATAATATCGACCACAATTATCTGGATCAGGCAACACATCACTTGGATTGGCTCCACAATAATCAGGAATATCAACTGAAGTTATATCGAAGGACATGAAATATCTGAACCACAGAAGAAATTTGACCTCAAACTAAACATTAAACAGATTCAACCTTTACAACATATTCCAGCAACTAGAATATATTCAGTCTGTTAAATAGTAGGCTTTTACAAAGGCTAGGAGGAAGATACAATGTAATGATTACATTAAATGATACTAGCCATTTGTTTTTCGAATTTGAATTGTTTCACATTTAGTTATCCCAGACCATTTTTAGCAGACTACAATATGGGTTTTACTCATTGTGGAATGCCATACATGACCTGTAGTTGTTTACACATCCACATTCTATGGTCTTTGGTAGTAATTTGTCTCATTGGTTCATTGGTAGATGTGCATGAGTAATTTTAAGTAAAATCAAAAGAGTAGCAAGATTTCTATTACATATATTATATATTTATGCATAAAATTCAACCTTTCAGCTAGTTTAAGAACAACCCATTAAGTGAAATAGCTTTAAATAGTATAAATACAGGGATCACCACAACCTATTTTGGCGTGGCGGTTTTCCACGCTTAAATTTCTAGTGCCACATTAAAATTCCCAGCGCCACGTTTATTTTACTGTCCGCCACACTTGAAAATTCAGAATTAAATTTCAGATATCCCTAATCCAATTATCATGTCAGTGGCAATTAAGAAATCTAATTATTAATTGGTGTGAACATTGTCTCAAGGAATGTAAACTGACAGCTGATTACATTATTTACATGGTCTCGTGTGGTTGAACAAGGTAACAACCAATGAACGATCATGACCCCGAGTCTTCAATTTGAAAACTAAAAATTGTTTGCAAACAACGGGTACCTTATAAATGCAAATGTTTGACTGTACCTTAAATGGAATGTTTATATCCTAACTAGATTAATAAAGGCATTAATCCAGAAAACAAACGAATTCCTTGACCACATGTTCCTTTTGTTGACAACAATGTCACATGATCTCTTTTGGCGGGAAAATAGGGGAAAACCCAAATGACAGACAAACATTGTCTAGTTATTTATAGACAGTTAGATCAACAGCTGGGATAGGAGTTTCATTATCTGAAAACTCATTTAAAATATGAAAAGAGTAAAACTGTATATATATAGTTCCATAACATTATTGTATTGGAAAAGAGGGGAGTTAATTTAATAAAATTTTACATAACAAATATGATTTTATAAACTGCTAATTAGGCTTAATTTGGTTGAAATTACTTTGAAATTATGTGACTAAATATTTTTTTGTGATTAATTTCTTTACCTTTTTTACAATGTGGTTTTCCATAAGACAATTTAAATAAAATTTGTCAGAAAACTCCTTAAAATAATAAAATTATATGTTGCATACATTATCACATTAAAAGCAATATTGTATCTGAATCCCTCACTTTAATATTCCTGCAATCTGGGAAGCCACAGCAGGTGTTTCCTCTCCCTGTTTTAATATGTTCCTACAAGTGTTGACCACTTATAGGACCACCTACAAAATGTATGTGATGCCCCCTTTCCAAATTAGCTATATATGACAAATACATGCAAGGCATTATTAATAATTCATGCACAAAGAATCGATTCGACAACGCAACACAAAATCTCTGATTTGTTGAACTTTCTCCCCCACCCTTGTTTTTCATTCTGTGGTGAACCCTGATATAATAACATAAAAGTAATGAAAAAGAAATACACTTTGCTCTATTACCTGGAATGACTTCCTTAGTACATATCATTTTCCTTGGATGAAAGTATCCTGATTTACATTGTGTAATTTCTACAGTTCTGTTTCTGTCACATTTGATAAAGTCAGACTTCCACATTTTCCCAGGGAATGGGTTAGTACCATCAGGTAGTCCTACACAGGAAGGTAGTCTAGTAGAACAAGGGGCACAGCTAGTGTTGGACTGCCGGCACAAATTCTGTAGATATTCACCTGAAAGGAAAATAGGGAAAAGTCTGATATTTGTAATTAAGAACAAGGCGTTTTTTTTAACGTGAATATTCATTTATATATGGAAAATGAGCATATTGCATTTCATACACACATTTCTTTCTATAACATTTGGTATGGTATATAAATGAGTTTTGGTGTAAAGGTTTAAAAAAATATAATTATACCGTGAAAGGTAACAAATGTAAAAGCTAATTGAGAAATTTAATTATTCAGTTTAAAAAAGTGGTAATCTAACAAATTCTGTAGTTACAAAATTGACTATAAATTGGAATACTTGTAATTTCTGTAGACAATCCAGCTGTCAGTTTTGAAAAATTTTGTCATGTCCAAACAATGTGTAAAACCATTTAAATACTTGTTGGGTTTACATAATCTTGACAAGTTAAATTATCTCTGTAAAAGAATGTGCTTTCTGTGAATGTCAGTGTTGAAAATATAAAGGATTATTAGCTAAGAGTATTCTTTCTTCAATGATTAAACTTACAAGGTGCCATTGGTTCATGTTTCTGTCCACACTGTACATTATAGAACTCTCTACACTGACTGGTGACCGGGTCAAACAGATCGGGATACTTACACTCCATCAGATGGTGACCATATTTAGTAACGGCAGAACAGTTATAATACTGACCACAGTTATTGGTGTTTGGTTTTATCATGGTAGGATTAGCTCCACATACATTATCTACATTACCTTAAATTATAAACAATGAAAATAAAGACATGGAAAGATATTATTTAATTACAAAGTAGAAATATGACATAACAATGTGTTTTCTTGTCATAAACTGAAGAAATACATAAATACCTTCAAATTAGTAATCTGTACCTAACTTTAAATGGGAGTTGTATTTAATAATTTATCTTGCCTTAATAAAAGGTGGCATTAAGTAAAATACAGACCACTATAAATTATAGTGGTCTGTATTTTACTTAATGCCACCTTTTATCTATTTTTATTATAGTCTATAATGGGTAGTTAATTCATTGACCAGAAAATGCTTTCATTTTTTCATGCATGTATGACCATTTCCAGTAGATAGAACATGTATTCCTCCATAATTTAAATCTATGAAACTTATTTATCTAAGTATCTTGCATTATGCATTTAAGTTAGACCTAGCCGATATCCTTATTTTTTCAACATCTTAATTCAATTTTTTAAAAGTATGGTAACTCACTTTTAGCAACAACTGACATACACTGTAGAGTGACTGGATTGAAAACTGATCCTGGAGGACAATCTCTAACAGCCATTGTACGATTATGTAAACATGTGATGTAAACATTGGTCCAAAGGGCCGTGGATACTGGTCTGTCTCCATCAGGTAATCCACGACAACTAGGTAAACGTTCAGGACAAGGTCTACAGGATGGGTCGCCTTGTGGACACAAGTTCTGATCATATTCACCTGAAAAATAAAAGTAAAAAGATAGAACATAATTTGTTGTTTCATCATTAAATGAAAGGATAATATCTGTTTTAATTCGATTAAACAATCAGTAGTTTCATCTCATTCAGTTGTTTTTGTGAACGTGGTATTACCAGAAGTTTTAATACACTTTTACTACGTATATACACAATGTATAATTTCTATGATAGGTAACTTTGTAAATTTGAAGAAGTATGTTCTTAATTTATGAAAAAATTATATAATGTATCCATAATAAATTATGAAATTTCATTGATATGCTACTAAATCAACAGCATAAGCATAATGATAGTATACATACAAGGAGCTTGTGGTTCTTGTCTACTATCACATCTAGTTGTCATAAAATTCTGGCACATTTGAGTCTGTACATTGTACAAGTCTGGGTAAGTACATTCTGTATGTGTACCATCAGTACAGTTGTACAACTTGGCACAGTTCTGATAATCAGGAATCATAGAGGTGGGGTGTACTGTACAGTATTCTTTCACATCCACTGAAATGTACAATTTTTCTTCTACAGTTCATTTACAATCTTTTTCTTTTCTTTTTTCATACATTTTAAAACTTTGTTAGATTTTTGTTTTGAACACATGTTACCGTTATAAAAGTAAAAGTAATTGCCATTCAGTTTTGCTGTTGTCCAAAATCATAATTCCCTAGAACTCATCACGAAGATCGGGACAAAGATATGTTCATTATAACTGAAACATACAAATTTATTGCATGGCAATGTTTTCCATACTAAAATAAAGACTTTATACAGTAACATTTTCATATCAAATCGTCATAATGATTAGGCCTCCCAATCACTTAATCATTAAAATACAAACTTGATAAATGAAACAAAATGAATCTGTAATATTTTTGATACATTTTAATACACATAGGGAAACATTTTAATTTTTCTATGTATTCAATTCTTTGAAAATAACTATGCATTAAAACTGAAACAATAAAGTAATGATTCCTTTAGGATGTTTTCATTATTACAATATTTTCTAAACAGTTATACCTGGTTGAACTTTATCAGCACATTTTAGTGTTCTAGGATTGAAGTACTGATTGAGTGGACAGTGGTCAACCTTCATGGTTCTGTTTTTATAACATTGTATGAACTTGTCCTCCCACATGTGATTAGGGAATGGCTGGAATCCATCAGACTGACCTACACAACTAGGTAGTCTGTTAGGGCATTTATCACATGTACTGTCACCAGGGTTACATAAATTCTGGATATAGTCACCTGAAAAATTCATCAGAGAAAGAACCTTTAGTGAGCCAGTTCACATAACCAAAGATACCAACTTAAAAGAAATAGGCTGAAAAATGGTCCACCATTTCATCTTTTCTTATTATCAATCTCATCTGTGGAGTTGATAAGTGAAAACCTTCATTCAAATTTGACGAAGCTTTAAAATGTATTATACATTGACTTTCAGCAACAAACATCATTTAATGTTAGGTTTCTGGTTAATATATGTATACACAATTTCTCTACATCTTTGTATCGATTGTATTTAACTTACATGGAGCTTGTGGTTCTGGTCTGTCATGACACATAACTGTTGTAAAACTCTGACATGTTAATGTCTGGGCATCAAACAAGTCTGTATATTTACACTCAGACATGCCACCTGTGGTCATGGCTCTTGTGGTTCTGTTTTGGTTTACTTTGGTACAATCAAAGTAATGTGCACAATTATCATGATCTGGTATTATCTCCCTTGGGTTGGCCTTACAATATGCTGGTACATCAACTATAATATATAAGGTAGAAAATGATTAATCTTTTTAATACCTCATTTTATTTCAATCTAAATTAACAAACAAGATAATATTAAAGTTGTAGATTTTCCCCACCAGAATATTGTTCCTACTCTCAAACTTTTGTAAATGAATAAAGATCTGCATAGAAATAAATTTAACTGAAGTAAAAAAAAAGCTTTTCTGTAAAAAACAAATCAAACAGACTTTCCAAAGCATAAAAAACAATACTGTGACTCTTTGGCTGTTTACTCACCATGGTTAACAATTTCTGTACAAACACGTTTCATTGGATGGAAATATCCTTTACTACATTTCTTTAATTCTATAGTTCTGTTTTGATAACAAATAGCATAATCAGCTTTCCATTCTCTACCAGTAAACATGTTGACACCATCAGGCATGCCAACACAAGATGGGAGTCTGTCTGGACAAGGAGGACAGCTGACATCTCCAGGTTTACACAAATTCTGTTCATATGCACCTAAAGAGATACAAGACAACAGTGGTTCAATCACAAGATAACAAATTCAAAAGCACAGGGGAAATATTTTCCATTTGAATAGTTTCAAACTTAAGCGCAAATGAGAACCCCTCATTTTAAGACTGTTAGTCATTGCCAGGACTTTTTTCTTTTTCATACTGTAAAATGGAGAAATTACAGTGGTATTTCTTTTAAATATTCTCCAATTTTGATCAATTGATTAACAGTTGCAATAATAAATGCAATTATGTGTTTGTTTACAAAAGAAAGAAAGTTCTCATGGCAATTTGTTCTTTTCCATTTCTACCTTCTAAACTTCATAGTGATAGTACAACTGTGTCAACATCTTATAATATTCATTTTGGTAATACTTCTTATATATGGGGTAAGTGAGACAAGCCAGAAAACCTGTTATATTGCATAAAATTCCCAAACTGCAAGGAAAACTATGTTGAACAGACAGAAAACAGGGTCAGGATTCATTAGCAGCATATTCAACAATCAAATTGAAGAAAAACTTGTTAAGTGAATATTACAATAGAAACTTGTGCAAGTGGATAAATATATTTTCCCCAATTTTTGCAAGTGCCCAATTACATCAGAGTAGTACAGAAATGACTTAGGAAAAATTATCAAAAATATATAAAAGCAAAGTAAACTTTCTGATGGTTCCATGCAATTTGTATATATCTACAAAAAACTTTGGGATTCATTGATTTATAATAGTAAAAATGTTCTGGTTGTTTGAAAATCAAACCAAACAACAAAGTTTCTGCTTTGATAAATATTTACATGGAGCCTGTGGTTCTTTTCGTTGTTTACAGTCTACAGATGTGAAGTTCGCACACATTCTCAACACAGGATCATACAGGTCTGGGTAGGGACATTCCATCTGTTTCTGACTCACAACTACTGGAGTACCACTTCTGAATGTTGTAGCCATGGCAACAGAACAGTTGTAATAATGAGCACAGTTGTCTGGATCTGGTAAAATCTCTGTTGGATTTGCTTGGCAGTATTTTGGTACATCAACTGTAAAAAAAATTTAAATGTATATTTTTGTACTTAAATATATAAAGCCGGGGAAAAAATGATCACTGATATTACTTACATTTTAAAATATTGTTTAGGGATAATTCCAGTCCATGTTATTTTTTTGTTTATTTAAAAATTTTCATTTTATTTCCATTCTTACAGGCAAAATATTTCCATATAACTTTCAATTCTTTCAATTCTTTTGTCAAATTCTTCCAAAATGATTACTGAATCAGACTGATTGGTGAATTCATAAAATCTTTGTACCGGTATGTATTCCTACCTTTTGGAACATCATCTTGGCATTTGCCTGTTCTTAAATTAAAGTAACCATGGTTACAATGTGTCACATTCAATGTCCTGTTTTTGTAACAGGTAATGTAATCAGCTTTCCATAATTTGTTTGGGAAAGGATTGTCTCCATCTGGGTGTCCAATACAGGAAGGCAGACGTTTCGGACAGGGGAGACAATTTGGATCTGATATGTTACATCTGTTCTGTAAATATTCACCTGAAAATACAAAAGTGAACTCTAGCCACTACATTCAGACAAATGCTGCTAAATCTAAGCACTCATAATGTTTTCTTTTTTGTTATGTATTACTAGTACCTTTTCTTAAAACTATTTTGACTGAATGTTTTAATCTTTTCATAATTGGTCTCATTGGCAATCATACCACATCTCCTCATTCATATATGAAATGTAGCTCAGACAAAGTATCCTTATAGATTATCGATGGTTTTTCAAAAGAGAGTGTGTTTCTCAGCTACAATCTCATCGAAGGGTGACAGCCTTGAGATGAGTTGTGGGCAGAAACCACCTACAGTTTGAAAGACCATTGATAATCTGTTTATCGCTATTTTGCTGATGACATCGTTGATGTTTACATTGACAACGGCACATGAGCCCTTAGTTTCTAGCTCTAATTTTCTATCTCATGTGAGAAGAACGGTATGAAAAATTATCACAAAAAAAATGATCAAAGGAAAAATACACCAAATAACAATAATATATTTTTTTTTGTTTGGTTTTCAAGTATCACATACCTTTACATCTAATAGCTTATGAAAGTAACAATACAACATTCATTTATCAATAGTTATATTCACTAAAAACATTTAACTGCAAATCTTCATCAAAATCTGAAATGGGGGAGAAATAAATCAAAACAAAATGCTCAAAATTCAAAAGAATTGTGGTAATAAATTTCTCTACTATTCCTTCATTTCATGTATATTCATGAGCAATGTATAACATAATGTATATTAAAGAAATATTGTCATGTCTGACACATATAAAACTATAAATGGATTTATTCTGAACTTACATGGAGCCTCTGGTTCATGTTTTGATTTGTTACATTTCACTTGTTCAAAGTCTTTACATGTCAGACTGATATCATCAAACAGATCTGGATACTGACATTCCTGTAGATGGTGACCATATTTAGACATGGCTGAACAGTTGTAGTACTGACCACAAGAGTCTGTGTGTGGCACTATAGATGTAGGGTTAGCTTGACAGAATGCATCAATGTTTCCTGGAAAATATTCCAAGCAAAATCTGATAATATAATTCTTGATTTTTCATTAGGAGAAATGTCAGACTAGAAATATTATCAATGCTGTCTTTTCATCTTTATTTTGAAATTGTAAGGACAGTTTGATTGATTTTCCACCATTAACAAATGACCATTGTTTTTTATTAGTAACAGAGTACTCTAGATTAGCAATCAATCTTTACCAACATTATAAACCCATCAAAGTCCTGCCTGTAATATCTTTCCTAGTATTCCCTCACGAGATTACTAAAAATCTACCAAAACCGTGAGGTTGCAGAGACAACTTTTACAATCTATCGGAAAATCTTGTACATTTTGCTTGTATTTTTCAAAAGGGACAAAAAATAACAGAATACAATAACAATTAACTACTAATTTACCTTTAGGTATTTTACTAACACAGTGTAACTGACTAGGATCAAACACTTGACCAACAGGACAGTGACGTACAGCCATGGTCCTATTAATCAGACATGTGACATACAGATCTGTCCACAGAGCTGATTGGACAGCTTCATCACCATCAGGTAGGCCTTGACAACTTGGTAAACGTTTAGGACATACTTCACAGTTCATGTCACCTGGCTTACACAAGTTCTGGTCATATTCACCTGAAGTATCAAAAATTTTGTTTAAAATTATAAATATAAATGCCTCAAAACTGATAAAAAGTAGACTTAATATATAGTATAAGAACTATTGACAGCTACTGATATAAATTTACCAGTTTTGAAAATTTAAGCTATCCATTCAAAATAACTTAAAATCATTATAATACATCTGAACTATTCAACAAATTAAACCCTTATGAAATTACTCATGATCATTTTGGTATAACTGAGATCAATTTTTTTTTTGAAAGATTATTTATGAAAAGAGCCTCATTAGAGTAAAATTTAAAATGTTGGAATATTACTGTTAAAGCTTGGCATTAAAGTAATGTATGGGATTGTGTAGCTGAAAGGAACATTTTCTACATAGTCACTATCTACATCAATGTGATACAGTAAGTATCTATTATCAATCTAAAATGATTCTAAACAGGATAGCCATATATTTTTTTCATTCTAATGCCTTCCAACTTTCTTTAAATCACAGATTTTCTGTAAAAGCAAAAAGATTGCTATTGAGAAAGTATGAAACTTACAAGGAGCTTGTGGTTCCTTTTTGGTTTTACATGACACATTCTGGAATCTTTCACAATGCTGGGAAACATCAGAGAACAGATCAGGATATTTACACTCTGATGTGACCGCTGTTTTAGTGGCCATGTTCTGTGAACAATTGTAAAACTTGGCACAGTTTGTAGGGTCGGGTATCATGGCTGTTGGGTGGACTTTACAATAATCTGGTATGTCAACTGTAATGGAAACATATCATACAGCTCTCAAAGTGAGTTGACATCAATCTGGAATATCAACTGACATATAAACAAAATACATAATCCTTAAATTTTTTCTATGAATAGTTGTAGAATTTGGTATAGTCTGTAGAAGGCTGCCCAGTAGACCAGTCAAAAACCTTTTTATTGCACACAAAACCCAGAGAGGTATGTTCCTGTTTTTTGTGGCATCTGACCAATTTTAGAACTGGTCACAGACTTTGAGTGCTGGTATCATGGCTACATGCTACAAAACATGAGCAATACCAAGCAAATATACACATAAAAAAGTCATAAGATGATGTAATTGACCTGGTTGTGCAACTTTCATATACAGATTTTAAATGGATTCTATAAACATAATTTTTATAGATTATAAAATATCAACAGCTGTTTTAAAAAAGTTATAAGGAATAATGACTGACCTGGTTGTACAACTTTCATACATTTGTCCAGTCTAGGATTGAAGTATTCTCCTGTAGGACATTTTGTGACTGCCATTGTTCTATTTTTGTAACATCTGACATAATCTGCTTGCCACATCTTGGCAGGGAATGGATTTAATCCATCGGATTTTCCCACACAAGATGGAAGTCTCTTTGTACAAGGATCACAGGTTTTGTTAATAGCTTGACATAAGTTCTGTTGATATTCACCTGAAATACAGTTAAGTTTAAATACTTTAGAATATTTATGGGTTTTTTTTGTGTAGCTCATCAAATATCAACAAACAACCTCTTTGTACTTGTGTTCTTATTTAATTAACACATTTTTTTAAATTTTTGTTTTGCTATATAAGTGTAAAGGTAAAGATATTGCTCCCCAAATTGTCTTTAATATGTTTTATTATTCAAAAAGTTTTTAATTTTACTATCTTACAGCTATTATCACATTACTCCATTTTTAATTAAGTTAATTTTTGTAACTATCATTCACTTGTTGCATAAGTAAAAACTTACAAGGAGCTTGTGGTTCTGGTTTCTTGCTACAGTTGACCATTTCAAAGTTATTACATTGTTTAATACTATCATCAAATAAGTCTGGATAGTGACACTCCTTCCTGTAATTTCCTGGAGTCTGACCTGCTGCTCGGGTTATGGTGGCCATCGTGGGATCAGAGCAGTTAAAGTAATGAGCACAATTATCTGGGTCTGGTAGAATGGTGCTGGGATGAGCTTTACAATACTCTGGTACATCAACTAGAAATATAAGAAAGAAGTATACATGTTTATACAAGAAAATTATTCATGTGAATCATGCAAAATTATTTATGTTGATCACCTTGTCTCAGGTGTCAATATTGCTTTAGTGGTCATATGGTAACTTAGTGAACTTAAGCGAGGAAGATCTTTTGATCAACCCTTGTCCATGTCAAACCAAAAACAGGCATTTGACATGTCTTTAAGATGTACCTTTATGCAAGTCCAGATGACTCTACAACTTGTATCATTTTAGTTATTAATTTAAAAATTATAAAACAGTTGAGTCTTCCAAGGAAGATGTGATGTCTGCTATCTGCAATAATAAAAGCAGCATGGCAAAGTCCATGTTTTTGTATGGGAAACCCCATAAATCACACACACACAAACATTTAAATAAAAAATACACAATGTCATGTCATGTAGAAAAATCTGTGCAAGTTTGGTTGAATTTTGTCAAGTTGTTTTCAGGTATTTTCTAATCAACAAACTGATATAAACAGAAATGACAGACCTGGTTGTACAACTTTCATACATGTGTCCAGTCTAGGATTGAAGTATTTTCCTGTTGGACATTTTGTGACTGCCATTGTTCTATTTTTATAACATCTGACATAATCTGCTTGCCACATCTTGGCAGGGAATGGATTTAATCCATCAGATTTTCCCACACAAGATGGAAGTCTCTTTGTACAAGGATCACAGGTTTTGTTGATAGCTTGACACAAGTTCTGTTGGTATTCACCTATAATATAGAGCATTTTATTGATGTGCAATTTTATAATTACAAGAACTGCCACAATACAATGAAGTTTCATAATTAACTTTGCAGAGTTTTTTTCCAGAATCTTTACCGCTATGTCTTTATAACTTCTTTTTGAATTTTCTTTTAAAAAAATATGCAATTCAAAAACACAGTTCTTTTTAGTTTCTCATTTCTTCTTTCTTCCTATTCATTTTTTTACCTTTGAAACAAAAGGAAGAGAATGAGCACTTAAAAGTATCTTACAGATAATTCTTTCAATCAAATTCTTAAATTATTAAGGTACTTGAAAACAAACTAAATTATATTGCCTTTATTCTCTAGGGGTAAGGCAAAAGCAACCAATAGCATCTTACCAACAAGAGAAGAAAAGGCATTATTTTGTGACCATCACATGCTTTTCATTCATTTACTTACAAGGAGCTTGTGGTTCTGGTTTCTTGCTACAGTTGACCATTTCAAAGTTATTACATTGTTTAATACTATCATCAAATAAGTCTGGATAGTGACATTCCTTTCTGTAATTTCCTGGAGTCTGACCTGCTGCTCTGGTTATGGTTGCCGTTGTAGGATCAGAGCAGTTAAAGTAATGAGCACAGTTATCTGGGTCTGGTAGAATGGTGCTGGGATGGGATGTACAGTAATCTGGTATGTCAACTGAAAATGGAAAATTAAATAAATTGAAAAGCAGTGACAAATATGCTTTTGTAGATGACATTTCAAGAACCATGCATGCAAAACTCATTTTAAGCCTAATGAAAAAGTTATTTCTCAATTAAATCTTTTCCTTTCTTTTATCCTGCAATCAGCCATCCTGCTATACATAAACAGCCTTATATCAGTTTCCATTTTAGACATGTTTTTAATGATGTCACATCATATTCCCTTTGTGTCCTTTCTAGTTCACGCCCTATGCGACACATGGCGCTAAAGGGAGTTGTAAGTTGTAAGTCCTTTTTAGTAGTAGTTGTGGCATTATGAACTTCAATATCAATATCTAACCATCATCATAACTTATTCCCATGCCTTTTTTTTCAGTTTGAGCAGATTTAAGAATATTAAGCTTGGATAAAAATCATAGAATGTACTCAGCATGAAAAATGCAGAAAAGTTTGGCAAGCTTCATATTTCTAGTTGCTTCTTGGCCTCTTTCAAAATATAAATGAAATATTACAGTGTGTTTCATACTGATCCCCTTTAATTTGTGGTTCCTTAGCTGATAAGATAACGAAATTTATCAATAATGTTTAAAACACCTGCACAGAAGACATGAGCAGTGATTATATGTTACCTTTTGGAACATCGTCTTGACATTTGCCTGTCCTTGGATTGAAGTAACCATGGCTACAGTGTGTCACATTTAATGTTCTATTTTTATAACAAGTGATGTAGTCAGACATCCATAGTTTGTTGGGGAATGAGTTGTCACCATCTGGATGTCCAACACAAGAAGGCAGACGTTTGGGACAGGGGAGACAACTAGGGTCTGATACATTACATCTATTCTGTAAATATTCACCTGTGAAAACAAAATTTTATCTTTATAGAATTTTCTGTATGTTCAGACATGAACATTTAAACTTACAAAGATTAATTCTATTGAAGGTGTACTTTTCTTTTTTTCTTAAACCTAACTATTTTCAACAGAAAATTTTGAAGATCTCTTGTGTCCAGGATATTTAATTAAACATCTTTTAAATCTCTGTACTTCTTTTTATTCTAATTGAACTCAACACTTCATACTGCCATAAAAAATCGATACAAATACGGTAAATAGTTTCTAATTATCTCCTTGTCCAAAAAAAAAAACATCTGCTGAAAAAGACATTATTTTGAATGGTTGGCGGCATAATGATTCTAAGATTTTATTGGATCTTGAATCTGGACAGGAAAGATTTCATAAATGTAAATGAATCCCTTGAATTTTAAGTTACAGGTTTCTGATGATGTAAAAGAACTTACATGGGGCCTCTGGTTCATGTTTTGATTTGTTACACTTCACTTGTTGAAAGTCTTTACATGTCAGACTGACTTCATCAAACAGATCTGGATACTGACATTCCTGTAGATGATGACCATATTTAGACATGGCTGAACAATTGTAGTACTGTCCACAAGTGTCTGGGTGTGGTACTATAGATGTAGGGTTAGCTTGACAGAAGGAATCAATGTTTCCTGGAAAATATATAATCACTCTTCAACTCATAAGAACAATGTTTTGGACATGCACAGATAAAGGTAATTGCCATGAATTATAATGCTCTACATTTAGGACAGTCTTTGCAAGTGCAATGCAAATTAAATGTTATTCACATTCTATGCCAGGAAGAAATGGGTGTTTGAACTCTAATCTTTCTTATAAAGCAACTTATCATTTAACTATGTTTTACTGAAATAACTTCCCCATTAATCGACAAAATACTAGAGGTCAAGCAGATCCAGCATCAATCACTTTACATCTATGCTTGTTGACTCAAGTCAAGTATCAGTAATGTTAACTATGCTCCCAAGTGGCAAGCCAAATCTTATGAGAATAAAATATAATTTTTCTTTTCTATTCACAAAGTCTTCATTGCAGCACAACTCACATAGTTTAATACTCTTGAAGTACACAGGGACATCAGACACAAATATAATACAAAAGTTCATGGCGGCTAAGTAGTTCAGGTTGCTAACATTACAGAATTCTATCTTTCCAATACTGACTAGGAGATTTGTTTAATATGATTTACAAAGTAAAACAATTAAAGTCTCAATGCAAACTCTGTCTACAAATTTGAGAAACAGAGTGAAATGTTGGCACATCTCCTTTTATTCATAGAGTTTTACCATACATTCAAAACACCAGGCAGTTACAATTTGTATTCGCTAACCTTTAGGTATTTTACTGACACAGTGTAACTGATTTGGATCATACACTTGACCAACAGGACAGTGACGTACAGCCATGGTCCTATTAATCAGACATGTGACATACAGATCTGTCCACAGAGCTGATTGGACGGCTTCATCACCATCAGGTAGACCTCGACAACTTGGTAAACGTTTAGGACATACTTCACAGTTCATGTCACCTGGCTTACACAAGTTCTGGTCATATTCACCTGAGTAATAAAATATTAAATCTTAGTTACAAATATATTTACAACTTTTCTAGACACTGGAAGATTTACAGATTCAACACCTGTCTAATGTTGAAGGCTGCATGACTGTATGTTGATCTTCATATATTATTTATTTTGTGTTGTGTGGTTGCTTTCTCATTGACAAATACACATTCTATTATTAGAAATATGTTGGATCATGTTAAGTCTAAATTACTTCCCTTGAATTTTGTCACAGCAACAAATATAAATTTTAAAATGTCCTTTTATTGATATCTTTAGACTTTGTCAAAATTATTTGACCATATGATACATCACATAAATGTCGACTGACCCACAATCAGTGGGTCATACTTAAAAACGCCAGCAATGTATTTGTAAAAAAATATATTATTATACATTTGAGGTAGATATCAAACACATATATTAAATGAATATATACATAATAAAATTATCATCAATGAACTCCAATTTTAGCCAACTAACTTCAATACTTACAAGGAGCTTGTGGTTCCTTTCTGATTTTACAAGAAACATTCTGGAATCTTTCACACTGCTGAGAAACATCAGAAAACAGATCAGGATATTTACACTCTGATGTAACTGCTGTTTTAGTGGCCATGTTCTGTGAACAGTTGTAAAACTTGGCACAGTTTGTAGGGTCTGGTATCATGGCTGTTGGGTGGACTTTACAATAATCTGGTATGTCAACTGTAATGGAAACAAAACATAAAGCTCTCAAAGAGGGGTTAACAACAATCTGGAACATTAACTGAACTAGAAAGAAATCATACAGCCCTCATGGTGGATCTCACAATAATCTTTTATGTCAACTGAAAACAAAGGATATCATATATTTAGTGTGGCACAGTTTGTAGACTTGAGTATCAAGTCTGCAGCCAATCAGATATAAACAATATGAATGAATATCCATATAAACTTTCACTGCAAGGTCATTAACAACATATTTAAACTCTACAAAATGAAACATTTATGAAGTGAGCTTTCTGAAAAAGTGAAAAGGAATTATGACTGACCTGGTTGTACAACTTTCATACATTTGTCCAGTCTAGGATTGAAGTATTCTCCTGTTGGACATTTTTTGACTGCCATTGTTCTATTTTTATAACATTTGACATAATCTGCTTGCCACATCTTGGCAGGGAATGGATTTAATCCATCAGATTTTCCCACACAAGATGGAAGTCTCTTTGTACAAGGATCACAGGTTTTGTTAATAGCTTGACATAAGTTCTGTTGGTATTCACCTGAAATACAGTTAAGTTTAAATACTTTAGAATATTTATGTTTTTTTTTGTGCAGCTCATCAAATATCAACAAACAACCTCTTTGTACTTGTATTCTTATTTAATTAACACATTTTTATTTTATTTTTTGGCTATACAAGTGTAAAGGTAAAGATATCGCTCCCCAAATTGTCTTGAATATGTTTTATCATTCAAAAAGTTTTTTAATTTTACTATCTTACAGCTATTATCACATTACTCCATTTTTAATTAGATTAATTTTTATAACTATTATTCACTTGTTGCATAAGTATTAACTTACAAGGAGCTTGTGGTTCTGGTTTCTTGCTACAGTTGACCATTTCAAAGTTATTACATTGTTTAATACTATCATCAAATAAGTCTGGATAGTGACATTCCTTCCTGTAATTTCCTGGAGTCTGACCTCCTGCTCTGGTTATGGTGGCCATGTTGGGATCAGAGCAGTTAAAGTAATGAGCACAATTATCCGGGTCTGGTAGAATGGTGCTGGGATGAGCTTTACAATAATCTGGTACATCAACTAGAAATATAACTAAGAAGTATACATGTTTATAGTAGAAAATTATTCATGTGAATCATGCAAAATTATTTATGTTTATCATCATGTCTCAGGTGTCAATATTGCTTTAGTGGTCATATGGTAACTTAGTGAACTTAAGCATGGAAGATCTTTGGATCAACCCTTGTCCATGTCAAACCAAAAACTGGCATTTGACATCTCTATAAGATGTACCTTTATGCAAGTCCAGATGACTCTACAACTTGTATCATTTTAGTTATTAATTTAAAAATTATAAAACAGTTGAGTGTTCCAAGGAAGATGTGATGTCTGCCATCTGCAATAATAAAAGCAGCATGGCAAAGTCCATGTCTTTGTATGGGAAACCCCATAAATCACACACACACAAAATTTTAAATAAAAGATACACAATGTCATATCATGTAGAAAAATCTGTGCAAATTTGGTGAATTTTGTCAAGTTGTTTTCAAGGAGTTTCTGATCAACAAACTGATATAAACAGAAATGACTGACCTGGTTGTACAACTTTCATACATTTGTCCATTCTAGGATTAAAGTATTCTCCTGTTGGACATTTTGTGACTGCCATTGTTCTATTTTTATAACATCTGACATAATCTGCTTGCCACATCTTGGCAGGGAATGGATTCAAACCATCAGATTTTCCTACACAAGACGGAAGTCTCTTTGTACAAGGATCACAGGTTTTGTTGATAGTTTGACACAAGTTCTGTTGATATTCACCTATAATATGGAGCATTTTATTGGTGTGCAATTTCATAATTACAAGAACTGCCACAATACAATGAAATTTCGTGATTAACTTTGCAGTGTTTTTTCCAGAATCTTTACTGATAGGTCTTTGAATGTCTTTAGTTCTTTTGAATTTTCTTTTAAAAGAATATCCAATTCAAAAACACAGTTCTTTTTAGTTTCTCATTTCTTCTTTCTTTCTAATTTATTTACTTTGAAACAAAAGGAAGAGAATGCGCACTTAAACATATCTTACAGATAATTCATTACCGTAGAAAGGCTTGTATAGTCCGCAGTTTTATTCTCCAAAATTGGACCTTCCAGACGGGGTGCGGACTATAGAGTACAATAAGCAAGAAATAAGAGAAAAATTTCAATTTCGCGGGCGAGGTGGTTTGTTTACGTTCCGCCATCTTTGTTATTTATATTGTAGAGGGCGCTCTTATCATTTTTCAAACTAATAATTTTAACTCATCCATATTAATAAGTTATTTCTATTCAATATCAAATTAATACTGATAAATATAAAAACTAAACCTTTCATTACAAATTTCTCATTTCTTTTCAATGCATTGGTTATAATAAACTGGTATCTGCTTGATTGAAACGATACAAACATAGTGAAAAAGACAACCGTAAACCAGCTTAGAATTTGTAAACTACAAAACGTAATCAGTTATTGTTCGTTCCGTTTTGGTGTTTCATACTGACTAATATGGTTTGTATTAGCTTAAGACCCTTCAAACATTAATGTGATAGATATATTAAAGACTGTTTTACAAAAGGATGGAACTGTTTTACTTTCAAAGTCGTATTATAGTGATATCTGTTATGTATGGATTTCGACTCTGTCACCGTTTAGTTTCTTCTTTTACACGTGCTTTTTAAACTTCCTGTTTAAACATACACAAGTTTCTTAATTGTTTTTTAAGTGAATTAAACTTATTTTAACAATCATGAAGCGTTCTAGAATCATTTACCTGCAGTTTCAGCTTCTGTTTGATGATGGAAAACAGGTCTTTCCAAGAAAGTACCACAAACGACCGCACAGGATTTGAAATTACCGGAGTTTCATTAGACCTTTTCTAACAGTTACAAAGTAAAAAAAGTAAAAGTAAAAGTTTTTTTACCTAAAATTTTGTGGGGAGAAGGGGGTGCGGACTATGTACCAGTGCGAACTATACAAGCCTTTCTACGGTAGATCAAAATGTTAAATTATTAAGGTACTTAAATACAAACTATATGAACTAAATTATATTGCCTTTATTCTCTAGGGGTAAAGAAAAAGCAACCAATAGTATCTGAAAACAAAGAGAAGAAAAGACATTATTTTGTGATCGTCACATATCTGTCATTTACTTACAAGGAGCTTGTGGTTCTGGTTTCTTGCTACAGTTGACCATTTCAAATTTATTACATTGTTTAATACTATCGTCAAATAAGTCTGGATAGTGACATTCCTTTCTGTAATTTCCTGGAGTCTGACCTGCTGCTCTGGTTATGGTTGCCGTTGTAGGATCAGAGCAGTTAAAGTAATGAGCACAGTTATCTGGGTCTGGTAGAATGGTGCTGGGATGGGATGTACAGTAATCTGGTATGTCAACTGAAAATGGAAAATTAAATAAATTGAAAAACAGTGACAAATATGCTTTTGTAGATGACATTTCAAGAACCATGCATGCAAAACTCATTTTAAGCCTAATGAAAAAGTTATTTCTCAATTAAATCTGTTCCTTTCTTTTATCCTGCAATCAGCCATCCTGCTATACATAAACAGCCTTATATCAGTTTCCTTTTTAGACGTTATCAATGATGTCACATCATATTCCCTTTGTGTCCTTTCTAGTAGTAGTTGAGGCATTATGAACTTTAATATCAATCAATTTTTAACCATAATTATAGCTTATTCCTTTCCCTTTTCTTTAGTTCGAGCAGATTTAAGAATATAAAGCTAGGGTAAAAATCATAGAATGTACTCAGCATGAAACATGCAGAAAAGTTTGGCAAGCTTCATATTTCTAGTTGCTTCTTGGCTTCTTTCAAAATACAAATAAAATATTACAGTGTGTTTCATACTGATTCCCTTTTATTTGTGGTTCCTTGGCTGATAAGATACTGAAATTTATCAATAATATTTAAAACACCCGCACAGAATACATGAGAAGTGATTATATTTTACCTTTTGGAACATCATCTTGACATTTGCCTGTCCTTGGATTGAAGTAACCATGGCTACAGTGTGTCACATTCAAAGTTCTATTTTTATAACATGTGATGTAGTCAGACATCCATAGCTTGTTGGGGAATGAGTTGTCACCATCCGGATGTCCAACACAAGAAGGCAGACGTTTGGGACAGGGGAGACAACTAGGACCTGATACATTACATCTATTCTGTAAATATTCACCTGTAAAAATAAAATTCTGCCTTTAAATATAGAATTTTCTGGATGTTTAGAACATTTAAAGCTGAAAAGATTAATTCTGCTGAAGCTGTACTTTTCTTCTTTTTTTTCTTTAACCTAACTATTTTCAATAGATCTTTTAGTTTTGTCTTCTAGTATTTTGAAGATCTTTTGTGTCCAGAAATATTTAGTTAAACATCTTTTAAATTTCTGTACTTCTTTTTATTCTAATTGAACACAACACTTCATACTGCCATAAAAAATCAATACAAATATGGTAAATAATTTCTAATTATCTCCTTGTCCATGCATGTACAAAAGTTCAGACAATAATTCAAAGTAAAGTAAAATTTGTATAGCTCAAAACAAAAAAAAAACATCTGCTGAAAAAGACATTATTTTGAATGGTTGATGGCATAATGATTCTAAGATTTTGTTTGATCTTAAATCTGGACAGGAAAGATATAATAAACGTAAATGAATCCCTTGAATTTTAAGTTACAGGTTTCTGATGATGTAAAAGAACTTACATGGGGCCTCTGGTTCATCTTTTGATTTGTTACATTTCACTTGTTCAAAGTCTTTACATGTCAGACTAACTTCATCAAACAGATCTGGATACTGACATTCCTGTAGATGATGACCATATTTAGACATGGCTGAACAGTTGTAGTACTGACCACAAGAGTCTGGGTGTGGTACTATAGATGTAGGGTTAGCTTGACAGAAGGAATCAATGTTTCCTGGAAAATATATAATCACTCTTCAACTCATAAGAACAATTTGTTTTGGACATACACAGATAAAGGTAATTGCCATGAATTATAATGCTCTACATTTAGGACAGTCTTTGCAAGTGCAATGCAAATTAAATGTTATTCACATTCTATGCCAGGAAGAAACGGGTGTTTGAACTCTAATCTTTCTTATAAAGCAACTTATCATTAAACTATGTTTTTCTGAAATAACTTCCCCATTAATGGACAAAATACAATACTAGAGGTCAAGCAGATCCAGCATCAATCATTTTACATCTATGCTTGTTGACTCAAGTAAAATATCAGTAATATTTAACTATGCTCCCAAGTGGCCAGCCAAATCTTCTGAGAATAAAATATAATTTTTCTTTTCTATTCGCAAAGTCTTCATTGCTGCACAACTCACATAGTTTAATACTCTTGAAGTACACAGGGACATCAGACACAAATATAATGCAAAAGTTCATGGCGGCGAGGTAGTTCAGGTTGCTAACATTACAGAATTCTTTTTTCCAATACTGACCAGGAGATTTGTTTAATATGATTTACAAAGTAAAACAATTAAAGTCCCAATGCAAACTCTGTCTACAAATTTGAGAAACAGAGTGAAATGTCTGCACATCTCCTTTTATTCATAGAGTTTTACCATACATTTAAAACACCAGGCAGTTACAATTTCTATTCACTAACCTTTAGGTATTTTACTGACACAGTGTAACTGATTTGGATCATACACTTGACCAACAGGACAGTGACGGACAGCCATGGTCCTATTAATCAGACATGTGACATACAGATCTGTCCAAAGAGCTGATTGGACAGCTTCATCACCATCAGGTAGACCTCGACAACTTGGTAAACGTTTAGGACATACTTCACAGTTCATGTCACCTGGCTTACACAAGTTCTGGTCATATTCACCTGAGGAATAAAATATTAAATCTTAACTTTTCTAGACAATGTAAGATTTACAGCTTCAACACCTGTCTAATGTTAAAGGCTGCATGACTGTGTGTTGATCTTTATATATTATTTATTTTGTGTTGTGTGGTTGCTTTCTCACTGACATTTACACATTCTATTATTAGAAATATGTTGGATCATGTTAAGTCTAAATAACTTCGCTTGAATTTTGTCACAGAAATAAATATAAATTTTAAAAAGTCCTTTTATTGATATCTTTAGACTTTGTTGAAATTATTTGACCTTCCATCACATAAAAGTCGAGTGACCCACAATCAGTGGGTCATACTTAATAAATGCATTTACATCCACAAGCACCAGCAATGTATTTGTAAAAAAAAATATATTATTTTCAGATATCCTTTTGAGGTAGATATCAAACACATATAAAAATGAAAATATACATAATAAAATTATCATCAATGAACTCCAATTCTATCCAACTAACTTCAATACTTACAAGGAGCTTGTGGTTCCTTTCTGGTTTTACATGACACATTCTGGAATCTTTCACAATGCTGTGAAACATCAGAGAACAAATCAGGATATTTACACTCTGATGTGACCGCTGTTTTAGTGGCCATGTTCTTTGAACAGTTGTAAAACTTGGCACAGTTTGTAGGGTCTGGTATCATGGCTGTTGGGTGGACTTTACAATAATCTGGTACGTCAACTGTAATGGAAACAAATCATAAAGCCCTCAAAGAGGGGTTAACAACAATCTGGAACTTAACTGAAATAGAAACAAATCATGCAGCTCTTATGGTGGATCTCACAATAATCTTGTATATCAAATGAAAAAGAAACAAAGAATATCATATATTTAGTGTGGCACAGTTTGTAGACTTGAGTATCAAGTCTGCAGCCAATCAGATATAAACAATATGAATGAATATCCATATAAACTTTCACTGTAAGGTCATTAACAACATATTTAAACTCTACAAAATAAAACATTTATGAAGTGAGCTTTTTGGAAAAAGTGAAAAGGAATTATGACTGACCTGGTTGTACAACTTTCATACATTTGTCCAGTCTAGGATTGAAGTATTCTCCTGTTGGACATTTTGTGACTGCCATTGTTCTATTTTTATAACATCTGACATAATCTGCTCGCCACATCTTGGCAGGGAATGGATTTAAACCATCAGATTTTCCCACACAAGATGGAAGTCTCTTTGTACAAGGATCGCAGGTTTTGTTGATAGCTTGACACAAGTTCTGTTGATATTCACCTGAAACAAATCACTCATAACATTACTCTTTTGCTCATTTTTCAATAAAATATTATTCTTGCACACAATTATCATCACTCATAATCTGAGTGTACTTTAAGCTTTTATTTGTAAAGGCTCTTTTAACTTTTTTTCTCTTTACAAGAACAAAAGTAAGCAGAATACTTCTTGCAACATTTGTTTTTCTACTTTTTTTTTAAATAGTTATAATAAAAACTATGTTTCAGCACTTACAGTTAACTTTTATTTATAATTTTTGTTTCAGATTGTTATTTCAGTGTCAAAACTATATCATTAAGCTGTCAACCAACCATGAACCATTGTTTACATTTACTGTGTCAAAGGTATGCATTTTTTTTTTTAAATCTTATTTCAGAATCTTCTTAAACTCCATTGTGTAACATTATCCCAAAACTTGACTGGAATGTTTCATCAAACTAATTTGAATATCCTTCATCAGGATAATCAGGAGCCTGTAATTCAGTGGTTGTCATTGGTTGCTATCTGTTATATTTGGTTTTTGTTTCGCTGTTGACTGTTTTGTCTCTAGTAGATAGTTCTCTCATTGGCTATCTCCTTATTTCTATATGTAGCAAATCAGGTCAATAAGTTAATTTTCATTTTCTTAAATAAGTTAGAAGTGTCCTATACATTATAATACAAAAATGCTGTTACAAAAAGTTTTTATTCAACCACTTTTTTTCTTTTTACTGATTTGTTTCATTTAGGTACTTACAAGGAGCTTGTGGTTCTGGTTTCTTGCTACAGTTGACCATTTCAAAGTTATTACATTGTTTAATACTATCATCAAATAAGTCTGGATAGTGACATTCCTTCCTGTAATTTCCTGGAGTCTGACCTGCTGCTCTGGTTATGATGGACATGGTGGGATCAGAGCAGTTAAAGTAATGAGCACAATTATCTGGGTCTGGTAGAATGGTGCTGGGATGGGCAGTACAGTAATCTGGTACATCAACTGAAATATAAAATTGAAGTATTATAGAGAGCACAATTATCTGTGTCTGGTAAATTGGCAATATTGACCTAATCACAAATTCAATATATGATATACTGTGAATTCATTATTATTCGTTGGATACCAATTTTCCTAGATTTCATGGGTAGAGGGGAACCAAGAATTTAAATGTTCAACAAATTAAAAATTGTCTATAGGAATGTATGTAGACTTAAGCAAAACCATGAGAATCAGATATCCTTGAAAATTCAAGTTGTCTTCAATCCATGAAAATTGGTACCCCAGAAAATAAATGAATCCAAAGTATGCAAATTCATCGGACAATAACCAAGAAACTATGCTAACTAATGCTAATGTGACTTCATACCAATATCAATATTTCATTAAAGGTTCATTTTGGTTTTATCACCTCTTAAATACTTATAGTATGTTTTAGATTTACAAATATTTTGGCCTATGAGCATCTAGCTGGATCTTAACAAACGAATAGAATGTGTACCACAGATAGAGAATTCTCCATTATAACACTTCATGGTAGCTTTCAAAAAATGTTCACTCTCTTTTTGCTGACAAAAAAAGGATACAGACATAAACACTTATAAAGAGAAACATATCAATATAGTGATTCATGTCTTAAGCTAGGTTTTGAATTTTAGCCATTCTATTTTTATTAATACTAGTTCTTTATTACAAATATAATTATTTCAATTGATGTTTTACTGAAAACACTGACCTGGTTGTACAACTTTCATGCATTTATCCAGTCTAGGATTGAAGAATTCTCCCGTTGGACATTTTGTGACTGCCATTGTTCTATTTTTATAACATCTGACATAATCTGCTTGCCACATCTTGGCAGGGAAGGGATTTAATCCATCAGATTTTCCCACACAAGATGGAAGTCTCTTTGTACAAGGATCACAGGTTTTATTGATAGCTTGACACAAATTCTGTTGATATTCACCTATAATAAATGTAGTACATTACATTGAAGAACCAAGAATATGGAATATTTATTCAACAACAACTGTACATATTGTGATATTTCATTTTCTTCCTATTAAATCACTTATTTCAAAATATTCACTTAATAAACTGTTAAAACAGAGATATGTCTCACCTATTTGTTATTTTGATAATGCAAATGTTAAAATTAAAATAGCAATACTTTAACATGTAAGTTATGCAAATATTCAAAGTCAATGAACCATGACTGAAGGTACAGGGCTAAACAATCTCCATGGAAATGAGATGTGCAAATGCTAATACAACTGCAAACCAGATACCATTGACTTTTCATAAGTCGTTCCCTTTAAACAAACCTAAACACAAACATTAAATTGTAAACTATGTAAAAGTTTCAAAGTCAATGAACCATAATTAGGGGGTGGGGTTATATAATCTCCATGGAAATGAAACTTGCAAATGCCAATACATTTGCATACCGAATATCATTGACTTAACATTAGTGGTTCATCTTAAACTGACCTAATCACAAACTAATACATGTAAACTAAGCAAAAGTTTCAAAGTCAATAAACCATGACTGCGGTGTGAGGACCAAATATCCATAATGGAAATGAGATGTGCTTATACTTATACAACTGCATACCAATTATCATTGACCTACCACTAACAGTTCCCCTTAAACTGACCTAATCACAAACTAATACATGAAAACTAAGCAAAAGTTTCAAAGTCAATAGACCATGAATGAGGGGGCGGGGCCAAATAATCTCCATGGAAATGAGATATGCCAATGCTTATACAACTGCATACCAAATATCATTGACCTACCACTAGTGGTTCCCCATAAACTGACCTTATCACAAACTAATACATGTAAACTAAGCAAAGTTTCAAAGTCAATAGACCTTGACTGAGGGGGCGGGGCCAAATAATCTCCATGGTAATGAGATGTGCCAATGCTAATCAACTGCATACCAAATATCATTGACCTACCACTAGTGGTTCACAATAAACTAGACCTGATCACAAACTAATACATTGTTGACGCTGCCGACGCCAGAAACAGCATACCTATGTCTCGCTTTTTGACTCCGTCAAGGCGAGACAAAAACCACAATCCTTTTTTTATCTTTAAGTACTGTAAATTTTAAGGTCAGGAATTGACAGAAATGTTAATAACAAGATGAGATTAAAAATGCTAAAACTTGCTGTAGATTCCTTATAATTATTTTATGCTCATTTCATTGGTATAGTCTTCACAAATAAAAATGAATCTACAATAAATTAAAAAACAAACAGACACTTCATTATCCTTTTTGACAAATGCAACAGAGATTCAAATAATAGTATTTCAATGGTATAGAACATGATTTATTCAGTCCAGTCAGGAAGATAATATAAGTGAGTGTAAATATTTTACACATAATTTTTCCTATGCATAGTCGTTACTTTCAAAATATGTCAAATATATCGGTAATTTTGGTTTGGAATGAAAGCTTATTGCCCTGGGATCACTGTCGAACCCTTGTTGAATGATTAATTTTAATAATAAAAAAGTTGTCTAAAATTGAAATAGAAGGTATATTTTGTCACGTTTCTTACATCAGAAGTACACGTTTTTGTACTTACTAATTTCCGGGAACCAGGGCTCTTATATGCAATATTATGTTATGTTTATGTTCAATTATTCAGAGCAAGCCAGATTAAGGTATTGTCTTTACATGAAGGGATGTCACTTTATCTAGAGCTAATTTCCTAATGCATGTAGAGTGAGACTTTAGTTGGCTTGCTTGTTCTGTTTGTATAAATGTTTGCTCAAGCATTGTAATTAAGATTATATAAATAGGCAGAGTTAAACCTGTACACAACTTAAATTTGATTGGATGTTATCCTGGACGTTAGGAATCTAAATATAATGTATACAGGTTAAACTCTGCCTTAGTATTTACATTGTTTGCAGATTTCAATCTTAATAACAAAATTAATGCTTGAGCAAACATTTATACAAACAAAGCGAGCAAGCCAACCAAAGTCTTACTCTTAAAGCATTAGGAAATTAGCACTAAACTAAAGACAAAATTGCTATGAATGCCTGAAATTGGTGAATTTAACATAGAAAGCAATGGAGCCATGAATTTGTGGTTTGATACTTTAAACCATGACAAAACATTTTTTCTTATTCTGTTCAAGTATACTTACAAGGTGCTTGAGGTTCTGGTTTCTTGCTACAGTTGACCATTTTAAAGTTATTACATTGTTTAATACTATCATCAAATAAGTCTGGATAGTGACATTCCTTCCTGTAATTTCCTGGAGTCTGACCTGCTGCTCTGGTTATAGTGGCCATGGTGGGATCAGAGCAGTTAAAGTAATGAGCACAATTATCTGGGTCTGGTAGAATGGTGCTGGGATGGGCTGTACAGTAATCTGGTACATCAACTGAAATATAAAATTGGATATAATGAACAGGCATCAACTGAAAAACCTAATTATTACATGCATATTATAACAATGTTATAGAGCTCTCCTAATTCTTTATCCATGAAAACTTGGTGGTTTTTTCTTTGACTTATAGAATTTGTGAGCCTTGTTTATACTGATGCTGAATGGAACCAGAATAAAAAGAATTATGTCACAAGTATGAGAAATATGGCAACTGCTTCTGTGGTGGGAAATCTAAAACAAATATTTTAAATTATACCAAATTAATAGCATTCTGACATTTTTTTAATTGGAGAAAGAAGTTATTTTTTAAAAAATAACAAACTGTAAATAATAACAAAATGATTTGGTTTCCTTCTCCTTTAAATTACCTTTTGGAACATCGTCTTCACATTTGCCTGTCCTTGGATTGAAGTAACCATGGCTACAGTGTGTCACATTCAATGTTCTATTTTTATAACAAGTAATGTAGTCAGACATCCATAGCTTGTTGGGAAATGAGTTGTCTCCATCTGGATGTCCAACACAGGAAGGCAGACGTTTGGGACAGGGGAGACAACTAGGATCAGATACATTACATCTATTCTGTAAATATTCACCTGTGAAAACAAAATGTTAAAAGTAACAAACATTGTTACATATCAATTAGCTTATATACAATCTGAAACATGGCTTAATCTTTCAATATTTTCTTTTCTGTATTAACAACTGTACACAAATTTACTTTGGGAATCACACAAAATCATGTTTTTCTGTACTTTTCGTCAGACATTACTGTATGTAATCTACTTGTAAGAGGATTTATGTATCAAAGTATTAAATACTTTAAGCTTTTTGCAGTGTCTTCAAGCATTCTTTGATAAGGTATCATTTAGTAGTGCATTATTTGAACCTGTGTTTTTTACTATCAGTTATAACAATTTTATGGAAAACAGTGCTTTTAAAAAAACGAATTTCCAATGATTGAGGTAAAAAAGGAGGGATGATCATCATAAATCCAGTGTAACCCTGCCATATCAATATGCCTGTCTCAAGCCAGGAAACTCACCTATAGTAGTGTTTACTGATATCCTAGTATTTTCTCCTGTTGACTTACCAGCCCTCAAGAAGTCTGTGTTAAATTTATACACAACTTGTCTAGACTAGTGACCTTCTAGAACTTGAGATATGGTATATAAATACTAGTAACCTGTACACTTTTGAAGAAACTATATTGACCTCCATGGGCTTTTTTTGTGAAGATCAGTTGATATCTCAAGTTATCAATGTCTGATAAAAGTACTTACATGGAGCCTCTGGTTCATGTTTTGATTTATTACATTTCACTTGTTCAAAGTCTTTACATGTCAGACTGACTTCATCAAACAGATCTGGATACTGACATTCATGTAGATAATGACCATATTTAGACATGGCTGAACAGTTGTAGTACTGACCACAAGTGTCTGGATGTGGCACTACAGATGTAGGGTTAGCTTGACAGAATGCATCAATGTTTCCTGGAAATATTCCAAGCAAATCTGATAATACAATTCTGGATTTTTCTGTAGGAGAATTGTCAGACTAGAAATATCATCGATGCTGTTTTTATCATCATTTTGAAATTGTAAGGGCAGCTTAATTGATTTTTCTGTATTAACATCTGGCCATTGTTCTCTATCAGTAACAGATACATTTATAGTACAGGAGAATGGCAACTAACATTACCAGTATCATAAAGCCGTAAACATCATGCATGTAACATGGTTCCCATCATTCACTAACAAGATTATTAAAGATCCCATAAAACTGTAAAGTTGCCAAGACAACTTTAACAATCTATCAGAACAACTTGTTCATTTTGCTTGTTTACATCAAAAGGGCCAAAAAATAACAGAATATTCAAAAATTAAACTATTAACTACTAATTTACCTTTAGGTATTTTACTGACACAGTGTAACTGACTAGGATCAAACACTTGACCAACAGGACAGTGACGGACAGCCATAGTCCTATTAATCAGACATGTGACATACAGATCTGTCCACAGAGCTGATTGGACAGCTTCATCACCATCAGGTAGGCCTCGACAACTTGGTAAACGTTTAGGACATATTTCACAGTTCATGTCACCTGGCTTACACAAGTTCTGGTCATATTCACCTGAGGAACAAAATAATTAATGATATATCTACATTATAAGTCCTGTACATTTAAGACATTTAATTTCTCTGCAGTGATTTACTTTCAAACTTAGATGATACATTCCTTCTGTTGCAACAAATGTAAATGTTGGAGCCTTTCAAACATTTTCCACATGTATGTTTCTTTATGAGAATGGAAATTCACGGATCCTGAGCCTAATATATGAAAATGTTACTCTTCTTTCCACACACACACACACACAAAAATACATTTATATTTATAGTAAAAGCACACACATTTATTAATTAAAAAAAATGACAGTGAAAAAAAAACAAATAACTTTTGCCATATTTGTATAGTTGTTAACTTACAAGGAGCTTGTGGTTCCTGTCTGGTTTTACATGACACATTCTGGAATCTGTCACACCTCTGGGAAACATCAGAGAACAGATCAGGATATTTACACTCTGATGTAACTGCTGTTTTAGTGGCCATGTTCTGTGAACAATTGTAAAACTTGGCACAGTTTGTAGGGTCTGGTATCATGGTTGTCGGGTGGACTTTACAATAATCTGGTATGTCAACTGAAATAGAAAAAAAATATATACATCCCTCAAAGTGAACTTCACAATATTCTGGTGTCAACTGAAATGGAGAGAAAAATACAGGCCTCAAGCTGAACCTCATATCTAGATAAGGCTGTTTCCAGGTTTGTTGATCAATTAAAACAATTTTTTTTTAAACTTTTGCCCACCTACTGACCCTATTTTTTCAACAGGTGACAGTTAACACACATGGATTTTTTGGCCTTACTAAAAAGATGTTCCTAAGACAGCAGAATCTTAAGCAGAATTCTTCTGTTGCAAAACTTGACAAATCAATTTACAATTAATGTCACTTTAATAAATTTCCACCAACTTTAGCAGTATTTAATTTGTAATGCAAAATCTGTTAATCAACTTTCATTAATTTTTCATTATCTACATGCACCCTGTATTTTAATGTTGTTTTAATCAAATGAAGTGTAAAGTTAATTCAAGTAAGTCACAAATGTGTACACACTTTCTTTTGATGCTTTGCAGTATTATGCTAACAACAGTGTACTAAGGAAAACTAATTATTGACACTGACCTGGTTGTACAACTTTCATACATTTATCCAGTCTAGGATTGAAGTATTCTCCTGTTGGACATTTTGTGACTGCCATTGTTCTATTTTTATAACATCTGACATAATCTGCTTGCCACATCTTAGCAGGGAATGGATTTAATCCATCAGACTTTCCTATACAAGATGGCAATCGCTTAGAACACTGAACACATGTTTTATTTGTGGCTGGACAAAGGTTTTGTTGATATTCACCTTAAAAACAAACAAACAAATATATGAATGCAAAACACAGAAAAATAATTCAATCTTTTTTTTTCTTATCCATAAATTTGATTCTATAAAGTAAAACTGTTAATTTTCACAAGTATTTTTTCTTCATAAAGAATGAAGGTAAACCTTCTAACAGGAAATTTCTTGCTTTTTCATCCACAGCATACTATATATATTGACCAGTTAAACAAAACAAAAATGTAAAAACTTACAAGGAGCTTGTGGTTCTGGTTTCTTGCTACAGTTGACCATTTCAAAGTTATTACATTGTTTAATACTATCATCAAATAAGTCTGGGTAGTGACACTCCTTCCTGTAATTTCCTGGAGTCTGACCTGCTGCTCGGGTTATGGTGGCAGTCGTGGGATCAGAGCAGTTAAAGTAGTGAGCACAATTATCTGGGTCTGGAAGAATGGCGATGGGATGGGCTGTACAGTAATCTGGTACATCAACTGAAAAATATATACAATATTAGGTCAATGTCAGAAAAATATCAACTTTTTTGTATGAAGCTTAGAAACTGGGGAAGGGCAAGGTTTACCGAGCCCTTCCACTGTTTTGAGCCGAATACATAAAAAGTTGATATTTTCGGACATTGACCACAGTAATAAAGTTTTTATACTGCAGCTAAAAATGGTTACATTTACAGGTATGAAAATGTTAACAATAAAATAAAACACTTTTTCCATCCCTAACAGAACCCCGAATTGTGAAGAAAAGTGATGTTACATTGGATAGTATACATGTATGTTTGAAACAATAAATGCTTATCTTTTTCAATGTATGCTGTACATGTCATAAAAATAGTCATGACACAAAATATATCTTAATGAGTCAGAGAAAACCCTACCAGGTTCTTTAATGCAGCCTGAAGGTACCATCTGCCAGTAGCCAATGCTATAGTACTGGCATGATTTAAATTATACTGTTTGCACATTGCTATTTCACAAATTTTGTAATTAACTGAACTAAAACAATTATGTGAAAACTTCCTCTGGCAGTGTTGATCTTAGAAGGTTTTGGCTTTTCAATTTAGGCCCTTCAAATTTTAAAGCTTTCAAAGGTTTTATATTTTGGCTTTCAAAATTATGTAACTTCGAGACTACCTGATGAAAGAAAACATATGCAGTGTGCACAGAAAATTAATATGTAGAACACTTTCTTCCTCTAATGTGTACAAATATTCGTCTGCTTGTCTATCGAAATTGTTTCTTCAGTGTTGACATTGTTGATAAATAATGACAGTATTTGTTATATTATAATCCCTAATTGGTTTATATTATCTGTTCTTCAATGCATTGATGTATTATTATCTAATTCCAGTGAAAATTCAACCCACTCTGACCAGTGCTAGGTGCCATCAGGACCTATCTAAGAGCTTTGAAGTCACTGTGACTTTATGACGAATAAAAGCTACAAAAGGTCTTTTCCTTTGCTTAATATTAGGAGCTTTGTGTCATGAGTTAATACACCTTACCCTTCTTCTACATCAATAACCAATAATCTGGTTACAGAATTAACAGTTGAAGTGGTTTACCTTTATCTACTTTTGTTTTACATTTCTGTTCGTTAGGATGAAAATACTGTCCTTTAGGACATTTCACCACTAACATAGTCCTATTCTGATAACATTTGACATAATCCTCCATCCACAGTTTACTAGGGAATGGTTGACTTCCGTCAGGTTTCCCAACACAACTAGGCAATCGTTTTGGGCATGATATACAGCCTGGTTTTCCATGACACAAGTTCTGATTATATTCACCTGAATTATATAAAACATAAAAGTCATACATACATTTAGCTGTACCTAAAAATTTACACAATGAAAGTGCTCAATTTTCTAAAAGCACACTTTAACTTTTTTCGTTCTTGAAAAAGTTACTAGGATGAATAATTACATGACATGTATGTTTGATTAGAATCTGTTGATTGGCTGACAACAATCACGAGGCACTCCAATATCATATTTTATTTCAGTATAAAATACAACAGCTATGACTGCACGTGCTATCCGTGACAATGTTACTGTAAAATAATGCATTGAAAAACAAACAAAAAGATTGATTTAATTCATTTCATGGTTTTGGCTTAAATATGATATTATAAGAATTGAATGCTTCTTTTGACAATTTTATACGGTTGTAAAAGCATTGATCAGACGCACATTTTTAAAATGAAGCACTTCCGCTTACGCTTTAACACCCCAATAAAATTATAAAAAGAAGCATTCAATTCTTAATTAAAGTTGTTTTTAACATACATTTTGTATATATAGCATCATTTATTAAATATGTTGATGGACTGCTTGTCTTAGATCTTATAAAATGTGTCTGTGAGTGTGCAGGATTCAAATGACCGTATAGGACTTTAACTCAAATTTGCCTTATAGGACTTTACCTCAAATTTGCCTAAAAGGACTTTACCTCAAATTTGCCTTATAGGACTTTACCTCAAATTTGCCTAAGTGTTACAGAAAGACCCTTTTTATTTCTGCAGGAGAATTTCATTTAAGCTGTGTAATAAAAGTTTAATAAAATTAAAAATATCTACAATATGTAATAATACACATTGATATAAAAAATACCACTTACAGGGAGCTTGTGGTTCGGTCTTATTGTTACACTGTACACCAGTAAAATTTTCACATCTACGTGATATCTTGGAGAAGAGGTCTGGATAATGACATTCATGGGCCTTGTTTCCATCTGAACAGTTATAAAACTCTGCACAGTTTGTCAGGCTAGGTATAACTGCAGTTGGATTTGCTTTACAAAAATCTGGTACTTCCTCTGAAAAATAACACATTTGAATATATTCTAGCAGAATATTTAATATCTCTTTTTGATTTTAGCTCATTCTGGTAAGACTGACTTGAGGTCTTATTTCAGTCTGTAGTGTAAGATAGGATACTATTTAACCTAATTAGCCTTTGTTATCATGTAATACTTTAAATGTCAGTTTATATAATCCTGAAATTACTGCAAAATTCAGGCTACAATATATATGTAATCATTACATATTAGCAAATTTCAGCCTGTAAACCTTTTATTTTGCATATTTCATTTTTATTATATAATCTTTAAATTAAATGTAAATTTAAATCAATGTATATTTGCCTAAAATTACTGTTAATTCAGGCCTTTATAATCTTTGAATTTCATTAATTAAATTAATTCACCTATACCTTTATATATTTGAACTGGGACTAATAGATATTGGTCCCAGATTTGAAATCTTGGGATAAATACAAAGTACAGATTATAATAGCATTTTTATCAGAGCTTGGTAGATTTCGATTTCACTTTAATTTATTTCCATCTGTTTTACTGAGGCAACACTGACTTATTAGCATGCAAAAAAATGGAATGTTTTTCCTCTTTTGCATGCTACCTACAAGTATACTGAACAACTGGTTCTTAAAAGCATTTTTCAGGTACATGTATATGTATTTTTCCATTTAATTCAGAGTTGAGATGATAAGCTCATTATAGAATATTAAAAGCAAAAATATTAACACATGCAAGACAAAAAAAAATTGTTGTATTTTCTGCCTTCCTACTTACCCTTAATTTCCAATCCTACCTTTACACATTTTATGTACAAGTGTTAAGCACTGTTAAAATCCAGACCATTCCCCTCCATATACTAGTCTATTGTAACCATAGAGCATGATTTGCCTTCCAAAATCAATTACTGTACCAGCAGAGATTTGAACCAGGAAACGCCTGGCACAGTCAAACACCGCTCTACCATCTGAACTAAAGGAGTACTCCAGGGACGGATCCAGCCATTTTAAAAAGGGGGGTTCCAACCATATGTCCCTATTCAAAAGCATTGATCGTCAAAAAAAAAGGGGGTACCCCTGGAAACACTCCCCCCCCCCCCCCCCCCCCCCCTGGATCTGCCACTGTTCTCCATTAGCACAGCTTATGTAGCGCAGTTATATATCTACTAGGCTGAGACTACTATAACACAGTTATGTGTTATAGTAGTCTCAGGTTTAGGGGAAGCATGCCTACATGAGGGTCGTAATGGGGGTACCTTCATGACGAATAACGGTATGAATTCTTGTTAAATGGCGTTTACGGTAATTTTTTGTGCATTACGATAAAATGTACACTTTCTTTTAGACAATAAAAAAATCGACTGGTTTTGATGAATCCTGTTTAATTTTTTCCCAAAATAACGGTAACGATAATTATTTGAAACCTCTGACAAATCACGATAAGAATATTTTGACGAATCACGGTAACATTTTAACCAATTTGACGCTAACGGTAGCCGAAAATGACAGTTTGACGCCTGATGGTAAAGGGCATTACTACCCACCTACACATTGTAAAATATTTTTAAAAATAAAATCATTTTGCCTTCCTACCATTTTATTCTGCCTGGACATGTGGAGGTAGGAAACAAATATATATAAAGTTTGACTTGAGTAAACATATTTATATATATATGTATATATATTGCATCCAGCTGTCCAGTGTCAAATAACATGAATAAATATATTATGTCCCCGGTCAAGAGCAACACCTTCTGATGACAGATTTTGAATGAATATTTCATCATGTTTATCTTCACCTTCCTCATTTACAGTAAACCAATATTACTTACTTATCTTTTAATAAGCATTATAACGGTTCTGCCAACTTTTAATAATGCAAACGCTTGAGATTTGGCCAAAATCGTAAAGATCAAAGAGAAAAAAACAATAGATCAAAGAAAAATGCCGCCAAATAAGCATGAAAATGCGTGAAATGCGTGAGACTTGGCAGCCCTGTTATAAATGCAAACTGCAGTCATGCTATTCTGTACAGCGAACTCCGTTCTCTTTCAATAATGAGCCATTGCAAAGAGGGGAAAGTAACGAATTCTCCAGTAATAATTCGATAGTAGTGGTTTTCGTTTTTCTTTCTTTTTGGTTCACTGGTTTATAATATTACGTCACAAGGTTAAATTAATTCTAACTAGTATGAGCTTGGAAAGTTATTGAACACTCTGTAGCTTCACCACCGGAGATAGGGCTAAGGTACCCTCGAAGCCGGGTTGAAAAAACAAAAGTATGTGTTATAGTAGTCTCAGGTAAAGTCAAGTAAGGTCAAATTCTTCTTATTTTCATTATTTTCTACGCTTTGCTGACAAGTAAAGTTTTGTGATACTGATTCCTAATAAAGTAGCTACTATTCAGGGCTAACTATCATCTCTAATTGGCTTTCTCTCTCTTCCAATCGTCAAAATCGAATAGGGTGGTATTTGTTCAAATGTGACAGAATATAAGTTCCCCCATAATATTTGTTCCAAAGAACTTTTAGCATATAACAAAAGTTCCATTGGAATCTTTCCTTATATAACATTTTATCCAATGCTATAAGAAAATTTCCTTCACAAAGGATAAAATATTACACAAGGAAAGTTCCCAATGGATCTTTTTTTATATGCTAAATTGAGTTCCTTGGAATAAATATTATGGACAAATATCGGAGTGAAACGCACCTGCCACGAGCGGCCGGGTTCAAACTCACAACCTCAGTGTTGACAGGCTATAGATCTACCTTAGAGGAGTGATCACAAATGAATGCATATCATATAGCAGACCGCAACGCTTTTTTCAGCAGTTATTAAAATAAACAGTAGAATGATAGATTTACTTACTTGGCTGAATATCCTCTGTACATATTTTTTTAATTGGGTGATAAATCTTTGGTGCAGGACATTTGTGAACTGGAAGGAGGGTCCTATTTTTGTAACAGGTGATATATCGGCTTGTCCATTTGTGGTTAGGTATTGGATTATCTCCATCTGGTAGTCCAATACAACTTGGTAACCTTTCCGGACATTTCTCACAAGTTGTGTTGCTACTTGGACAAAGGTTTTGGTCATATTCACCTGTAAAATAAAACAAAGATATGTCTTTTCGGGGTTGTTTCATTGATGTACATCCCACTTTTTTTTTTTTAACTCAGAATCAAAAGTAACTTCTCTCCGATGTTAATACGTATATCCATTAAAAAGTAACAAGATAGAAATGGTCCCGGTTTTTTTAGATCTTCCTAGTCAAAGTTGAGTTATACAAAGTTTGAATCCTGCCATCTAGATTTAATGCCAATTAAAAATGTAAAAATCATTCACTTACATGGAGCTTGAGGTTCTTGTCGTTTTTCACAATTGACTGTGGTGAAATTTTCACATTTGCCTGTGACAGTTGAGAACAGATCTGGATATGTACACTCCGACGCTGTGGGATTTTTAGAACAGTCTTGGTATTTAGCACAATTATGTAGATCTGGTAATTTATCTATTGAATGCGTTCTACAGTAAAAACGCAAAACCGCTGAAAAAAACATATTAAGACTAAAATGAGCCAATAAATTCTAAAAAAGCTTTATATAAAAAACTGTATATTATCTACTCTGCAATTAACTACACTTTCGCATCTCAGTTATTTATCAACACATTACCTGCATTCATTCGTCCATAAGTTTTTCTTGCATCTACTAGCAGTAGTCCGTCGTTCATGTCTGATTTCGATATTTTTTTTTTTATTCCTATGATCATTTATCTACAATTTCAAGTTTCGTGCATCTTTTTGTTCGTATTTCATATCCGTTTTCATACAAGGGGGGTAGGAGGGGTCCTGATCCCGAAATCCCGGGCTTAAAAACATGAAATCCCGCGGTCCCGAATTTAAAGAAATTTAAATCCCGACATCCCGAAATTCGAAAAAAGAATTCCCGGATCCCGAAAGGATCAATCCCGAAATCCCGAGCTTAAAAACACCCGATCCAGGAGTCCCGATAAAGGTCCGACCCCCCCCCCCCCCCACTCATACAAGTCTTTCATTTCTTAATAAATTGTCCACACGTCTTTCATAGATAAAGGAAGATGTGGTAAGAGTGAATCTCCACCCAAGTTACAATTTATAAAAGTAAACCATTATAGGTCAAGGTACGGCCTTCAACACCGAGCATTTGCTCACACCGAACAGCAAGCTATAAAGGGCCCAAAAAATTACTAATGTAAAACCATTCAAACGGAAAAACCGTATACCTGTATCCATTCGTCTAAATGTCTGTCATACTTGTATTCATTGGTGTACACGTCTGGCATACCTGTACAGGGGGCGGATCCAGCAATTTATAAAAGGGGGGGTTCCTAACCCAGGATAAAGGGGGTGTTCCAACTATATATCCCCATTCAAATGCATTGATCGTCAAAAAAAGGGGGAGTTCTAACCCCCGGACCCCCCCCCCCCCTGGATCCGCGCCACTGGATTGTATTCATTGATCTACACGTTTTTCATACCTGCATTCATTGGTCTACATGTCTTTCCTCTTGGATCGAAAAAATAGCCAGGTTTACACTTGGTTATGTTCATTGTTCTATTCTTGTAGCAGTTAATATAAGCAGGATCTCCTCTTTTACCGGGAAATTCCTGATCTCCGTCCCTTTTCCCTATACAGCTAGGCAGACGTTTTGGACAGTTGCATGTAGGATCAGTTCCGTTACATTTGTTCTGGACGTATTCACCTTGAAAAAAGATTTTATAAATGATTCAGACAACGTGGTAGAACGACAATTAGTACATGATTTCTTGGGAAAAAGTAGAAACTAAAGACGAAATGGCCGATAGTTATAAGGAAATAGAGGCAGAATGTATCAAGGAGACCATTGAAAACAATAAATCGATGAGAAGCAAACAATGACATGCAATCTGGCAAATGACAAACAGACAAACAACAGTCTAGAAACCATAAGAAAAGTCTTAAAGACTGTACAACACGAGACTTCGTATCAGTTCCCAAAGATAGCACGTGACACGACAAGTCAAAATGATTTCTATCTAGAGGTAAGCTAAGAACATCCCGTCATGAACTTTATAAACGGACGCTATAAAAGGCACACGTATCATTAATGTATACTTACAAGGTGCCTGTGGTTCTGGTCTTTTGTCACACTTAACCGTTTGGAAATCTTGACACTTTTTGGTCACCGATGAAAACAGGTCTGGGTATTTACATTCCTTCAGATAGTCTTGTCCCATGGATGATTTCTTCTGACTACAGTCGTAATACTGTGCACAGTCAACTGGATTGGCTATCAGTTCATGTGGGTTGTTTTTACATGCTGTTGATGGATCAACTGTAATACAAATGATCGTTATAAATCCACAATAAAATATGACCGATTTTTCAATACTGAACCTGACCGATTTTTTAATACTGAATCTGACATTTTCGTTAAGGTTAACAATAAGAAAAAATATTTAAAAAATGAAAACTTGTATTAATTAATTATGTGAAAAGTTACAAAGGGAGCGATCAATCGTTCATTCAGTACATAAATCTCATTGTTAAGAAATATTTACGATTGGTGGTAATGCAGAGAAATAAGGATTTGCCGAATTATGAATGCCAAAGCTAACTTTTTTTGCCAATTTTACAATTTGATCGAAGACGTAAGTTTAAATACAACATGACTATAAAAGAATTCACGTATTCTAATTTATGCACAACTCATCTGTTGTAGGATGTAAAACGATTCAAATGTTGAGATTACTTGATAAAATTACTAGAGGAAGACTTCAAAAGTTATTACACAGTCAGATAGGCAGCCTGTTCGATTTGAAATATAGAACCTGATGGCATTATACTACAAAGTCTGTTACATGTGTTTACTTACGTGGACAATTCACTCCTGTGTCACAAGGCTTAGTATCCTGACCGCTGCCGATACAGTTCTTTCCATTATATAATGGTGCTGGATCGTCGCATGACCTGTTTCGAAACAGCACACCTTTGCCACAGGTAACGGAACAAGAGCCAGACCATGGACCCCATGATCCCCAAAGACCGTCAACTAAAATGAATGAAGTAGAAATTAACGGGTTATTAAGGGGGTATTCAGAATCATAATTCTAAAAACAACAGACAAAATCACACAAAAAAGTAAAACACAAAACACAATTAAAGTCTAATCATTTGGATCAAAAATTGAAATAGGTGTACAATGCCATTTGATCCTAAGAATTCTGTAATAATATACCGCTATATCAGAAAGGGAAGTATAAAAGTTGAAGCATCATACACCATTTTAAAACTCAACATTAGGGTTTTAAACTCATGAGCAGGTACTCTTGTATGGGTTAGAGCCACTAGCAGCATATGAAATCTAAAATTTAACAGTGATACTTTATATCGTTTTCAATTTCTTTTTTATCATATCGAAAATATTGTATACATTGTAATAAGTTTGTCATTGATTGTTTGATTTGTTATTTTTTTTTATATAAAAAAAATGGATGGCATGCTCAGATGTGTTATGAGATGTCTCATCCTTAATTCATAATAAAATACTTCAATACATTAAATGTACCTGGAGTAGGATCGGTACAATCTTCATCAAATTTTCCATCACCATCATCATCTGTATGACAAAAAAAATAGTAAAAAAGAAATATTAGCAGTTACTGTAAAACCAGTATTTTCTGGCAAAAAATCTTCTCAAATGTAAAATATCTGTTCAAATTCAAGATGATCTACTATTACACCTTTGACTGATAACCTTTCACATATAATTTCAGGATCATTAAGGGTCTGGATAGAGGGTCCTTTATTTCTGCATTGTTTGATTCTTTTAGCCTGTTTTTCTCTATTCTTTTTATTATTTCCTCATTGTTTTCTAATCTTTATATTTTAGCACCCATTATTATCTATTCTTTACTTTATTTGTCCATTAGTCTCTATTCCTTTTTTTCTAGCCCTTTATTCTGCACGTTTTTCCCCATTATTCTCTATTCTGTAAATCCCATACAGACTCAAATCATTCACATCGATATTTTAAAGGACATTTTAGGAACAGAACTTTTCACTATGAAGACACTTGCCTTGTTTATTGTTATCGGTTGTACATAATTCTTCATCTATTTTACCATCGCAGTCATTGTCTAAACCATCACCGTCAATTGATTTCGTAGGTGTACATGGCTGAAAAATATATCGAAAAATACGTTTTTTAAGGAAATTACATCTTATCTAAATGTAAAACTATTATACAAATATGGGCCCTTGATATAAAAAGAGTACGTTTTCTTTTAAATTTTCAAAATGTAAAAATCGATTTCTGTAGTATCTTGTTTGTTCATCATGGAAAACGCATCATATTTATAGATTGGTCAATTCTTAACTTGCAAGCCAGTGTTAAGCGAGTTAAATTGAGTGTTTTTATGCCTACAAATATGTTTTCTGATCAGAAATAAGTCATCATAGATTACAAAGCTATGATTTAGTACGCTACATACGCATGTCGACTACATAAGACTAATCAATGGCGTTAGAACAAAAAAAGTTTGGGGACCAAATCAATTTGAAGAGAAAACCAAATAATATCTTTCTAAATCTGACTAAGGCCATTTATATGCCTGGGTGTAGAAAATAAATGATTCTGACATTATATAAAATATGCATATGGAAAAGAGGAAAAACAATACCAAGTAGGAAATGCACACAATGTGTTTTTAGTCTTACCGCGTTAATTTTTGCTAATCTCATTCCTGTTGGAAAAGCATAGGATTCATGGTAGGCATGGCCATAAAGATAGCTCCCAAATATTGTGTAGGAATCTTTATGAACAACTGTATGTGATCCTTTTGGAATGTCAACATACGTTCCAACCAGAGTTGTTCCTTCAATTGGGTTCCATTTTGTTCCCTTTGGTAATGGTTTTCCGTCTAGTAATAATCCGTCTTTCTTAGAAGATTCAATTACCAGCAAAACTTGATTTTCATACTTGAAATATTCAGGATGTGAGTATTCTGGTGTAGCAAAAGTATATCCGGAATTAAACAATTCATAGGGTGGGATAATCATCATGGACGGATCAGCCGACTCTTGGGCGTTCAGTTGACTTAAAACAAACTGTGCCATGAATACAGGCTTTGATGCATTGATTGACTTGTAAGAACTAGACGGAAGCGTAATTTGCTTCCAGTCACCTGCTTTCGCAAGAGTGATTGATGGCATGCCAGCGATATTAACTACAGTGTTGTCTTCACTCGCTACAATACGAAAGTAGTCCCCGACGGTTCTTTTTGGAATTGGAGCTGTTACGAATTTTTTTCCCCAAGTATCAACAGGCGTAAGCTGTTCTACCAGATGGTCTTGCCATTTCCCTGAACCAATGTTTGTTTTGATATTACCACTATATGCCGAAACAGGATGGGTGGCCACAATATGTGCACCCGTTAAATCACCGACACTTTGTAGCTGGAAGTTTTCATATTTGTCTAAGTTAACAGTAATCACATCTCCTCCGTGATAAGTCTTTGAATTGTATGTGACTGTCATATTTGGAGACTTGGGAAGCGTTACTTTAACCACAGTGTTGTCCTGTGTGGCTGCTACTCCAAGTTCAGTTTTACGAAACGCTGGTCCGTAGCACATAGCATAATACTCATTTCCTAATGCATCTGTTGGAATACCACAGAATACATCATTAGAATAGTCCTCCTTGTTTCCTCCGTAAACTGCAATGTCACCATCGGACTTGACAAGGAGTACTTTAGAAGATTTCAAACTTCCCTTCATACGGAACTCGTCACTTACCTTCACCCTGACTACCTGTCCAGGTGAGACGGTGACGGATTCTGATACAGAAGGTTGTGTCCATTTTGGCGATGTAATTTGTACATGAACAGGGTGTTTCTCTGATGTAGTTACATATAACTCAAGAGGGAAAACATTGCCATATTGATCATTCTCCATAAAGGATACAACAAACTCTCTTCCTATATTGTCAGGAGGACCTATTTATCAAAATGTAAAGTATTACATTAAAGTCATAAAGTTACTCAATATTTCCTTGAAGTATTTTCCCTTAGACGCTATAGAAATCAATAATCAATCAATTCTTGGACTGTGTTTTTTTATGATTTAAATTTATTATGTTATTCATGAAATCTGGTTCAGGAATCAGGAGTATCCGGCAAGTTTGTTTTTTTATGTATTTTGTAGTGATTTGTTATTGTTTTAAATGATTTTTGCTATTATTATTTCTTAACAATGTGTTAAGAAATTGTTTATAACGTTAGGGTACCCAAATTGCATGCAAAGTCCGCACTAGCTACTTCATCTATTGATATATAATGTGATCGTTTTGTGTATATTTAGCTATGTTGAATTTCGAATATATAGATGGCAAATTATAAAGATACGAGTTGTTTAATCTGTTAGAAAACTTGGCTATAAGATTTCCGCTGCTTTTTCGTTTAATGGGTGCAAATTGGGTACTGTGACGTTATATGTATTTAATTTTTGAACACATAAGGAATCTATATAAATTCAGTAGTGAAAAATAAGTTTTTCTATTCATTTTAGTCATTACTTCAGAAATGTGAAATATAAACATGTATGTCTTTTAACAAGGAACAGTGTTGTTAGCTCTCTTGTCTTTTCTATTCGTTTTTATACGTTTATTTGGTACATTGTTGAAACACAACCTCAGTCATCCATGCAATCTTCTATGTATGTCTTCTTTTGAGTATTGTTTTTAATGTATGCTGCAGCTTTGAATGACGTTTATTTATTGACACTGTGATATCACTTTGATACATATACTTTTCGTCTGTCCAATGAGATATGAAAAGGCCTGTTTACAAAAAAGTTTGTTTTATGATAAAAAGGTCATTGATAATAAGGCACGTGTCATTGGATGACTTCTTCACAGTTTAGTAGACAATGTTTTACGGTTTACGCAGGAAAAAAGATTAAATACAGATAATTGAACACTTTTTATCAGTGAGAGGTAAACATGGTAAACTTACCTTGCCCGAAAGACAAACTTAATATACAGATAACTGCTAACAGCTTCCGAAGATCAATCATCCTGATGTATTTAAGCTATCAAACCATTATCTTATAAAGTCTGAAAATAATGCATTTACTGGTTATCTTCTTTTTTTTTTAAAGTTTTAGCTGAATAAGAAAATTTCAGTCAATTTGTATAGGAAATAGTATAAAGACGCCAATACAGTATGTGAACATATTTAAACATTAAAAAAGAAAGAGAAAAGAAACGAAAACTGAACTTAGCACAAGCTCTACAACGGTACAAAGGTAAATTTACCATAAACAGAATTCACATTTATAACCCGACATTCACAAATCCATGTTCTGCTATGGAAAACCATTTGATCGTTAATAAAATAAACGATTCATAACATAACCTTTTTACTGAACAGTCTAATATTTTAATAGAAGGAGAAGTTGCAGATGGGATATGCAAACGGAAGGACGGAAGTACGGACGGACATTCATTTTATACATATTTTGGATACAAAAATATCATTTATAACTATGACAAAATATGTACAAAAATTAACAAAACCAAAATAGATAACTGCTTTACTACATTTTAAAGTTAAATAGTAGCGCGTAAAAAGGTCAAACGAAAGAAATGTTTAAGTATACATCGATGTGCTACAAATATGATATCAAAGTAAAACATGCTATAACACTAAAAAAATCATAATGTGCAAAGAAATTTCCTTACTGTTAAACTGTCAGGGAATTTGTAGAATTTCTTTTAAAATGTGACAAAAATTGTCAACTGCCAAAAGATGAGCAAATAAAATAACCACAAAATTATAAAAAAAACGAAGTAAAATGGACGCAAAATGATACTACCAAATTTCTGACATGAACAAAAAAATTAAATAAATTTAAAAAAGACAACACAATGAAAATAAATTAATGATTCCATATCAGAATTTTTTTGTAGGTTTTTCTTTATGAATTAGATTTTGATTAAAACTGAGTATTCACTTGAAAAAATGTTCGAAAAAAATTACACTTATAGGGCAATATAGTTTACGTCAGTCTGAAGAAATTCTAAAAACTGATATTCACCGCGCTAAACCACGTCATGTGCGAAGGTTAACGATTGCTATTCAACGCTTTATTCAACGTCATATGCTTTTACATGTATACATATGGTAAAATGTTAGATGTACAATAAATTTTGGCATAGAGTTCTGCATCAAATTCATTTTTATTCGGAATATGAAATAAAACAATAACGGTTTTTTGTTCGGTAAATCTTTGGGTGAAATGAATTCAGAAAAAGAATTGTACATCATAGTATATCTAAGCTTGTTTCAATTTGTTAAGACCGAGATTTGAGGTCTTAAACTACCTGCTGTTCATGTTGACTTTGAAGAAAGAGTCATGGTTACGTCCATCCGACCTATTGAAGTGTTGTCGGTTTCATCTGCCACAAGCATGATGGCGAAATATTTTTTAAAACTTTTCCATGATAGTTCAAATATTGTGTTAATAAAGCGCAAATGTTTTATAGAAAAAGTGCAAATGTCGTTTTTTGAAAAGCGCATATGTCCTAAAAATTAAAGCGCAAATGTACATTAAAAAATCGCCAATGTCCTATCAAAAAGCGCAAACGTCCAACGCCGGGTTTTACATCAGTTGACTAATGAATATAAGCTGGTTTTGAGAATGAAAATGGAATAAAAAATAACCAAAGCGTAGATCATAGAGGTTCTTAAAAAAATCATTATAAGGAAAAAAATGAAAACTTCATCTGCAATTTGATAAAAAGCACTGATGAAAAGAATAACGCAAATATAAGATGAAATAGCTTAACACTCCTTTTAAAAATGCAGGACTTGGTTGCATAAACGTCAATTAACGTTAAACATAATTTACATTTTCAAAAGTGTTTCACATAAAAGGTGCTCCTTTCTTAGTGAAATTAAAATATTTTGTAATATTGTTACATCGACGTCTTTTCTCCAAGAATGTTTGATAAACGAAAACGAAAGCCTTCTTCGGTCATGAAAATTATTAAAAAAAAAAACCATTTATGTCATTCTCATTTAATAGAACTTCTTTTACTGAAATTGTGAAACTTTTGCAATAATTAATTTGCTATCCTGCAGTCCAAATTTAATTTTTATACAACACATAGAATAAAAGTAATTATTGTCGCTGTAAGTTATCTTTGATGTTGTGACATAGTGGTCCTAGTCGCCTAAGCAACACGCTCCTCTTACCTTGTCAGGAGAAACTCGGACGCCAATATTTTACCGCCGCGACCCTTGCCATCTTTCTTATATAGTGGAGGCTGGGCTTTGTTTGCGAAGGGGGACTGATTACATTATCTTTGAAACGGGAATACTTCATACGTAATGTTCCGACGTAAAAGCACATAAAAGTTGATCTGCTGTGGAATAGAATGCGCTGTTTACTTTGTAATTACTTAAGTAAATCCCATCACTTTTTCCTTCCTGTCTTTGTTATTTTAATACCTAAGATCAATGATAAAATTTTGATAAATTAAAAACAATAATTAGTTACGCATTTCCATGTTGTTATTTGGAGTCACATGTAATGACTTCTTGCTACTTCTTGACACTAAGTTTGGAATGCCTACATTAGGGGTCTTCTGAACTTAATATTTATGTAAGAATTTTCGTGTACTTTAGGTATGGTTCATGTCAACGCTTTGATTTGAGTAAATAACAAAAATGAAAAATGACCGCAGCACTCAATATTTTAATTTATTTTTACTAATTGTTGCAATTGTTTTTCCTTTCGTTTAACTTTTTCTTCTGACGCCTTTGTTTGCCGAATGTGCCATACCCGAGGAAGAATTTTAAGGTATATAATATGTATAAATATAGTATTTCTTCAAGATGCACAATGTTAGGTTATCTAATGGTGTTCATACATAAAATGATTTCGTTGTTGTAATTACCAAACAGATTTATTATTTTTGTTCATGTTTGTTAAATGGTAGTGGTCTTTCTAACCTATATCTTTGTAGCACGAAACGAATGTCATTATCAAAAAGATTTTTTAGTGTGCTTTATCCACGTCATTTGAACTCGGGTGGATAGTTGTCGCATTGACACTCATAACTTATCTCCTTATTTTTTTATTTAACGGCGGAACCTTGATATTCTCATTTTCAAAAATATTTAAAAACCAGTATAGTGACAAAAATGCATATAAGAAGATTTTCAAAAGAGAGCGAAAGATGCTTAAGGGATATTCAGATTCCTAAGTCAAAAAAGAACTGAGTCGGGAATCTGATGTTCAATAGTTGTCGTTTGTTGATGTGGTTCGTAGTGTTTCTCGTTTCTCGTTTTTTATATAGATTAGACCGTTGGTTTTCCCGTTTGAATGGTTTTACACTAGTAATTTTTGGGGCCCTTTATAGCTTGCTGTTCGGTGTGAGCCAAGGCTCCGTGTTGAAGACCGTACTTTGACCTATAATGGTTTACTTTTATAAATTTTGACTTGGATGGAGAGTTGTCTCATTGGCACTCATACCACATCTTCTTATATCTATTGACAACGCCATGGCAAAAACCAAAGCCTGCAAACGTCTGAAATTGTAATTATTCTCCTTTATGGTAATCATCTCATTCTAATTCTCAGTATCTTTATATATGACGTTGAAATACGTAACGCATATCATAGACTATTTCTAAAGGCACATGAGGGATATGTTTTTGCCATCTTCCACTTTTAGGTAAAAAAAAATAAAATGACTTGAACTTTCTGTGATCCACAAAGATGTACCAACAAGAACATTTTTTTCTGCTAATTTTGCGTTCTTGTCATAATTATTCAACATACATAAATTTCTTGACCCTCACCCTTAATACCCCTTCTCAAGTGCATATATTCCCGCTTCGGATATGACACGACAATAAGAGAAAGAAATGCAAAATCGCTGATTCATTAACCAAAAGAAGAAAAAACTATTTATCGTAGTTCGATCCTGTTCTGTGTTGCTTTATATCACCAGTACCAATTTATAATTTTATGGAAAAAACGTAACTTCAACATATATATATATATAAAACTGTTTTTAAGCACAGTGGGTTTTTTTAATTAGTCGTTTCACGTTTATTTTGGAAAGAACTATTTTAGCCTTTCATCTGGTTTTTTAAAACAAATATAGTATTTTCGACAGTGGATTTCTGACATGCGCATTCGAATTGTACATATAATTGAAAAGAGGAAAGATACCAAATGGCAATACAAAATTTGAGGAAACACAGACAGCATCATGACCAAACGATACAAACGGAAAGACACACGACAATGTAAAAAACACCAAACAGTAAACTTAAGATTTAGCAACACAGACCCCACTAATAATCAGTCGCGAATTTTTGTGCTTTATAGAAGGGTAAACAATCCCAAACTAGTAGCGGTCGTTAATAAACTTTGAAACGCAATTCAATGTTTTCACTTAATATACTTTTCACGACTAAAATTCGTATCAATGGGATGCTATCTCACTGAAGTAAATCCCCTATTATTTATTCACATTTTTATAAACTCTCAATAATATAAAAATAAGAAGGTGTGGTATTATTGTCAATGAGACAACTCTCTACAAGAGACCAAATGACGAAGTTAACAAATATATCACTGTACGGCCTTCAACAATAAGCAATACCCATACCGCATAGTATGCTATAAAAGGCTCCGAAAAGACAAATGTAAAACAATTTAAAAGAGAAAACTAATGGTCTTATTCATGTGCAAAACATTAAACGAAAAACAAATATGATATACAACGACAAACAACACCCGCTGAACTAATCAATTACAGACACTTGACTTGGGACAGACACATACAGAATGTGGCGGGGTTAAACATGCTTGCTGGTGCCAAACCCACCCCTAACTGGGACATAGTGTAATATTTCTAGAAACTAAGGTTCCATTAGATTATGTGGCTACTATTTGTATACCTAGACGATTAATATTTAGACATCGTTTGTCTCTTAAGATACCTAAATAAGGTTAACATGGAAAAGCGCTTGAAAAAAAAACAGATTTGGACGTTTCCTTTCGATTTCCTATTGCTGGTTGCTTGTTGACTAAATTTGAGTGTATTATTCATTTTATACTGACCGTCTCGGTCTTGAACAAAGCAGGGTATATTTATTGCACATAAACAATTATCGCACTGAATATATATGTAATCTTTTACACCGAACGTTAATCAGCCAACAACCAAATCAATCATTCCAAAAGAATACTGGGATATCAAATATAACAATGAAACAGTGCTTTCTTTTGTTGTTCCTAAATGCAACCACAATCGCTCACCTTGGTCTATGTGCATATTCAACAAAGGACACTCTCCGACATTGTAGACGAGAATAGAATTCATGACAAAAACCTCTGCTTTGTTGATCTTGTAGTGCTGATCATTGAGTGTTTAGTTTCTCTCTGATTTCTTTAGTTTTTGCTCAAAACACAAAAGAGGATGAAAAAAAACTCCTCATTAAAGGGCAATCACTCCTATAAAGAGTGACAGTCTACTAACTATATCGGCAAAATTTGACTTGTAAGTAGATTTTGCCTTGCTGATGATTTTTGTGGTTTATTAAAATATTGGTAAAAATCGTCATCAAAGGGCAATAACTCTAATAAGGAGTCGACTGACGATTTCGAACATGCAAAAACTTATTTGTAGAACTTGTCTTGTAGATCATTTTTGCTATTTAAAGTTTCTCTCTATCTATTATAGTTTTCAAGATAAAAGGCAAAAATGGAAAAAAAATGGCAAAATTTGTCATTTAAGGGCAATAACTCCTATAAGAAGTCTTCTGACAGCTTTGACGTATTGGACAATTGATATAGCTCAGCATTCTGTCTGCACATTTCTACCCCAGTCAGATTTTTTCTATTTCTAATGGTTTTCAAAATAAAAGACAAAACTTGCATTTTACCCTTATGTTCTACTTTTAGCCATGTCGGCCATATTGGTTTGCAGGCGGGGTCATCACATTTTTTAAACTAGATACCCCAATGATGATTGTGGCCAAGTTTGGTTAAATTTGGTCCAGTAGTTTCAGAGGAGAAGAATTTTGTAAAAGTTACCGGACAACGACGACGACGACGGACGACGGACGACAAGTGATGAGAAAAGCTCACGGTTTCAGGTGAGCTAAAAATTAAAAAAAAAACACGAAATCCCGGCTACATTGCAACAACAATCCAGCAGCACCGGTATATTGAGTATATTTACCAGTTGAAAAAAATATTCCACGGCTTGCGTTTTCTATATAAAATTTCTTGATGAGGGGTTTTCCTACAGTTTACTAGGAAGCACCTAAACCAAGATTTTCTAATGATAAAATTGAAGTCATTTCTTCGAAGGCTTAACAGACACCACCATGATTTGGTTGAACATATGGGTTACTACAGAGGACAACGGATATGTCCCAATTGCAGTAGTCACAATCCCGTCCTCTTTTTTCTCTATCATGAAATTACAAAATAGTTATTACAAATGTAACCACGAGCAACCGTGACGAAGGAATTTCCTTTTATGTAGTGTTTTTTTTTATGACTGTAGTTTGTCTGTTGTCGTATTTCTTGACCTAGTATTGTAATTTTTTTTTTAAACATATGTTTTTTTATTTCACTTTGGTATTTTCCAATAAAAACCATTTGTAAATAAGAAGACATGAATGCAGGCTTATTTCACTCTTCGGGATTTTTTTCTTCTATAAGTCTGAATAAGATATTAACAGATTTTACCAAGGTGCACAATTAACCAATTTTCTATGCTTTAATAAAAATAACACTATTTAAATTTGTTTGCAGCACTTTTTCTAAATTTACTTTCAGCAAGAACGCCCAGAAGTATAACATTGAAAGGATGCATAAACACGTGAGGAACAATACCATAAATATGGACATAAACAAGAATGTGTCCATAGTACACGGATGTCCCACTCGCACTATCATTTTCTATGTTCAGTGGACCGTGAAATTGGTGACAAAACTCTAAGTTGGCATACAATTAGAAAGATCATATCATAGGGAACACGTGTACTAAGTTTCAAGTTAATTGGACTTCAACTTCATCAAAAACCAAAAACTTTAATCTGAAGCGAGACAGACGGACGGACGGACGGACGGACGGACGAACGAACGGACGGACGAACGAACGGACGAACGAACCGACGCACAGATCGGAAAACATAATGCTTCTCTACTATAGTAGGTGGGGCATATAAATAGTAGCCAAATCCACCTAGAATCAACTGTGACTAAGGGAACTGCAACCTCAGTTTCTATTCAATTCAATACAATTCAAAGTTTTATTTAAATTCAATATTCAGTAAACTACATAAAAACACAAGCTCTAATGAGCTTTTAAAATCGAATGAATAACAAAATATATACAAAAGTCATGAAAATAACACAATTTTAAACATGCAGTGCATGGAAAGATAATAAAGATGACATATAATGTTTATGTATATTTTTGGAAATATGCATGCAAAATAAAGCATATCTTAAAACATAGTAGATCATGGTATAAGTAACAATATTAAGCACAGCAGATAGAAGCAACATAAAAGCTTTGCAAATCTCCCAGTCAAACAAAATGAAAAGCACAAGCATTAAAGCATTATATATGCATACACTGCACTGGCATGATCTGTTATTTAGATCCCATTTTTGTATCAGTTTTTATAATTGGTCAAAAGATGTTTCAACGCGGTAATGGTTAGGCAGCTCAATCCAGATTTGTGTAAACTTATAGCGAAACGATTTTAAACCATCCTTTTTTTATGAATTATTTTAAATGTTTTTGTTGCGGTAGTTTTTTTTTTCTCCTTATCTTTTAAGGAAGCCTATTTAGTTTATTCTAGCAGTTTTTCGTATGAACTATTATAATTTTCATAGATGAATCTAAGAGCTCTTTTTTAATTCTTTCCAATTTAAAAGAAAAAGTTTTCGCTACAGTAGCGCCAAATTACTGGACATACAATAGTTAAAATTTGAACGAATGAATGAATAGTACGCGATAAACCTGCCTAGCCTGTTTAAATATTTGCTCATTCGTTTTGGAATATTCAATTTGCATGATGCCTTATTTCATATTTTCATATTTATGACTATATAGTTTAAGTCCGAATCTATAGTTACTCCAAGAAGTTAAACATTTTCTTCATTAGAATTTTTGTTTCCGTTTAAGTTGAATGTCAAATTATGTTGATTTGTTTTTATTTTCCAATGGCTATAATATTGGGAATAGTTTTAACTGTGTGTCTTTTTAACATTTCATTTAACTCATTACTTATTGTTCATTGATGGACAACAATATTTTTGTGTATTTGTTATAGTATTTCAAAACATGAACTATTTTAGGAAATTAAAATTTAAAGGAAATTCTCTAATCTATATATATATATTCAGTCATCACTATATTCTATTTTTACATCTTCTGTAGCTGTTGTTTCTTCATTATTGAGTAGTGATTCATTTTCCGTCGTCGCAATAATAATATCCACTTGATCATCCTTGCCATCTTCATTACTATCATCCTTATTGTGAAAAACAGCTACGTAATTACCTCCCTTGTTATTGCAACACCGTAAATGTTTTAAATATTTCCGATTTGCATGAATAAACCACCCTATCCCAACTAACATGAAACACACTATAAAGAATAATGTTAATAGTAAAATGAGTCTTGAATAATCTGCATAACAGTTCAGGTCTTTGCTTCGGATGTCAAAAACATTCTTCCCCCTGTATCTAGAGGGAAACTCACATCTGGAAAAAACAAAACAAAAAACCACGTTCTCTATAATCACTGTATATAGATAACGACATATATAACGACATTTTCACAATTTTTGAAAAATCTCATACAATAGCAAATGATGACACAGAATGATTTTGAATGATTTAAGAATTAACTGTTTAGTTGTTGTGATTTCAGGGACCAAATATCGCCATTTAATTAGAAATATGTAGTAGTTCTCTCTGCACATCGTCTATAGATAATCCTGTACTTCTCTATTTTAACAACCCCCATAAAAATGTAAACGATAATACAAAAATTGAATTATTGAAGATTTTCAATTTTGGTGTTTTTTTCCTTGTACTTTGTCAATTTACATGAAAAGCTACATCACAGGACTTCCTGTTTTTTTGGAATTTAGTTTTCTGGATATTTTCCGACGATCATAAAAGCGCTGTATCATTTGTATATTTTTGTTCTATCTTATTATCGTTGTCTCATGTAGACATCCACCTCAGGTCTTCATTCTAACAAAACATAGAATCTCATACATCTAATATTTCGAAATATTTCAAGATTTCAATAAAAACAACTTCAAGAACCCTCCCAACATCTAATGTAACTCAAGAGAATGTTTTCCCCACCACCAGCTATCCGACAAAAGTGGTCAGGAAATACAGTTCAAAGAAAATGACCAACTTACATTGTAGAGAAATTGGTTTAGAATCCACGAAAGTTTATCTACATGTAATTGATTGATCAACGGAATTAATTTACTGGTATATTCTCACCTTAGTTTAAAATCCCTGAAGACGAATTCGTCAGATTGGTTTTCCACTAACCAGCGCATTCTGCAATCACAATGCCAAGGATTATCTTCCAATCGTATCTCCTTGATGTAATGAGAATCCAAGGGAAGTAAATACGGATACAAAGTTCTAAACATGTTCCCTTTCAGCGACAACATTTCTAAATTGAACAATGGTTTGAATATGTTCTCTTTAATAGCTTCTAGCCTATTGCTATCCAAATACAAGGTTTTCAGGGATACTAAACGTGACATTTCGTTTAATATTGAAAACTCATTATGACTCAAATCAAGCACTTCTAATTCTGAAAGACCTTCTAGCGACAACGCTTCAAATTTCGAAAGATGATTAAAACTTAAATTTAAATGTTTTAATCTTGCTAAATTGTCAATAGACAAATGTTCAAGTGTGTCTAAGGAACAAGACGATAGATCTAAATATTCCAAAGTAGAAAATCCATAGGCTGTAAAAGTTAATCTTTCCAGTTTTCCTAAATGATTTCCTTTCAAAATCAATCGTTTTATATTTTCAAAATGTCCGATTTCATATTTGAACGTTTCAATGTGTAACGATGAGCCATTTATTCTATTGTATGACAGATCTATAACTTCAAGGTTAGTCATATTGTCAAATACACCTCTCACAACTGTATCGATGATATTATGTGTCAAATAAACCTCAACGACTGAGGACGGATGTGGTAAGTTAAAAGGGGAAACAACTGTGATCTGATTGAAGGAAAAATCTAAGTGTGTCACAGTACCTGGGACCTCTGGTATGTAAGGAATATTGTTTAAGCCTTTGTTTCTACAGTCCAAGAATGTTTCATTTCTTCTACATATACTGGAACTAGTTGTACAAATCATAAATGTTATTAAAGATAGCATGGTGATTATTTTAAACGTGATCGTAATATCCATAGCTGTAGTTTCTGAAAGAAAAAAAATATATCCAGATTCATTCTAAACCAAATCAACCAGAATTGTTTATGCTAACTTTAGTGTTAAATTGTGTCCTTCGTATAATAAGAGAGTTACTTTAATGATATTAGTGTATATTGAAATGACTTTCTTGTTCAAGTTCACTGTATCTTATTTCTTTTTTATGCTTCTAAATGCGTAACATCCAAGCTTAACTATACAAAGATGATTGTTAATGCCAATATAGCATTGTTTCGATTTTCGTTTTCCAGACGTCCATTACATACTGGTTCTCTTTTTTGTTATCCGGCTTAGCTTGATTAGCTTACTGTTAGAGCCAACCGATAAAGGAAAGGTTGAATGGTGTACAGTTGGTAGTCCTTCGGGATTTATTGAATACATTTCATGGTTCTCTGGTACATTATTATATTTTATGGTGAAAATCTCCGCCAAACAAAGAAGGGAGCATCGGATGTTTACGTTTTTATTTACATTTTTTCAGGCGAAGACGCGTTTTTTTATGAAATTCTAAATTGCTAAAAGGGGAGAAAACCTCATTAAAGAGGCAAAGAAGTAAAATTTCATTTTTAAAAGATTGTCTTTACGTTAGAAATTGTAGGAGCGAGCGAGTCCAACGAACGAGCAACAACTTGAAGAACACATTTGATTTTTTTTTATGATTGTTTTTTTTTATTACTCAGGCAAATTTGACCTTAAGGTGAATTTGGCTATTCTTTTTATGTCCTTTTTGGTCATAAAGCTCCTATCGTTTCAGCACGAACGGTATATACGAAAACCTCGTTTTCAAATGTTTAAGTTTGAGCGTTCTTGATGAAGTTAAAGTTAGAAAACCTCTTTGGACGCACGAAATTCATCAAGGATTTATTTTAAATTAATTTGTTAAATTGTTTATTTTGGAAAAAAGTGATTCAAACTGCCTAAACATTCTCTAATTTCCCACATTTTGCGTTCTAATCTGCACATATTCTACTACTGTATTTAATCGTACACCAGTTAATATTCAAAATGTTATGTAAAATATTCTCTTTTGGACAATGAATAACTTTGACGTGTCGATATTTACTGACACTACAAACATGATTTAATTTGTTTCTGGATGATCATATATCACTGCTATTCATTTTTTAGACGGTGGTGTAATGAAGAATTTAATACAGAAATCTGAAACGTGTAGGCCTACATTCTCATTTTTAAATAATATGAAAGTGAAATTTTAAAATATAACAGAGCTTTCTTATGCCGTTCAGTTATAGTATTTATTTAATCAAATTTGAAACTAAAAATCCCCAAAAGAATAAGTAAAAGAAAAAACTAACCGTCATGTACTGCTGTTATACACATATATTTTTATCAGAGATTTATTTGCGTTCATTTGTGACTTGGTATTTCTACGTTAATCGAACTTTGTATCATCCGTATTAAGATAACAGTATAGATAAATATGATAATGGATTCTTTGTGGTATTTTACTAACACCTTATTATAACCTTGTATATGTGGTCTTAAATAGTTATGATGTAAGTTTAAACTGGTCCGCCGTTCCATCTATAGCTTCGCGATAAGTGAACACAACAGGGGTCCAGTTTAGATGTAAGTTAAGCTATGAATTTGCATTGCACCGAACAATAGTGTCGTAAAATACAGAATGTTTTACCGGTATACTGAAGATATATATATTGATTTATTCCTGCTACATTTCCAGTGGCAAATATTAAATGCACATCCAGGACGATAACATTGACACGCTGAGTTGAAATATTTAACGTACTAACTAGTAACACGGCCAGTAACTGTCGACTAGAAATATGTTTCCCTACTTGGATACATTATTTTGACTACAAGCCGACTAGTCGTTAATTGGTCTTACTGGTTGTAGGAGAAGCCAGCAAATGAAAATTTTAAAGTATTTGGTCTAAAGAGGCCAGAAAAGCATATAAAATCAATAGGAAAGTTAAACAACTTAACATTCCAATACACTCATAACTAAGGATGGAAAATATTCCAATCAAAGTCAAACATACTCAGTTCAAAGCAGTTGTCTATAATGAAACTTCATTAAGAATCCTCACAACTAAAAGCTAGGGAAGCAGAAGATGTATAAATGCATGGGAATCAATATAATCAAAAGGATACTGGGTAAAATAGATTTTATAAATTCTACCCATCCAGTTTTGGAAAATTGAATTTCTTTTAGACGAAAATTGAGAAGATAACTGGTAATCAATGAAAGTCATCTTTCAAAGGACAGACAAAACCTTGTACCACAAGTATACAGCGATAACGAAAACGAAAGTTTAAAAACCACCACCCAGGAAACTAAAGATTGAGTAACACGAACCTGACAAAAACGTCATGTGCTCCAGAAGTGTAAGAATAATCTAATGGTCACTATAAACATATTACACAACTTATAAATAGTTATAAGAACATATTTGCCGAATAGCATCCCCCTGAAAGTATCCACCAGCGGTATAAGTGGTATACATATTTGCAATGATGACATAGTGGTGCTAATTTAAAATGTTACTTGCCCAATGGTAGCACGTTAAGAGTTAGACAAAGCGACATAAGAACAAAGACTAAAATACTATCAAACACAATGAAAAGTAGAAACGAAGAACAGCTATATATTGATTTCAAATATCGATCTTCAGTGAAAACCGATGACAATTGAAAAAATGTTTTAATTACCTTGTTTTCACCATCAGCGTTTTAAATGGTTGAGAACAAAACTTTACGACAAAAAAGATTATTTCAGCTTCCCAATTGTGAACTTTTCATTTCTCTGTAGCAACATTCCGCAGCGCCTGCATATAGAGTATATATGGAGTATATATCTCACAGCTAACACGTTATTCAAGGACTTGCCTTTCCTATCATTATGTCCTTGATAGAGGGTTGCTGCTCACAAGGAAGCTATTAAACCAAGAGTTCCAAGTGGTAAATTTAATATCATCCCTTCAAAAATTTTACGGACGCCATCACGAGTTGGTTGACCGTTATGGAATATATGTTTCACAGATGACGACAGATATGTCACAATTGTCGTAACCATTATCCTGTCCTTTTTTCCCCGAATGTTACCTACCGAATTAGACATATAACCGGATTTGTACTTAAATGAGCAACGCGACGAGTGCTACATGTGCAGCATGATCTGCTTACCCCTTGGGTCACCCCTTGGTTTTGTGGGGTTTGTGTGTTTCAGTCTTTAGTATCTAGGTTGTGTTTTGTATACTGTTGTTTGTCTTTTGGTCCTTTTCAGTTTTTGACATGGCGTTGTCAATTTATTTTCGGCTTATGAGTTTGAATGTCAATTTGGTATATTTCTTCTCTCTTTTACAAGACGAACAAATTAAAACAACGAAGATACGGTATACGTTTATGACACAAAAACCTCCAAAAAATCACAAATAAACCCACAAAACGTTCTTCAACAATAGCCAAGTGTCTATACAATAAGTCAGCTTTAGAAACGTAGTGAATAAAGTTATGAAAGATCTACCATTAACATCAAATTCCTCAAAATGACAAACAAAAAAATACATTGATATATGAAAGAGGTAGCCACTAACGAGGTTCTGAGAGATAGGCACACGAACAGTTTGCTTGTTCTCAAATTTAAGCTTGAAAAAGAATTTTCGAAAAGTAAAAATTGCATTGATGGAGGAAAGTCTTTAGTTTCTTTTTTCAAAGTATAACTATGATCTGTGTGTAAGATTAAAACATAATTATTCTAAAACTGAACTTTTTTTAATGATTTTTTTACGGCGAAAAATATATTTTTGTTTCTGATAACGTCGAATATTTATTTAAAATAGCAATATTTGCACTGGTGCAATATCATAGAATATTGTACTCTACGCTAACTTTTCTTTACGTTCTGTTGGAACTATGATGTTGCTATACAATAACAATAATCGTAACAAAAAATAGATAAAGGAGTAAATAAAGTAAATAAAATGGACGCCAAAGAAGTTAATTTTAGCTTTTACAATAGAATTGATATTCCCTACTCATTGATTGTATAGGACTTCAGTTTTTTGTGACAGAAAAGTTATCTAGTATTTACCCAGACTGTGTAAGTTTGTTCATAACCACAGGTTGTACCATCATTACATAGATAACATTGTGATAACGAAGATAATAACGTGTTATATACAGTTGTTTTAATATGAATTATAACCCATACGTTGTTGTATCTTGCAACCAGCAAACTTTTGAACAAATATTAGACATACAAATATAAATAAGAAGATATGGTATGACTGCCAATGAGACAACTATCCATCCAATAGTCACAATGTGTAAAAAGTGAACAATTATAGGTCAAAGTACGGCCTTCAACACGGAGCCTTGGCTCACACCGAACAGCAAGTTATAAAGGGCTCCAAAATGACTAGTGTGAAACAATTCATACAGGAAAACCAACGGTTTAATCTATATCAAAACGAGAAATGAGAAACAATTATGAACCACACCAACAAACGACAACCACTGAACAACAGGCTCCTGACTTAGGACAGGTACATAAAAAATGCAGCGGGTTTCATATTTGCTGCTTTCTTTGAACAGTAGCACTGTACAATGAAATATCGTGTTAAAGTCACACATTAGGGATTTTCACCAAAAGTTTCAATAAAACTGCATGAGATTGCAATAAAAAATTAGTTGATAATTCAAATCATGACAATTTCAAAATGATGCCTACAAGGTAAATTAAACCTCCAGGAAATGACAGTTTACCAGCAGAGGTTTCAACCGAGATGTTGTAACAAACAAACAAACATATTCTCTATAACAATTAAGGCGCCCATATAGGCAGTGCTTGAATATGGCATAACACATTAGAATAAACAAGTACAAAAAGAAGATGAAAAAACACCCAAAAAACAACAACACTAAAGTACCGTCATTTCTGATAAATACATTAATAAGTACAGTGATACTATGAGGGAAGCACATCGTAGTATATTATTTCAATATCGTAAAAACAAATGTATATGAACAATAATCATATTTCATGTATTTAATATAACTAATAAGTGAGAAAAAAACCCCGATTGATTATAAACAGAGTTAAGCCAATGCACTATCATACATTACATGGTTCAATTTGTTTAGTAGGGTATGAAGCTGTTGATTTATGAATGGATCTTCAGCAGACATCAGCCAAATATATTTGGGTGTGATATCTAAGAGGCTTACATATTAATTTTGTTTAGAATGTCACATCTTTGAGTCCAATACTTTATCATATTTACAAACACTTCCAACAGTAAAGGGAATCTACCAAGTTCTCCAAAAATTGTCAAGTTTGTAGAACATTTACAGTTTATAAAATATGTTTGCAAAATCTGATAATAGTTATAAGCTGATCAATTGTCTAGGCTTGAGTTAACTTTTTGCACTAATACAGTAATTGGTTATATGTTGAAATTACAAGTTTGCAGTAAAGATACACAAGTTCAAAAAGAAAGGCATATTTTGAGAAGAAAATTTTTATGTTTTACACTCAAACAAACAAACAAACAAACAGATTTACAACAGTACACAAAACATAACAGAAAACTAAAAACTGATCAACACAAATCCCATCAAAAACTGGGGGTTATCTCAGGTGCTCCGGAAGGGTAAGCACATCATGCTCCACATGTGCACCCATTAGATATCTGTAATGTTGACTCAATGTGGAACATAACCAAAATTGATCAAGCATGAAGTGTAGGCCATTGCGCGGTTTGGATAAGGGATCAAATTTAACCTTAGATATTTAAGCGTAAAATATTGGTCAATGTGACCTAAATATCATTGAAATGTTTTTTACCGTCTAGATAAATTCGACTGAAATATCGTTATAATTTTCTGAGAAATTACTATAAACATAACTAGATACCTTGACTTTAAAGAACGTAAGTAAATCTTTAAAATGGTTTATTTAACAGTTGAAATTGGGCTTTGAACTAGTTATCAATAATTGAGAGTACTTTGTGTCTTTTTGTCATTTTTCGTAGTTATTTTTGTTTTTAGAGCCGATCTTATGAGTCGGACACTTTTCATTTTTACAGTTGTTTCTAATGTAGTTCTGTTACACCACCGTCCCATGTTAGGACAGGGTTGAGCACTCACAGACATAATTGACCAGTCACATTCTGTATGTGCCTGTCTTACCAAGGAGCATGTATTCCAGCGGATTTTGTTGGTTGCCGACTTTCACAAAGAAAATCCCTTATTGTTACCTTAATCAGCAAAACATATGACCGTTACTTTTCTCTTTGAATGGTTTTCACTCTTGAAGTTGAGTTCGTTATTCTTGTGTCATTTATAGTTTTTTTTATAAGGTATAGGTTTTGGTCATTATTGATGGCCGTACTGTGATCTGTAGTTGTTTTCATCCTTGTCCTTTGGTCTTTTGTGAATAGTTATCTCATTGGCAATCATAACACATCTCCCTATTTTGATGTTAATTGTTATTTGTTTATATAGAATCACACAAACATACACACACAAAATGTCAGTCACTCAAAAAATTTATTTTAAGTACATGTAATGTTATACTATACTCGAGTAGTGTAGTGGTAAAATACTACCAATATCAATCGGATAGATGGACAAACGGACAATAGAATGCATGTTATGGTATAGCTAAACTTTGAGGGAGTAATGGGGTGGTGGTGGGGGGAAAATGAATATTGAACGATTCTATTATTGAAATATTAAAACACAAATGTCAATCAAACATCGAAATAATGAACTTTTCCATTTCCCGTCCTCTCTTCATTTTTGACCAGTGATTCATCGTCTGCAGTTGTGATTTTGACGTTCGTTCCTTCTTCGTCATTTGTATTGTCATTTGTAAATACGGCGACATAATCGCCTCCTTTCTTTTCACAACACTTGAAATACTTTCGTTTGACATAAATTGCATAAATCAGTCCTGTCACCATGAAACTCGCGGAGAAAAATAAAATCAATATATACGTAAGTCTGGAATATTCTGACCTGCATGTAAGTTCGTTACTAGATGTAGTGAAAATATTCTTTCCTCGAAGTCTTGAAGGAAATGAACATCTGAAAAAGTTAATAAAGATATATTAAGAATTTTTCGGCAATAAATTTTGCTAATTCTTGAATACCGCCACCAATTTAAAAAAATATATCTCTTCCAGACCGGATTTTACGGGAAAAAGAGGAAATAAACACAATACATTTCAGGTTAGTAGTTAAAAAAGAAATCCAAAGTTATCGACCAATAGGAAATTGCTTGTATGATTTTTCACAAATGTCAGAAATCTTCTCCAATTTGCATGCAAGATATTTACTAGATGTGTTTTATGTTTTTCTCGAAGTCTTGGAGGATATGAACATTTGATATGGTTAATGAAACATAAATTTTGTTCGGCAACACGTTAACTCTCGATTCACGCAAATGACTAAATTATGCAAGTCAGGGAAAGTCAAAAATTGTATTATTGAAGATAAAATAACGAATTCCATTAATTCATTGATATTGAAAACGAAGTACAAACAAATATTACTGACAAAACTGGATAACAAGAACGCTCAGAGAGGATTAAGTCTTTTAAAAGTCTATTTTATCCAGTCCACGTGACGATGCCTGTCTCGAGCCAGGTTCCCTTTATTGGTTGTATTTATTACATTTCACAGTCTTTATTCATTGTGTTTTTCCTACTGATAATTTGATGTGGATGGCAGATCTTTGTTAGACATTGTAATTTGATGTGGATGGCAGATCTTTGTTAGACATTGTAATTTGATGTGGATGGCAGATCTTTGTTAGACATTGTAATTTGATTTGGATGGCAGATCTTTGTTAGACATTGTAATTTGATTTGGATGGCAGATCTTTGTTAGACATTGTAATTTGATGTGGATGGCAGATCTTTGTTAGACATTGTAATTTGATGTGGATGGCAGATCTTTGTTAGACATTGTAATTTGATTTGGATGGCAGATCTTTGTTAGACATTGTAATTTGATTTGGATGGCAGATCTTTGTTAGACATTGTAATTTGATGTGGATGGCAGATCTTTGTTAGACATTGTAATTTGATGTGGATGGCAGATCTTTGTTAGACATTGTAATTTGATGTGGATGGCAGATCTTTGTTAGACATTGTAATTTGATTTGGATGGCAGATCTTTGTTAGACATTGTAATTTGATGTGGATGGCAGATCTTTGTTAGACATTGTAATTTGATGTGGATGGCAGATCTTTGTTAGACATTGTAATTTGATGTGGATGGCAGATCTTTGTTAGACATTGTAATTTGATTTGGATGGCAGATCTTTGTTAGACATTGTAATTTGATGTGGATGGCAGATCTTTGTTAGACATTGTAATTTGATGTGGATGGCAGATCTTTGTTAGACATTGTAAAATATGTCCATAGCCTGAGATGGAACGAATTGTATATGGATCCATGACTCTTTATCTGGAAGTTTTTTTACAAACACTCTGAAAGCCGATAACTGAAAGTACTACGAAAACCTATGTGTATAAATTTAAAAAAAAATTAACGACAATTTACAGAATTTAAAAGATAAAACATAATTTTTCCAGTTACAATAGACTATTACACAAGGTCATGTTTTTCTCTGACTGTTAATGACGTCTTTAACTAAATCCATTGGATGTTGGGTGTGTACTGATTGATATTTTAGTCTTAGATACATGATTTTTTTATTAGTTGTTATTGGCTTTGAACTAGCTGCCAGTAACTCCCAAATCTGTTCTTAGTGTCTTTTTTTGTTGTTAGGGATGATGGATAGATATATACCCTGCCACGTCCTGTCTGTGTTTTTTTATGTTTTATGTTTTACTTTGTATCAATCTGATGAGATAAGCTTTTTTCAACTGATTTTTATAGTTTGTTCTTATGTTGTGCTGTTACACCACTGTCCCAGGTTAGGGGAGGGTTGAGCGCTCACAAACATGTTTAACCCCATCACATTCTTTATGTGCATATCCCAAGTCAGGAGCCTGTAGTTAAGTGGTTGTCATTGGTTCGTGTCTGTCATATTTGTTTTTCGTAAATTGTTTTGTTATCATTTAGGCCGTTTGTTTTCTCAATTGAATTGTTTCATATTTTTCATGTCGGGGCCTTTTATAGCCGACTATAGGGTATGGGTTTTTCTCATTGTTGAATGACGGTTGCCTATAATTGCTTACATCCACTTCAATTGAACTTTAGTGGATAGTTGTCTCATTGGCAATCATACCACATCTCCTTATTTTTATATACTTACATTAATGTAAAGTTTTTAAAGTGAAAACCATCGTCCATATTGGTGAGTAACCAATCCATGTTGCAATCGCATCGCCATGGGTTTTTATCCAGTCTGATCTCTTTGAGAGATATAATAGTATCCAGTGGTAATGTGTTGGGACGTAAAGTTTTCATATTATTCCCAACAAGCGACAGAACTTCAAGTCCAAGTAAGGTTGAGAATGCACCGTCTTTTATAAACTCTATTCCATTATAATCCATAATTAATGTTTTCAATTCTAACAACACCGGCACGTCCTTAACGGTAGTTATTTTGTTGAAACTAATGTCAAGTTTTTCTAAGCCTAATTCTCCCGGTAATATATCTTCTTCAAATTTTGTTAACAAATTGTTACTAAGATTTAAAAAAATCAAATTGTCTAGATTAATTATCGACGCATCTCGCAAAGATTTCAATGAGCAGTAGGAGAGATCAAGATATTCCAACTTTGAAAAATAATACGCTGAAAATGTGTTATCTTCTAACGAGCCGAGATCATTACCCTGTAGCGTAAGACGTTTAGCACGTCCAATTTCCAAATCCAAATCATCATCTTTAAACGAATCTTTGCTTATTTTGTTGTATGAAAGATCTAAATTTTCCAGATTTGTAAAATTTTCAAAAACACCTTTTTGAATTGTTATAATTATATTATGCGCAAATGAAATTTCAACAATAGAAGACGGAAAAGTTATGTTAAAGCTGTTGACAGTTTTTATGTTATTAAACGAAAAATCTAAATGTTTAATAGTGTCTGGCAGATTAGGAAAACTAGGTACCGTTGACAAGTTTCTATTTCTGCAGTCAAGACTCGCCTCTTTGACGTCACAGATGTGCGCATCATTAGAACCAAACCATGAAAGCGCTGAACTAGTGGTAATGTCGATGGTAATAGCCACGATTAAGAAAACTGGATACACTGTCATGATATACATAGTGATTTTTCCTGAAACCATAATAGGTATTAATATATTGAATTGAATTTAAGTTTAACGTGTTGATTTTGTGAAGAAGATCGTTCACTAACTTTAAGACGTTTTACAATTTTATTTTGTCTTTTTTTGTAGGAATGGCATCTTATTTACCAAATATGTTTCCATAGTTTATTACATTTTATGTATATAGAATTATATTAGCATTATCTGTTTTCTATTAAAGGAAATATATAAATATTTAAGTTTTTTTGTTAAATTTCACAATACCTTTGTTTTTGATTTTGTAAAATTATAATTTACTCCACGTATCCACATAGTGTCTATAATTAATCATATACTGTTGGTAATGAACTTTGTATCTGTACTGTAGATAACATGTATTATCGTACAATTATCTATCAAAATATTGCACGAACTTCAAAAGTTGTCATTTTGTTGATATCAACAAATGAATATACACACATATATATTGTAATAGTACATTAAACTATGGATAGAAATGTCATCACCTATCAGTAAAAGTTGCAGGTTTTTGCCAAATTTAAACCATACATAAGACATGATTTAATGCAATAATTTTCCTAAACAGTCAACAATAAAAAAAATCAAATTGAACCAATGTAGATTTCTATTATGAAAAGATGATCAAAAGCACCTTGTGAAAAAGTCCTGGACTACACCAGGTATATTTTATAACTGGATGTAACAATTTAAAGATGAGGTGAATTCAATGAATATGATGGATCAACTTAACATTCTCTGTACAACTTATGTTTGGAAACCACTGTTACAAATCCCCACTCAAACCAATACAAAATTACAGCTATCTTATCGGATATTGCAAGTCATAGACTTTTCAAACCAGTTCACATTGGAAAAGATGAAAAGGAGAAAAGTTCCTTTCTAAAACTTTCCTTTGCAAATAAAGGGTTTGATGCCATCAACTTGGGAAATATCCTTCATCATAAATCAGTTCACTCGAAAATACCTCCCTATTTTAAAGATCAGTCTGTACCTATCATTTCTTATACCTATACCAAACCAATTGCAACTAAAATATTTTCAATTACAAACACGTGTTGCAGGATCTCAATATTGATGACTTCAAGTCTAAACCTCCTGATTGCACCTGTGCTAGTTCCCCATTCATATATAACCCGACTGGCCACGTTATTACTGGTGACCTAAACATTGTCCGTAACACTTCTCTGCGAAACGTGTTATCCAAAGGCCCGAAATATCGTGAGCCTAAATCCATCAATTGGAAACACAACTTCAAAATACTGATGGATTCAGTCGGGGATTATGTCAGGCAAGGGTTAAACGCGAGAAGAAGACGTAGGTACTCTTTCCGAATGGATTAAGGTTGTGAGGTCGTTGATACAAATCAGAATTAAAAAACTGAACGGGTCTATGAATACCCATGCTACATCTATCTTTAAAGACTCAAATGTTGCCAAACACATGTCCTATCCAAATATGTTGATATCCCCGCAGATAAAGCCCCAAACAACATCGTTTTTTTGTGTAAATCACATTACATAAACTGCTTGATAAATGAATTAGGTATTGACAATTCACTTGGAAACTCAACATATACCCCCACGACATTTACCAAGGAGGAAATCCTAGATAATCATAGACCTGTTCTATGTTTCTTTGGAATTTCAACTATTAAAAGATGAAGAACTGGATCTCCCTCACTGTATTGGATACCTAAACTACATAAGTGTCCTTACAAACAACGTTATATTGCTGGTTCTTCCAAGTGCTCTACGAAACCTCTTTCTAAATTATTAACATCAATTTTATCAGCAATCAAAGCCGGGCTTCAAAGTTATTGGGAAACTACCTATTCTAGAGGTGGCGTGAATCAGATGTGGATACTAATAAATTCCAAAGATCTTTTAGAGTACATACAATCTAAGACACTTTCATCTTGCAATAGTATTAAAACATTTGACTTTTCTACACTTTACACAAGTATTCCCCATTCCAAACTAAAAGACAAATTGAAAGAGTTGGCCCTGCTTTGTTTCATCAAAAGGAAAGATACAAGTATCTTGTCTAAGGGAGGGATAAATCGTACTTTGTAAAAAATCGCTCTTGATTCCAACAAAAGTTTTTTTGAAACTAACATTATCAAGATGCTTGATTTCTTGATTGACAACATATTTGATACGTTTGGCGGACGTGTTTTTCAACAAACAATCGGCACTCCCATGGAAACCAACTGTGCCCTGCTTCTGTTTCCGACTTGTTCCTTTATTCATATGAGGCTGACTTCAAACAGAAACTTCTTAGGAAGAAAGAAAAGAAGCTAGCAGTATCCTTTAACTTCACTTTCCGCTACTAGTACATAAATGATGTTCTCTCACGAACGAAATAATTCAAAATTTGGTGACTATGTTGAACGCACTTATCCCATCGAACTTGAGACAAAGGATACAACAGTTACAGTTAAGTCTGCCTCATATCTTGACTTACATCTAGAAATTGACAAATGAGGGTCGGTTGAAAAAAAATTTTACGACAAAAGAGATGATATCAGCTTCCCGATTTTGAACTTTCAATTTCTATGTAGCAACATTCTATCAGCGCCTGCATACGGAGTATATATCTCCCAGTTGATACAATATTCCAGGGCTTGTATTTCCTATCATGATTTCCTTGATAGAGGGTTGCTGCTTACAAGGAACCTATTAAAACAAGAGTTCCAGGTGGAGAAGTTGAAATCATCTCTTCGTAACTTTTACGGACGCCATCACGAGTTGGTTGGCCGTTATGGAATATCTGTTTCACAGATGACGACGGATATGTATTAATTGTCGCAGTCCCGTCCCCTTTGTCCCGAATGTGATCTACCAAATAAGACTTATCACCGGGTTTGTACTTACATGAGCAACACGATGGGTGCCACATGAGAAGCAGGATCTGCTTACCACCAAATTCTTTGGTAGGGTTCGTGTTGCTCAGTCTTTAGTTTTTTATGTTGTGTTTTGTATACTGTTGTTTGTCTTTTGGTCTTTTCCGTTTTTTTTTGCCATGGCGTTGTCAGTTTATTTTCGATTATTAGTTTGAATATCCTTTTGATATTGTTCGTCTCTTTTTTAGCTTTCCTTTTATTTCCCATCATATCAAATTGTTCCATTATGGGGTCAATAAATAAACTCATCATAGATACCAGGACTAAATTTTGTAATTATACGTGTCTATTCTATTAATGCATTTGGTTCTTACAAAAATTGTTGACTTCACAAAAGAGTTATTGGAAAGCATATTAAGCTTATTATCAACTCATCCACTATCGCGTGTGATGAACCATGCGTTTTTCATTCTGTATATTGTAATTGAAATTGCTTATCAGATTTGAATCCATATAGTCACATGTGAAGGTAAACTGGAAGAAATTTGTTATACTTACATATTGTATTTAGATCTACTAGAATTTATGACTCATAGCGATATTGGATGCATTGCTTTTAAAATGCTGAAACACCATCATTTTCACAAAATGCACAGATTTATTCGGTAAAAATATAGCACAAGAAGATTTGGAAAAATCAGAGCGAATGTGTTCAATATTGATCAATATCCCCAAAGCGCCTTAAAATGAAGAACACAGTTATAATATGTAAATGACAAATCTCAGTGCAATGATATTGGACATATTGCTATTTTTTAATAATTGACTAGGTTTAACCATTTGTTTTTTTTTTAGAGCAAATGACCATACAATAAAGAAGTAAGTTACATAATGTTTGTAAACTGAGAACAGAGTTTGGCAATAATCTAACTGTTTGAAAATAGTGATTTATCACTTGCTGAAACCGCTCAACACTCTTCGTACCCCGTAAATCTAACCACATCTATGAAAATGTTTCGGCTTCAAAACGAGTTACAATACATATCCACGTTACAATATGGACAGACAAATGGATGAAAAGACTACTAGCATCGCCTACCTGAAATGGTTTGCGCATATTGACACTTCTATGAAGTTCATGTATCAAAGTCATCCAAGTTATGAAAATCATTCAACATTACGTAGAATTTCAATTCATGCAATTAACGACAGTCCAAAAAAGGTAAAATAGATTTTGTGTAACTTTTTAATTTTTAAAAAGTCACACAACGGGTGTCACAACTAGAGCAGTATGTACTGACCCTTCCAGAGCACCTTGGATTACCCCCGTGTTTTGTGGGTTTCACGTTACTCAGTCTGTAGTTTTCTATGTAGTGTTTTGTAGACTTGTTTGCCTTTCGTCGATTTTCGTTTTTTTTTTTGCCATGGCGCTGTCAATTTGTAAATGTTCCTTTGGTATCCTCCGCCTCTTTTTTGTGTGTGGAGATGGTCACATTGTTGTTACGCTTAGTTAACAGAAATCCTCTTGATTTGTACTTGTTGATTTTCAGACATTAAGTATGCTGAATTTCTGTGTTAATTAGCCTCTGGAACTAACAATTGACTCAAAGTGGATCTTGAAATGCAATGAAAAGGAGAAAGTCTCGAAAACCAGATGTTATACAGTTCGAGACAAATTTAACGTACATGTAAACAAAAAACTACAAATCAAAAGGAGTAATAATGATAACAAAACACCAAAGTCTTTATACGGATAAGTTTATTTACCAGTTTTTAAACTAATGAAATTGATTAGAAATTTTACATAGATTTTCCCTTTGCACCAGCTGCCATATCTGAAAAGAAATACAATGATAATATCACGTGGATAATATATCAATTAATTATTTAACAAAAGAAGATGTGGAATCAATGTAATAGTTTATTTTCTTTTGAGTTTGAATCTATTTTATACATTTCTTTGTAAAAATACTTTCAAGTGCCGAAAAACCGTTTAGATATTACAAGTAGAACCGTGAGTATTTGCTCAAAATAGATAACATCCCCACTATGAGTTATCGGTAAAGATGAAGTTGATAAAGCATATGGACGTGAAAACACACCACACAATATAGCATGCTCAAATTTCACTTCTTTAGATTAAATATCGAAAACACATCATATTCTCTGATTATATTTTCCTTGTATTTATATCTTGTCAGCTCATTTCAAAGGAGTAACACGACGGGTGTCACATGTGAAGCAGGATCTGCTAACCCTTACAGAACACATAAGATCATCCCCGGTTTTTGGTGGAGTCTTTAGTTTACTATGTTGTGTTTTGAAGACTGTTGTTTGTCTTTTAGTTATTTTTCGTTGTTCACCATAGCATTGTCAGTTCTTTTTCGACTTATAAGTTTGACTATCCCTTTGGTATTTTCGGCTTCTGTTTTACAACTTAAGCAAAATCAATGCACATTTAATGACAATATATTTTGAAATTGGTATTTTCATCAAGCTTCAGACAATATTTCCTTACTGTTAAATCGGTACGACATGATTTACATCGCGAAACTTCCGACGGCAAGCGCAATTTCTTAACAGTACTGTGTGTACCATTAAGAAACTATATGAACAATATCGTAATGCCTCAGATAGCAAATGAAATGTATGTTCATTATTGTTTGCACAGGAAACTATATGATCAATACCGTGATGCTTCAAACTGTAATGGAAATAACTGAACAGTACTATGTGTACTGCTTGCAGACTATATGATAAATACCATGATTACTCAACAATAGTTTTTTTTTCCTATTCAGATATATTATAATTGTTGTTTTAGAAAACATCCCTTAATACTGTTGAAAATACAGGACAGTCAATGAATATCAAATTTTAAAAACATCGGCAATGTTAAAGTAATTAAAATGTTCAAAAACGTGCTATTGATACTTAATGTCTGCATAAAATTAAACAAATAGCAATGATTCGTTGCCAAATGACGATTTTCCTAGGCATTTTTCTTTTTCACTTTTTAAAATAGTAAAAATCGAATACTCGAACAAAATTTTCTATTTGTATGTGTACATGAAAATAACACTTTTTAAATTTGTGCTTCCGAAGCGCTTTTCTTGACTTACCTTAACCTAAAAAGTTCAAACTTAAACATTAGAAAGGCAAGGGAGCTATATGCCGAAAACGAACCTTAAAAGAATAGCCAAATTCAATTAAGGTCATATTTGCCTGAGGGAGTTGGAACCTTATTTATTCAATAATTTCTTAATTCATCAACTGTGAATTTTAGGAAAAAACTTTGTTATAAATCATGTCAGTACCGAAGCACTGACTACTGAGATGAAAATACCCTCGGGGAATAACAGTCCAACAGCAGTGGTATCGACAAAGTGAAAGCAAAATAAAAATCAGACTTTATACATTTTGTGAGTCCAAAGCGCTTTTCTAGATTAACCTTAACCTGGAAAGCTCAAACCTAAACATCTGAGAGTTAGGGATGTATAACTGGATAGAAACGTTAGGAGAAATATGACTTAAAGGAAAATTAAAACGAATAGCTAATTCATCTAAGGTCAACATTACCTGAGGGAGATGGACCTTAGTTTTTCAATAGTGTCTTAATTTACAAACTGGGAATATTAGAAATGAAAATGTTATAAATCATATCAGTACCGCAGCTGATGAAACCCTCGGGGATAAATAATCCATTAGAAGTGGTATCGACCCAGTGCTTGTAAATGAAAATAAAACTTTATAATGTTCTTACGTTTAAAGCACACTTCTTGAATGTTATTGTAAAAATGTATTTACTTACTCATACATCCATTACAAAAGCATTTTTTTGTCAAGCTATCACAATTCCCCCCGCTGAAGCAGTCTTTGGCATGACAGCAGCCATAACAACGATCGTGGTTTAATTTAGTGCACATAGCCTCACACGACGCTTGGCTAGATGTCTGTATACCTGGTTGCAAAATAAAGGCAAGTTGAGTATTTACAAAACATATATATAATAATATTGCAAATCAAGTCAATGATATTTATACAAGTTTGAAAAAGTGTATATCTCATTGGCACTCATACCACATCTTTTTATATCTAATAACTTGAGAAGGGTCAAGTTTCTTCATGTTCAAGTATTTTTTTCTACCTTATATTATACAACTTCTGACTTTTGATGAATTTTAATGTGGTTTTATTGACTTTTGAAAACTGATGTTGATCGGGGCCATAAATTAAAGTTTGTAATCAACACTGATATGACCTCGACTGTTTGGGATTATCTTAAATTAGAATCAAGTGATGTTCACCACGATGGATGTTAATTGTTTACCGTTTCGTCAGGTGAAAACGTTTTTATATTCAAATTATATGTAGAAAATATTAATAAATAACAGGACATTGATTAATACCATATATGTGCTATTCGAATAAGGTAACATTTTCCTGGAAGCAATTTATGTCAATTATTACACCCTGCTTTCTCAATAGGTAGGTATATAGTGAGGGGTATGTCTTTCCGTCCGTTCGTCTGTTTGTCCTTCCATTCCAATTTTATATCTGCAACTGTCTTTTTTTATGAAAGTGTCTCAATATATTCACCGTATAATGCCATTTTGCACTTTGATTTTAATCCTAATTATTTCTGCCGTTTCTGACAGAAATAATGGACTTTGCCATTCCTGTATGTGGTGGTGGGGATATCATTTTGTGAGCTTTTTCATAGTATCTGTATGACTTAATACCATATTTTATCATTTGAAAATGTCAGATGAATAGTTGGACAATCTTGTATAATTTCCTGTTATAATGGAATGTCTTAACCAAGCTTAAAAGTCTTTTGAATTATTTATTCAATATCATTTCTTATTAATTGTCATTGTTGTTTCATCATTTGTGACATTTCTTTTCAATAAAACTATAAAAATGGTTTTTTTTGTGTTTGAAATTGTGTGTATACAAGTACACAATTGCTGTGTCTGCTTTTAACTTATATCTCTCCCTGTGAAATAATAATGTATCATGTAATTTCCTGTTTTATACACTTTATCATTAATGCGATGTTTACCAAATGCCATGATAAGGAGTAAAGTTGTAACCACAATTACCAATTTCATCTTCTTTCCTTCTAAAAGAGGCAGATAAAAAAATTAAATACCGATATCAGTTTTAATGTCGTTGGACAAAGTGCAATCTGCCAAACCTATATGTGTAAATAGTCAGAATCATATCAACGCCAAACGTAGTGACACCAGGATAATATCAAAATTCGAAAATATATGCAGCCAAACTATCTCATGCTATTAAAAAAACCTCGTCCCGTACAAAGTATAATGTCCAACTTTATGGCAAGATTGAAATTTATGTCAGACTGAATATTTTATCAAAATAGTATTTTCTACCGATGCAATGAATTTATAACGTGTTATTCTTTCTTACTAGCACTAGGTTGATAGCGCTGCTAGTAGACAGTTAAACCCTGAAGGTATTATTAGCAAAGTAATCAGTGCGTCGAAAGGGAAATATTATATAACGTACATTTCTTAAATGCACAATATATCGCCTTTTTGTACTAAATAATATTAAGTGAAGGATGACATGGTTTCTTGTCAACAGGTTATGTATTTTGGGCTTGCTTTCAGTGAAGCCTTCTTAAATACGATATAATTTGACATTTATTTTGTCATTTTGTCATCTATTATATCGTTTTTTATAGTCAAATGCTGTTACTGTACTTGTTTACACGTTTTGTTATTCTACTAATCGATATTAAAAATGATTAGGTTGGAGATATAACACACTAGCTACTAAGCAGCTGTCCTAAGTCAAGAACCTCGTGACGTTTGTCATATCTTAATGTTTTTGCTATTTGGAGATTTGATGATGTGAAATCTTTAAAGGTTTCTGTTCAAAATATAATTTTCATTTATAAAAGATCTAGAAGATACTAATGGGACATTCAAAACTCACAATTCGAGAGAAAATGACAACGCCATGGCAAAAACGGAAGACGACGTAAAGACAAACAAGTTCATAAAACACTACATCGAAAACTAAAGACTGAGCAAAACGAATCCTACCAAAAATGATGGGGTTGAACTCACGTGCTTTGGATGAGTAATCAGACTCTATTCTATTCTACACTCGTCGTGATAATCATATCAAATACTTTGAGTTTTATTAAGTAAATGGGGATCACGCAATAGCGGGTTGGCAATTGACTCTTATCAAACCATAACATATCACCAAATTCGTAAACCATTGGTCATGTTGATTTTCTAATGTTAGATTAATGAAAATTGAGAAGAAAAGTTTCCGTAAAAATCAAAATTCAGTTTCGAAAATTGAAATAAGAAAAAAAATCTGCTTTATCATCATAAAACCTACAATTTATATGCAGTATGAAACGGAAAAATAAAAAAAAAAAAAAAAACAGGAATACTGAAACGACAATACGCCACACACAGCCATATAAACTTAAGGTTTTAGAGCTACTAAAATGTTAAACATTGTATACAACTTACCTTAAATTCCCGACAATGTTCTGTTGAATGCAGTGACAATTTTCATCTGAAGGTTTGTTGCTTATATAGTAACACTATATGCTTTATGTTGCGCATGTTGTTATGTAATCGTGCATATTTTAATTAACATTTCATGTCCTTCTTGACTTGTAACATTTAAAATAAATGATTTTTTTTTTGGTTTTTGTTTTTATCAACTTGATAACTATTTTGACCCAAATGTGCATGAACAAGACTATGTGATTAATATGTAAACCAAGTCGGAAACACATGAGGGGACATTTTCAGGCTAGGGAAGATTCTACAAAGGCTTTTGGTTACTGAGAATAAACTACCATTGTGGTCCCGATGTAGTATGATGTGGTATAAAACATCAGCGTGGTCCCGATGTAGTATGTTATGGTATGAAATGTCTTTGTGGTCCTGATGTAGTATGATAAAAAAATTATACGACAATACCGAACTCCAAGGTAAATTCAATAAAAACTGACAAAATTGAACTGAACGGAACGAGTGACAAACAACTGTTATTTTCCAGACTTGATACAAGCATTTTCCGAAGAAAACGGTGGGTGAAACCTGGTTTTATAGCTAACTAAACCTCCCACATGTATGGCAGTTGTTGATTAGAATTAAGAATGGAAACGAGGAACGAGACAATAACCCGACCAAGAGCAGAAAACAACCCAAGGCCACCAATGGGTCTTCAACGCAGCGAGATAATCGTGCACCCGGTAGCGGGCCTCAGCTGGCACCTAAACAATAATGTATACTAGTTCAGCGAAATTACCGCCACATTAAACTCCGAACCATATAAATGAACCAAAATTAAAAAAAACACACACACACAAGACTTACAAAGGCTAGAGGTTCCTGACTTCGGGACAGGCGCAGCAACATTTGGCGGGGTTAGAAATGCTTTGTGACCCCCCCTTCTAGACAATGTGGAATAAACAAACATACAGCAATATGCACAGTAAATCTCAGTTAATTTATCAATATTAACACACGTTCATTTTGTGACTGATATAAGGATATGTTAAGTTTGCTTCTTTAATATATCTGACTGACTTTTCTTTCATTTCTAGCTCACATGGACCGAAGGGCATGTGTGAGCTTTTGCCATTTCTTGGCGTCCGTCGTCTGTAGTCATCTGTCTCTGTTGTTGTCCTTCGTCGTCATCGTCCATGGTCCGTTAACGTTTACAAATATCACTTTTGAAACTACTGAGTAAAATTTAACCAAACTTGGCCACAACTATCATTCAAGTATCTAGTTTACAAAAAAAGACCGATGTTCCTGCTGACAAACATAAGCAACATGGCTAAGAATAAAACATAGGGGTAGTAAACAATTTTGTCTATTATCTTGAAAACTGCTATAGATAAAGAAAATATAACACGAGCTAAAATGTTCACAATGATTAGGTATACCTTCGTCTATTGACAATCAAAACTGCCAAACGACTTCTTATAAGAGTTATTGCCCTATAATGATGATTTTTCCCATTTTAACTTAGAAATATAACTTATATTTTCTTTTATTGGTTGAAAAGGTTGAAATTGGGTATTGAAATAGAGGAATTGCATACAAGATGATACAAGGAGCATGTATCGCTTACCCTGGATTTTTCATTTAATTTCTCCGATAGCTACTGACAAGCAACATCATTATTGTTATACTTGTCATTCAAGAGCAATCACTCAAATAAAGAGTCAACTGACAACATCTGTCATGCTGATTTTATAGAAGATCTTGTCCTGCTGATCAATTTCGTTTACATCTTTTATCTCTCTACAACAGTTTCCACAAAAACATAAAAAATGGGTACAAATCGTTTTTCAAGGACAACAACTCATATGAGGAGTCGACTGATGATTTCAGACATGTTGACTTATTTAAAGATCTTGTTCTGATGATGATTTGAGCTGTAAACAGTTTCTCTCTATCGACTAAAGTGGCTACAAAAACAGAAACACGAGTAACAATCATCTTTCAAGGTAAACAAATTTCACGAAACGTCATTTAAGAAAAATAAAACCTATAATTTGTCCAAAAATCTTTCCTAACATGAATGGTAGGTAGTTCTTGTTATTCAAAACATTCTTCCCTTGTCAGATTTTCTTTATCTATAACGATTTTAAAGGTAGTGTCTCATTTTACTTCTATGTGAATTTTTAAACTTGATGGCCATGTTGGTTCGCAAGCGAGATCAACGTAGTTTTAAAACTAGAGACATCAATGTAGATTGTGTTCTAGTTTGTCAAAATGTCAATGCTCTTCAACTTTGTACTTGTTTGGCTTTATAACTATTTTGATCTGAGCGTCACCGATGAGTCTTATGTAGACGAAACGCGCGTCTGGCGTATTAAATTATAAGCCTGGTACCTTTGAGAACTATTTACACAACTGGGTCGATGCCACTGCTGGTGGACGTTTCGTCCCCGAGGGTATCACCAGCCCAGTAGTCAGCACTTCGGTGCTGAAATGAATATCAATTATATGGTCATTTCTTTAAATTTCCTGTTTACAAAAGTATGAATTTTTCGAAATACTAAGGATTCTCTTATTCCAGACATAAATTACCTTAGCCGTATTTGGCACAACTTTGGAATTTTGGGTCCTCAATGCTCTCTCTTCAACTTTGTACTTGTTTGGCTTTATAACTATTTTGATCTGAGCATCACTGATGAGTCTTATGTATACGAAACGCGCGTCTGGCGTATTGAATTATAAGCCTAGTACCTTTGATAAATATTGTGCCCAATTGACCCAGTATATTTCTATACCGACCATAATTGTCAATTTCTAGTCAGAAGTCAACATATGTAGCAATCTTACCTTTATCTATGGTATCATTTTCTTGCTCTTTTAAAGAGTACTTAGATCACCCATTGTTTTGTTGGGTTCGTGTTGCTCGGTATTCTGATTTTATGCAGTGTTTTAAGACTTTTTGTCATGGTATTGTCAGTCTCTTGTCGACTTTGATTTTTGATTGTTCCTTTATGTTTTATCTTCCGCCTCTTTTGTCAAGTTTAATATGATAGATGGGATCAACAAAGACTCCAAAATTTAAATTAATGAGAGGAAAGACATCACCTATATAGCGGAACATATAGTTTAAGGGAAATGCTAATCTTTTTGATCTTATAAGGAAGCTCCTTTATACAGTTTGAATTATACGAATAATGGAAAAAGGTCGGCAAACAGAGCATATTAGGTACCCATAGGAATGCCGATTCTTTGTTGAAAAAAGTCCACCAAACGTTTCAAAAATGTCAATTCAAACAATCAAGCATTTATCTTGATGATTTCTGTTTCAGAATTTTGTTTTATTTTAATAATAGTGTTTGTTTGGTTTTGTTTTAACAAAGAAAGATTTTGGGATTTCCAAATCTAGATATGTTTATCTAAGTACGTTCGCCATTCTTTTTTATGAATATGAAACAAAGATTGATAAGTTCTTTAAATATCTCTTAATGTTTAGAATGATAAATTATTGTGTAAAGGATGGGGAAGTCACCTAAATAATTAAAAACTTTCAAGGAAGCATTTACTAATTACAAGATGAAATGTAATGTATAAAATTAGTCATCTACACATGCTTAA